TAATATAAATTGAACGTTCTTTCTTGACAGGTGTGGGTGTGGGCATGGGTGCAGGTGTGGGTGTGGGTATGGGTATTGGTGTTAGTGTATGCGTCTGCGGGGTACATCAAGACAGGATCTATACGCACACCTGAGGCCGTGGGTTTGGGTGGAGATGAGCTTTGGAATTTCTGTTCATCAGAAAATGCGCCCACACCCACACCCCTGTCAAGAAAGAACGTTCAATTTATATTAAACCTACCCTACTGAAACTTCAAGCTACTCAGCATAATACGAAAAATAATTCTTCACAGGGGACGCAAACTGGCTTCAACCACTGACTCACATCCATATTTGCCCATATCCACACACCCACATTAATGTTTGACTTAGATAAATGTCATGAAACATGTTCGAGATAAGAATGCACAATCAAATATACACATCTCATAATATAGAAGTATCGAGAAGTATTTTGCTCTTATGCTTTATTTGCCGTTCTGAAGTATGTGTCGTTCTCTGAAGGTTGATTTAGACTTAAAGTGTGAGATGAGTGGAGAAAAAATAATAAAAGATTAGCGATTTTTATCAATGATATCATCATGCGATGCAAAACTTTCATTCTTTTCATTATTATCGTTACCTGATGCAGCATTCTCTACTTTCGCATATTTTAGTAGCATGTCTACTTTCAGCAGTGCCCATCAAAAGTGAAGATGGTTATGGCATGTACTATTATACTTTTGATAATGACACATTAACAGCGAGTTGTACGAAGCCAGAGCCCTTAATATTTCGTTTAATGTTTGACTTTTTAACCATGGTGAAATCCGAATCGGATATAGCAATGGAACAGTGTGTGCTAGATGGAAAAGGACCTGGCTTCACTTCACCACCCATATTTGCACGAACTATATTTGCAGCTACAACTATTGCCTATAACACCTATGCACGATATAGTCAACATGCCAAACCAGTGACAATGTATGACGAATGGACACGTATGTCACAGACACAGCAAAAAGTGCCAGATTGTATCTATATTTACGGGTTTTATCAAATTGCAAATTTTATCATGCCTGAGCAAATGACGAATTATTCATTTAAACAAAAATATGAAGAAACGTTCCATTGTAACTTAACGGATATATTAGCTAATGCGGATTCAGAATTAGGATTGGTACAGAGGGATGTAGATCAATTAAAATTACAGTTGAAAACTGATGGATTCAATCAAGATGGATGCTATGCTGATAAAACTAATTTCAGGTAAATCGATAAAAATTGTAAAGCGTAAAACTAGAAGATACGATAGAAAGAAGGAATATGAATCCGATATAGGCTGTTTCCATTCGAATATCAAGATATCATAACATGCTTTCACACTTGAGTCTTATTTTGACTACATTCAAGCATTGACAATACTTTTGCTAATTAAATTATAGAACAATCAATCCGCCATGCAGATTTGACAATAGATCAACAGTGGCAATATGTCGAAATTTTACACATACATACACTACAATTTGGAACTATGGTGAAATTGTGAAAACTGACTTTATTGACAGTCCTCGTACACCAGTTTTTCCGCAAGCTCAGCAAGCCAGGCCATTTTCCTTGGGGAGGTTATATGATTATTTAGCCCCACCATTCTTCGAGGCGCCAGCCTTTGAGAATGGCACAATGATGAACTTAACTGATCAATTTTTGCACTTAATAGATGTGCAGAAGGATTTAGGTGCTGATCATGATAAACCGAAATTAATAGCCGAATATTGGGCCGATGGTCCAAAAACAACAGGTACACCTGGCCATTGGCAATCTATTTCGTTGAATATTATCCGACGTCTGTGCTATGATAATGACGATGCGCTCAAACTTCTTTTTGCAGTTAGTGCTGCTACTTATGATGCAGGTTTGGCTGCTTGGCAAAATAAACGCTTATATAATTCAGTGCGCCCAGCAACATTTATTCCTACAGAATATATCGATGAATCATTTCAACATCAGTTTGTAGGTATGTACTGTAATTTTGAGGATATTATTGGATGGCAATGGTCTCCGTATCAAGAAGATCATGTGATCACGCCACAATTTCAAGAATATATCAGTGGACATAGCACATTCAGTCGTGCCGCCTCATTTGTTCTCGAGAAGATTACTGGTAGCCCAAATGTTCCAGGCAATTTATCAGTGACAATTAAAGCTGGTAAATCACTATTTCAACCACAATGTAATAAATCGAACACGGCATGTTATAGATCATGTCGGGTAGATAGTTCATTGGATTCAGAAAACAACTATATACCAAAAGTAGATGTAACACTTGGTCCATGGAAAACTTATCGCGATATAGCGAATGAAGCATCAATAAGTCGAATCTACGGAGGTATACACGTCGCGTCTGGTGACATACAAGGTCGAATGGTCGGACAAAAAGTGGGTGAAGCAGTTTGGGCCAAGGTATCCGACTTATTTAATGATGCTGGCCCGGTACCTACAAGTCATTCAAACAAATTGCGATTTCACTGTTTCTTTTATTTTACAGCATTAAGCTATTGTTATTATTATTATTATTATTATGGAAAGAACTTCTAGACTAATGGGAAAATCGTTTTTCATTCATTTCTCGAAAATTAGTTTTTGACATTATTAAGTAAAACAGACAGTATGAAATTTATATCTAGTGTAACATTTTTAGAAATGCTATACTTTTTCATGTGTAGTTATAAAGTTCAACGTTTTAATACTTAATTCAGAATAAAACAGGGGTATGCCATGTTTTCTCTAATTATACAGGTGAACACAAGGAGGAGAATTTAAAAATCAATTGAGGGTGTGTAGGAAGCTACCACAACGCGTTTCAACTGATGCTCAATCAGTCTCGTCAGGTGGCTTAAGATCTTCAAATTCGATTATAAAATTCAAAACGAAAATTTTGAAGAAACTTCATAAGAATCATGTTGATTTGAAGAGTATCATTGTGTTCTAGGAATGAGAATTTGTGAAGTGATAAACGAATCACTTGTGGTCTGAATTAATTGCTAATGTTGTTTTGGTTTAAAGTTTCATGATCATTTATGGAACATCGTTATTTGTGATATTATGGATCCTTGTTATCTAGTTATGATGTTTCGTTGGAATGTTTCCGTAATGTGTAGTAGCATGGTCGGAGAACAGCTATTTAGATGTTCATAGCTGTATATCTAGAATGGAAATTGTCATAAAGTCAATTGTGAAAGTTAATGATGTATTGGTAGTAGACAGAAAACAAGGAATATAGAAGTTGAGTTAGAAAAACTGATTTTATTTTCTACAGAATTTGACAGAGGTTCAATGTTCAGTTATCAATATTATCAAGCGTGTAGTTCAGAAGTATTGATTTGACCTGAAAGTTGGTGTGGTGTAGAATAGTGATAGTGCACTGTAAAAAAAATTCGTAGAATAATAAACCCAAAAAGGGTTGATGAAAGTGCAGTGTATAATAAACCCTTTTTACCGTATTTAAAACTATCCTAAACCCTTTCATAAACCCTTTTTTCCGTATGTGAAATTGCCATAAACTCTTTAATAAACCCTTTTAAATACGTTTTCTAGTGAGACAAACATTTAAAGGCTATTTTTAAAAAAGTATTTTAGATGTTACACAATCATTATTTGGCTATTATTCCAATTCAGTTGGCGTTTCAGATCGTATACTTTATAATTAATTAAGTGACGTACTTACTGTTGTCACCTGGGTTCGAACATATGACATAATCCATGATTGATTGTCTAACTTATTATCCATTCGATCAGATTCGCGCCCAAGTTGCATAGTATGAAATGTACTCTTAAATTAAATGATGTTCTTCTGAATAGGCGCTTCCTATTTTGATGAAGAAATCAGAATAATATATTTCTGTACCGCTTATTTATTTGAAATTGAATGATATTTTTAAAATATTATTAAAGTAGATCACTTAAATCTTATAGTTCATATTACAGATATATCGATATTTAAAAGTATGTTATATATTTAATAAATTATTCAATTGATAGGAATTCCTAGAAATAAATTTTAAATAATTTTTAGAATTTTTTCTGAGTTTTTTTCTTTAGGGACTGAAAAATAACGCTTAGAAATGCCTAAATTTTAAAAGAAAAATATTGTGAAAGATTTAGTATTCTGATTTTTTTTTAGAACTCCTCAACTTTCGAAAACTTTATATTGATTTATAGTATTCTTCTCGATCGAAATATGTTTACTTTTGGAAATAACCACCGTAGCAAAATATTTCAAGTGATAATGAGAGCGCTTTGTTGAAAAGTTAAAATAATTAACTCTTGATCGTAGAATAATAAACGCTTTTCATGAAAGAGTAGAACAATAAACCCTTAGTTACGCAATGCAAAACGTTTTTTTGTGAAAAGACACAGGTATGAACCTTTCATCGTAGAATAAAAAACCTTTTCCATAAAAATTATAACCATAAACTCATAACCATAGAATAAGAAGCCCTTTTTATGAAGGATATATTGATGAACCTTTCTTTTTCACCGCATAAACCCTTTTTTCATTTAAAATACCCTTTTCCTCAAAAACCCTTAAAGGGTTTAGGAAAATTTTCGAAAGTACTAGGGTTTCTTATTCTACGAATTTTTTCTACAGTGTAGCTTGCGGTAGGATCCGGATGCAGGATCGAATGTCTTGGGAAGAATGGATTGATCATATGATCAGAAGTACAAAATTTGATGAATATGAACGTTAACATGAAAGCGAAAAACGTCTTTTAGACGTGACACCAACATTTGATAAGCAATAAATGCTTTAAGCACCAGCATGGGTGCTAAAGAAAAAACTTCAAAGGACATTAAAGAAACTGCTGATGTTTATAATAAACTTGTTATTTGATTAAAATTGGAAGCTAAAACAGCAGTTAATCGTTCGATTTCCTCTTCACAAATGAATAATTATTATAGCATTATTTTCATTGTAAATACTTCGAACGTTTCTTAGGAATGGTAGGCTATGTGATCTGGGTAAGATTTATTTATGGTTAAGATAACCACACCACCATTTTATCTTTTTAGGTTAATCCAACAGTAGATTTAATCCAACAGTAGATTTAATTCGACCGCATGTTAGCTGTAGAGCTTTAGTTAAATTTTTATTTTTCTTTGTTGATAAAAAAAACAACTTTACACCAACATATAAGAACGAGCATAACCAGGGAAGCGAGATAGAGAGAGCCAAAAAAGAGAAAAGGAAAATAAAAGCAAGTGTATGTATGTACACGTGAGGTCAAGTCATATATAACAACAAAGACAATAGAACGTTAACTCGATAACAACGCACATCGCAAATTATGAACAGTTGCTACAAAGGAAGGTCGGTCTAAAATCGCAAATTATTCTGTTAGGCAACACCCAACAACGCGCATTAATGGAACAACAATTGGAGCAACTCAATCGACAGATCGACGGCATTTTAAAAGAAGTAGCCACGGGAGTCGAATTGTTGCAGGAGCTGGAGACAGAAGGTAAAACTTTCTCTAATGATAAGTTTATTGTATAATTAAAATTTGTTTATCTTTATTTACAGAAAACAAGCAAGAATCAACAAATTGATGCACAAGCACAACTTCCCAATTCGTGTATTACGGCTACCAGAAACGGTCGTATACGGCCATAAACGTTAACGTATACTGCCGTTTCTCACCGTAAATGGCCGTAACTTGACGTTTTGATATGCACCGTATTACGGTCGTAATTAATCGTGTCGTAAACGGTTACTAACGACCGTAATGTGGTCGGATATTTCCGTATACGATTGTAACGATAAATAAGACTCAGTTGAGTCTATATCGTAATGACAAACTGGATAGAGGTGGAGTAGCTTACAGCCACTCACGGCAATGATGTTTATTCGTTTATTCACATATCCAGAGTGTAACGACACAACTAGAGAGTGTCGCCTATGCCCGTCGACATGATGGTATATTGTGTCATCTGACATCTCTAGAGTGTGTNGAGATAGAAGAGAGACAAGAGAGAGAGATAGAAGAGAGACAAGAGAGAGAGATATTACACCAATGGAAAGAGAACAGAAGGAAGAGGAAGGAGAATCATCGAAGCGTGCAATCAATATCGGCACAACGATCGTTTATGGCACGATACAAAACGGCCGTAAATTATGGTCAAACGGCCGTGTACGACACAAATCGATCGACCTGGGTTGTATTAAAAGACTGCCGCCACTGTTTTGTCTGATATCCGCTTGTCACACTTGTTACTTTTAGTCTGTAAGGCACAACTAAAACACATGTAGCGCCAGTTAAAGAAGAAAATAAATCTGAAACAAGCTGCAATTCCTGTAGATAAACGTAAATCGGAAGCTGAGGGTGCGGGTGTTGGCATAGTAACATAATACGCACACACCCAGACTCTGATGAAGCTATTTAAACCACGGATTCTAATCAAGCCGCATATGCGACAAATGATGGTGTTGAGTAGTAGATTTCGATTTCAAACCACTTTATTCATCGATACAATATTAATATTCATTCATAATGCAACACAAGTTTATACCGTTATTTTAGTAGTTATTTTTAACAATAACTCTGTTTTAGATGCACATATTTTGCTTCGCACTTGACACACAACACATTTTTATTCAGAGAAAATAAGAGAGCAAAATTAAAGCTACAACGAAAGAAAATAGTCATAAACATCTTTCGGATAGATCATGGATTGTTCAGAAATGAATTGTTTTATCTTAGCACAATTACGTCGTGTTTCAGCTCTTGTAAAGTTGTTTGTCACTATTTCCAAATTAACATAATTGACTTTTAATTCAGTTAAACGAGGCAGATGTGTTTTTGTATCATTGAGAAAATGTTCAACATAATGAATATGTGTACAAGTGATGTTAAGTGAAACAAGATACGGGTATTGAACAATTGAGCACCAGTCTTTTTCATAAAGATGACGTTCGCGAGATTTCCAAAAAGGTGGTTGAATAATCTTAATACTTAAATCTTTAAGAAATGGAAAGGCTTGAGTAAGTCGAATGAAAAATTCATATTTGAATGGGTCTTTATCCCATAGCTTCAAATGAGTAACAGCAGCAAATACAATGTTTGGAATATTATTTCCGATGTCTTCGAGACGATGAAATTTAACTGGGAGTGAAAAAACTCGACAAATCATTCTCTTACAGAAGAAATAATCCACCATACAAGCCACTTGTCGATATTGTATATTTTTACAAGTGCTTAGAATATCTACGTTAGATATACGTACATCTGGATCAACAGAGCCGTGCTTAGAAGCGATATAAAATGTGAATGTATGAAGTCGTGGCATATGAATAAGAATTGCATTATCAAGCTGAGTACCAGCGATGAACGTGGGTCCACCCAAGATATATATATATAAATTTAATTCTTTGAGATGCGACATTCGATGAAAAAGAGGTAAAACCACACTGTCACGATCTTGAGTACTCTTATAACATGTTAATGAGAAACATTCTAAATTAGGTAGAGGATCCTGAAAAATACAAAAGGCAAATATTAATAAATTCAGTTTTTATTAGTTGTGCTCAGAAATGAATTGTTACGCATTATACGTTTACCGAAATTCTACTTTTAAATTTTAATAATGTAGAAATCTCATTGTATCATGCAGTTTTATTTAACTTTGTTTTATCTTCGATATTAAACATCAGTAGTTAAAACAGCATAATAACACGAAACAAACTCACCATGTTGTACAATGTTGAAGTTTTATAGATATAATTAACCTGAACGATGAATGAAGTTAATTGTTTGAGACGACCATCAAGTAAAGCAAGACAATCATCAAAATTATTTGTATTAAAACATAATTCAGTAAGTGTCGAAGAGGAAAGTCATTGGTGGTGAATTGTATAACGATAAAGGCGGATAATCGTTGATAGATGATGGCAGAATACTCAAATGATTCAGATTTTTAAAGAAACCCAAGATCATTGCATAAACATTGCTGGTATCCTCTGTGAGTACTTGTTCAATATAGTTTTCATTACTGATAATAAGATCCGTAATTTGTTGTTGATCAAAATGTTGAAAGAGGGAATTATCTAAACAACATACATATATATAATTTCATCTGAGCAGCTAAATATTTGCCTATCCTAATCTTTTAAGTTTAATAGGCATGAATATCTCACCCGTGAAATAACGTGGAACGATTTCTCTGTTAAAATTGAAAATGTTAAGTTCAATGAGATTATAGTAGATGCCAGCGCCAATAATACATTCAATGGAAGCAGATTCAACACTGAGTGATTTGACATTTTGTTGAATTCTTGGTAATATATCAATACGAAATCGATTTAATATTTAGTCAGAAATTGAACAAATATCATCAGTTGATTGTGATATGGCAACGAAACTAAGAATGTTACTGAGCATTTGTTCCTGTGCTATAATATCAAGTCGTTGATTGTTGATATCAAATAAAGAATAAAGAACATCAATATTGTCAAGTTTCTTTAAAATGAGAAATAATATTTCAATTGGAAGATCAAAAAGATGAACAATACGCTGGCTCGTCTTTAAATGTGACAGTACCGGTCTCACCAAGACAACATATATATATATATATATATTGTGGTCTATTGAGTCTTTGTTCGAATAGATCTGAAACAGACTAGACGAATTCGAGGCGAATTAACGAATATGGTTGGTGTGTCGCTGTGCTAAAAAAGTATCGAAAAGGAAAAATTGCAGCTGGCATGTTCATTTTACACCTCGCTATTTTGTTATTTATCTATCATCACTTTCTGCTAACGAAATCAAAAGAGTAAATTGTTTGCATAGGTGTAGTTTCTTTTATATGTAGATCAATTATCGTAAAGTTCTTTCTAATGAATTTTAAAGAATTGAGACTACATCGAATAGAATTAATGGCTGTTCTTGAAACAAGAAAAATCAAATCCATGCATCATGTTTGAAATATCGAACGTTAAAACAAATGTGTTCGATGTAATATAAGAGGCTTCGTAGAGTACGATGATCGATAAGCATGAGCAAAAGCAATTGAATCGAAATGGTAACGTAGAGTACAAGGAGCAGTAACATCATCGATAGTTCCTTTCGGTATTTTATCGTCATCATTGGGTTGTCTTAATTCTTTGGCAACCAAAACCACCGATCTTCTTCTGTTATGAAAATTGTCGAAAACGATCAGAAGTAAAGAACAGAAATTTTTTGTTTTCTTTACCGATTGATATTCTATGCTGTATGCCATGCGGGAAGATTTGTTTTTTTTAGATAAGATGCAAGCGGATAGGCTAATAGTGATAAATAATCTGAATCAAAAATTTCCAACAATGAATACCATTTAATTTAAAGAATGTTGAGAAGATGATCGAGCATGTAGAACTGATTCAAAACAAGCTGATTATTAAAAAGAGTTATTCACAAGCTATTGCGATAATTCAGAATATTTTTGTTTGTTTTCTCACATTTGAGTGAGCAGGAAACGTTGCCTTTTTTACTTCCTCTGAGTCCTGGTCATCTCGCTCTCAATGTTATATATAATTCGCTTTATGATTTCTCTGGAAACCATTAATAAAGAATCTAGCAAACCCTTTTGAGAGAGATCAAAACTATACCTAAATCTAAAACGAAATTATATTTTTCTTCTAATAGCTTTTTCTTCCCATGTTGACATCGAGCCATACTACAAGGTAATTTTGCAAAATTCTACTTCCTCGTGCTCGAAAGGCTGTTAAGGAAGCTGCATCAGTAGTGGTAGTAGTTTTTTCGGTGTATTGTTTTGGACATTTCTGCCGTTTTTTCGTTACTATATCCTGAGTGGCTGACACTACTGCCAGCATCTGATTTCTTTTTGTAACTGTATTTTGGTCAAGGGGGAAACGGCAGACTTGAAGTAGAAAAGTACATCAAAGTACTTTACTTGAAGTAAGCCTTAAGTAGCTTAAAGTAACTCAAAGTAGCTCAAAGTAGTCCAAATTAGTCCAAAGTAGCTTGGAGTAATTGCAAGTAACTTCAAGTGAATTTGAAGTTGAAAAGTACTTCAAAGTACTCTACTTGAAGTAAGCTTAAAGTAGCGCAAAGTAGCCTAAAGTAGCGCAAAGTAGCCTAAAGTAGCGCAAAGTACTTGAAGTACAAAATTCTGCCGTTTCCCCCTTGATTTTGGTACAGCTAGTACCGCTAGCTGTGTTTGTTTTTTCTCGGTGTTGAGCCCGGCATAATTAACTTTGCTGGTTTTATGCGAATTTTTGGTATCCATACGGCATGAACTGATGAACTTTTACTACAGCAATAAAAACTGAATTAATACATTGAATAACTAAATAGAGTGCTTTTAGGTGTGGCTGCATTATCGGCACTGAGAACAATTAGACTCACAATCTGTTCAACTCGCCATCCAAAATATCTACTCATATATTTATGATAGATTTTATGTATCTCAAATCTAAATTTCTCATTGTATATTGTTTCGATTTTTTACTATTATACCATATTTTGTTGGCTCTAAATTACTATGATTACTACCTATTACTAATTCGATATATTAGTTGTGCGAATGGAAAGCTGCTATTAAATACGGGCTAAATACTTCTAATGAAATAGTTTAAAACTAATTGTTCTTGCATTTGATTTGGTTACTCGTTTTATAATAAAAATTCGCCACAGGCACTCATTTATATCAAATAAAAATATACGATTTAATAGTTCATGCAAATTTTATAACAAATGCTTTATTTTTGGGAAGAGTAGGTTATATAAATTACATTGTTTAATATTGTCGCAGTGGCGGTGCGGCAGCGGTGGACTTTGAACCCCGATGAACATATCTGCTACGTTGTGACTATGCAAACATTATAATGAAGTAAAGAATACATTTTTCTTCCGTCGAGATCTAAATGATATTATCAATAAAAAGCCGAATTGAATTCATGTGAGTCGTAGTATTATTCTTTTGTTTTATAAATAGTACAAGTAGATATGACAAACAAAAAGCAAAACGTTTTTACTCGATTTTATCGAATGATTAAATGCAGAAAACTTGCGTAGTTTATAGCGATAAAAGAAGAAAAACAAACACAACACCGGTGAAATAAATGAGCATGCATTAATTGAGTATTCATTGTAAAAGAGAATAAAATAAACAGATTAAATATCGTCCCATGAATTAATTTGTCTTGGTTCGTCAGTTATTTCATTTGATTGAGATTTAATTATAAAACCATGATTAACACTTGGTGATGATGAATGCGATGGTATGTGATATTCTGATAAGCCTGAATCGATATCACGACTAAGATTGGTTTTTATTGGATTGATGTCAACAGTTCTATGATCAAGATATAATAATGAATGGAGGGTTTTTAAACGATTCGATGATTGACCAAGTTCATGATGAATTGGCGATTTTGGTTTTTTATTTAAATGCATTTTATGAGAACATAGATTTTCAACAGATGACGTTGATTTAGAACTGTTTAGCCTAATCGCACTTCGGGTTATGGAAATTGATAAAAAAAAAGATAGCTACGTACCGTAAAGAACACATGAACCAAAGAAGAACATTAATGATGATCAAAAAGACAATTACTGCAACAATAAATATAATAATTAAATTTATATTTGAACTTGAAAATGTTGTAGAATTCGGTAATAAATCTATTTAGAAAAAAAAAGTTATGTTTAAAATAAAAAATTCTCTGTATTACATTGTTTGTATGTTGATTGATTCAAGCCTTGCGATTGCTGTGGTTTATTTACCGGTAAAAGATCCTAAAAAAGAAAAGAAATCAAATCAATAATTTTATTATTTATAAATAGCATTATACTGAATAAGTTTCAATCATTGATGTAATAGGTCGTAATCGTTTTGAAAAATCATCTGAATGAGTAACAGATGATTCTTTTTCATTTTCATGATTAAATAGATTCGGATTTTGTCGAAAATATTTTGATGCTAATAAACTACTTGATATTATCGATCGATTCATTGATGATGATGACGATGCAACATAACACTGTAATCGTACGGTAGCATTATTCGAGTCAGGTAGAACAGAATATTTCATTAAAAATCCAGCTTGTCTATTAGCTTTTAATGTATAAAATCGAAATGTGACATTTTGTTGAATACTACTGATAAGTGTCACTGGTTCTTGTGTAAGACATTTTGTTTGAGAGTCTTGCCCAATCCATAGAAGCAGACCAGCTTCAGCACACGTTGGTAAATAGAAATTAATTATTTCAAGCGCGATTGAATGATCGGGCGATGCAAGTAACGTACATAAACAATTTAAATTGGATAAAAATCCATACGGATAATTAGGCGTTGAAAGAAATCCATGCGATAAAGTGAGATCTTGTGATTGACAAATGTTGACCAACGAATAATCTAAAAGATTCAATAAAAAATTTTCTTCTTTGCTCGTCTTTTCAATATGTACCCCGGAGACATTCATATTCAGCTTGAATGTATGACGCAGCTAAATTCCAGCAATCTTGTAAAATCAATGGATGTTCAACAACACGAACTGTACAATTTGAAATAGTTGAACAAATAATATCTTCACGTGGGACATCCATCGTACAATCTTTGTCGATATACGAACAATCATTTGACCATGAATAACCATAAATGATGCGACCTATTTTAATTAATTGATTATCTGGGCATTCAAGTAGAAGTTTATCAGTATTAATCTCATCTAGGCAATAACTCTGAGTTGAATAACCTGATTCGAGTAAAACAAAATTAATAAATCAGTTTTCGTGAAATAAAAATTTACCAATATGAGCAAAGCTTAAGCACGGCAAGCCAAAGATAAGAACAAGAAACATATTTCTGTAAGTTAATCGACGAGTACAATGTTCTCAAATCACTAATCACAGTGATCATTGTTTAACTGTATGCTTAAACATTGTCGAGACACGAACAAATACTTGTCGGATCAATGTTTCTTTGTTCACTTCTTTCCGTTAATGAATAAAATTTCTTATTCAAAGTATGCGACATTTTTTAGACACAGAATTAACTTTATTTTAAGCCCAAATCAATCAGTTTCATACATTTTTCAAGTTTCGAATAACAAAAACATTCCAAATAAACTCTTATCAAAGATATTTTCGAGATACGTACAGTTTGCAAGTCGATAATTACCACTTGAGATAGCCGAAGAAAAAAACACACCCGATTATCATATTTCACATAATCATTTGTTTTTTGGAAAGAATATTTTTATACGTGTTTATTTCGCGGATGCGTCCTATGACTTCTATTTAGAAATTAATATCATATTTTTCTTTCTTTTTATTTTGGTATAAATATGATATTAACGTAACCTGATAATCTAAAATTTCTTCAACTATTCAAAGTTATTTATATAGTGAGATTATTTTCACCATTCGGAGATGTCTAGCAAGGATTTATTCGTATTTAATCGGCAGATCGATATGCAGAAGCACAGTCTACCATAGAAGTGGCATTTACTCTTGCAAAATAATTTAACATGCTATTCTATCTATTGTAACATCATGCTCCTGCCCGTACAATATTCCATATAAACAATAGTAGAAGACAAAAAAAGACAAATCTCTTGGGAAAGATAATCAATAATTGTTTAACCGTAAGCATGAGATAAAAATAGCGTTGGACGATAAAAGATGAACCCACGCGATAACAAACTATTACAACCGAGTATTCATTTTAGTCGATAGAAAGAACAAGACGACAATGGGACTAGTTTATAAATATACTATTGAATGCCGATGAGACTAGGGGAAAATCATAATTATGATGTTGAAATGTGTCCATAGTTGAAGAATAAGGAAAACAATTTATCGTATTTTATCAAGCAGAAAAAAGAATATCAGTACTATTAATCTGATATCCACTATCATTTTCTCACTAGATATCAAATAATCTTTTAAATGATAGTTTCATATTCTTAGATAGATGTAAGTTATTCTAATATTTATCTTTCATTAGCGAAATCTCAAGACTATTTTTATGGAAAAAAGCAAAAGGTAGTTAAAATAAAATGTACATTTTCTCTGACTTGAGGCTTATTTCTAGGTTTTTTTTATTGGTCGTTGCGAAGTACATCAATTATTCCTATGATTTTTTAATTCGATAGATAAATGAACAGGAAATAAAATTCTTTGTATTCTCCTTTATGTCAATGACCGTAGTTCCGTTCAGTCAATCAATCATTTTTTTCTTCTTCTGAGTATAAAAACAACAATCATTCATAGGTTTTTGTTTTTTCTTTCAATATATATATATATATATATATATAATTATATATCTTTCCCAATACATTCATTTTTTTAATTGTCACATTTGATTAATAGTAAGATAGAGTTGACAAACAAGAGCAATATTCTTCTGAAACTCACTAGTACAGGGCTAATGTTAATTCTTCATTCGATGAATTTTGCACTCCTACTTGCTCTTTTGTTTTTGTTTGTATGAATTTTTAGTCAGAAATAATAATTATGGGTAACAAGATACAACAATCTCCACTTGATCAAAATATTTTGGATAAATTAATGGAAGAAACAGGTTTAGAACGCGAAGTTATTATTGCATGGAGGTTTGTTAGACAATCGATTAAATAAAAGTAAATTATGATTATTTCATTTTTAGAAAGCAATTTTTATTGTCATCTCCATCGGGTAAAATGGGGCGGAAAGATTTTTTCAAATTCTACCGTTCGTTACGTGTCGAATCCGATGATAAAGTTAAAGAAATTGCTAACTTTGTTTTTACAGCATTTGATCGCGATTCGAATGGAAAAATCGATTTTACAGAATTTCTTTGTAAGTTTGTATTTTAATAAAAATTTGAATTTAAGTTAACTTTTTTCATAATATTTAAGGTGGCTATACGATAACATCATTGGGTACAATGCGACAAAAATTAGATTATGTATTTGCAATTTACGATAATGACAAAAATAATTCAATCGATAGAAAAGAAATGATCAGAGTTATATCAGCTATGTATAGTTTATTAGGAAAACCAAACGATGATTATCCACCGGAACGTTTTACTGACGATGTATTTTCATTGTTTGATACTAATAAGGATCGTGCATTAACCAAAGACGAATTTATTGAAGGTGTTATGAAAAATCCGTATCTTTCTGATATTATTTCACCCTTTAATGAATAAACTACTAATTAGCTATCTCTCATATTTATACTAACGTCTGTATCATTGTGTTTGTTTTATTCTTTTTTTTTAAATGGTGCTTAAACTTAATGTCTTAGTCTCTATCTATGTGCAAATATAAATGATACACATGAAGCCAGCAACCTTAATTGCTCACAAGAGATTAAAATCAATGACATTTATATTTTATTTGTTGAGACAGAAACAAAAATGTCTTGATTGATTATAATCTATACGATTGAGCAATTTCCATATTCAATATATGAGATTATTTTTTTTATGATTTTATTTATTCTTATTTAATTGTGCGAGATTAACAGAGCAGAGTTTGTAATAGTTCGTAGCAATGAAACGGAAAGTGAAGCGAATAGAACTGAAATATTTGTTCATTTTCTAAAAATGAAATCCGATTGTTTATTTGTTCGATGAAGATGTTGACTGTAGTTGTGATATAATTCGATCGTAATGTTCATTAAAAACCATTCTATTGTAAGTTATTAAACGAAGAAAAAAACTAACAGTTGACGCAACTTCATTCATGACAATATTCAATCCATTTGGTATTGCAACATTCGATAAAGATGTACCACTTGGAGAATGATCTAATACATTATGAACAAAACCTACATAACGCTGAACTAAATAGAACAACAAGAAAACTATTAAAAACGACATCGCTATTGACAAACTACACTGAATTGTCAATTTGATAATATGCGAAGAAACAATGATATGCTACAGATGTTTTTCTACTTAGGTTAAATTGCGTACTACTGATGTTTTATTCAATCGTTTTGATTTTAGACTAGCGTAGAGTTTTCTTAAGTTCTGATATTCCTAAACATGAATCATATTCTCTGATTCTATCTGTTTTTGGTGGATTTTTTCGCTAGTTGCTAGACTATTGTACTATCTATGCCTTGTATAATTCTAATTCTAGTGAAAACTATTTGAATCTACTAGTTTTTCTTAGTGTATTTTGTCAATAGCTAGAACTGCTTATGGGTAATCTGTCTCTGGCTAAGTTCTTATTCATGAGTTAATTCGTTAAAAACCCATAGAATATTTAACTTGCAATTGTGCTACCGTTTATTGAACCAACGAACACTGTCGATCTACATAATCGCTTTATTGTTTATATATAATTTTTGAGTGAGATTCTACAGTTTTAAAACTAAAGTCTAATTTATATGAATTAGAGTCAACATCCATTCGAGAATATTTGTGCTTTGCTAATGAATCTCTGCCTCTCGAATGGGCCCCAGCGTTTTATCCGAGGGGAAACCGTCGATCTTTCAGCGTATAGCCACATAGTAACTAACTCGTGCAATAATCCCAAAATACAGAAAATTTAAGTCGATGTTCGAGGGGTCGCCACATTCACTAGAGTAATGATGCTAACTATTATTATTTATTAACTAGAAAGGCTTATTCTGTCATCTAATGAGTTACAGGCAACTCGTTGTATGTTTAAAAAGAAAATAGTAATTATTTAACTTACATAATAATTTAAAAACAGCATGTTCAATAACATGATTTTCACCAATAACTATTATGGCATCTTTTATCTGTTGTTCGTTATCAGTAATAATTTTTGCTCTATCAAATTTATTTAATTCATCACGAGTTGTTTTAACTACTTGTTCGCTAATTGATATTAGTACATCTTTTAATTTTCTAATGAGGAAATAATAAAAATAAAATATATTTCAAACATGAATAAACAGCAAACCTTTTTTGTGGAAAATCATCTAATAAAATAATCATTTCTGATTTGAGCATAATTTTAATCGGTTCATATTCACGTAGAATCGAGCCTGTTAAATGTGATAACACAGTCATTATTGCTGATATTATTAACAAACGCATTGTTGCAATATGTACTTGATTATAACGAATTTCATCTAATTCCAATGTCTAAATTTAAAAGTAAACAAGAGAAACAAGAAATAAAATAATTACTTCAGGAAATGTATATTTTGTGTTCCAGAGTAAAAGTTCACAATATGCTTCGTTAAGAATAACTAATGAGCTTTCATGCGGAATAGATGTTGTTGTATCTGTTGGTATATGATACCAACCGATTGTATCTTTTGTTTTTAATCGATTGAAAGCGCGCTCAAGCCATTTGTATGTTGATGCCAATGGATCAATACCCATTCCTAATCAGAAGAGAAAAAAAGAACAATTGAACTTTTTTTCAAGTAAAAAAAAAATCAAACCTCGTTGATTGTCCATAAATTTATCAAATGTCGATTTTTCATAGGCAATTGCTTGTTGTTGTAACAAAGGTCGATATTGTCGAATATTAAAATTAGCCATATCAAGTTTCATTAAACTTAATACTTCCATAATATTTCTACAAAACAAAATTTTCTTGTCAGAATATGTTGTTAGAGATAAAAACAAAATTGAACCTAAAACAATCAGTTGGATCTTCAATTGTTCGTAATTTTGCGATATTTTCATCTCGACATTCAGCACAGAGAGTCGCCATTAAATCAATAAAATATTTTGTATATTCATGAGGATCCGCTGCTTTAGCTTCAAATCGACGTTTTATCGTATCGAGATCAATCGCTTCCTCGATTTGATTTTTCAGCGTTGTTTGATGAGGTAATACTAAACTTTTAACATCCTTAAAGAATAAACGAAATTTCATATTAAAATCTATTTTAATTTATAGAAACCAACTTCTTTTGCTTCACCAATTAATTTAACAACATGTTCATAACGTGGTGGATCAGCAACTAAGTCTGCTCGTAGTATATCCCAAAATGCTGTATGCATCGTATCATGAACTTTTTCAGTAATGCTAAATAGACAATAGAATCGATCGTATTTATGTGAAAAATAACTTTTTTTAAAGACTTCCATAAAGAATTTTCTTGCAAAATACTGTAGATTCTGAGAAGACTCAAGTAATGTTACTATTACTTAGTGACATGATAAAGTAATGCATCGATCAACGATCCATTGTGATTTTGAGGGAAAGCAATTTCAAGTCGTTTACCTAATTTCTTCACAAGAATTAAAAATTTTAAAGTTTTCCTTTCCAAAATCTTGGATGTGACACTGCTGAATCTATGTTTTTCTTTTTTTTTTATTATAGAATTGTATCTTAACTTTATCGTTCATCGATATATCGCTCACCTTCCTTTTTCATATTCTGGTAATGCCAGTTGAAAATCTTTATTAAATACGATTTCATGTGCTAGTTGAAGATTTTGAGCATTTCGATTCGCTTCCATTAATTGATTATAGTCGATAAACCGTGGTGGAGAAGCTAAATAAATGAATTTAGAAAAAAAATTGAACTTGAACAATAGCATTCTTTTAATGAGAAATAAACCTGCTGTAGCTCCTGTCATATTGTCCGGTAATGTTGGTGAAAGATTAAGCCAACCAAGCACGGCTCCTAACGGTGGGGTTTCTTCTGATGTTTTATCATCATTCGTATTCGACATAATGAAACAATCTCAAATGAAAACAAAACATTTTTCAAACGATATTTAAGTTTAAAAAAAAGTAAGAATACACAAATGAGTGCCATAAATCTGGTGCGTTTCTCTTTGCTTAATAAATTTAAAAAATATTATCACCTATTATAAATAAATGTGAAACATGATGAAACTTCGTTTCTGGAATTCGCCTATCACGGTCACTGATGGTCAGTGGGGCTTCTCTGTTACGGTCTGCATTATGATGTATGGAGCCTCTAGAAACCATTACAGACCGCTACAGAGAAATTTAATAATAAATTAATTAACCAATTAACTAATTAATTAATTTCTCTGTAACAGTCTGTGGGATGGGCCCAAATTTCTACCCTATATACTTCAACATTCCTTTCAGATCGTGTTTCGCAAAATATAATCGTAATAATCGCACAATGATAAAAAAAACAGTTGTAAGTTGGTGCAAAAAAAGCGTATACATGAATTACTGTTAACATAAGATCAAAATTCATATATAAAGATAAAATATTTTGTTTGGCTAATTTTCATAATATTATTATTAAAGTTTTCGTGTCGACAATAATCATTACACATCTGACTCGATATTTTGTTTGAATTTAACTCAGAGGTACGCGGGGCATCAAATTTTCACGCCCGACGAATTCCGCAAACCCGCCTCGTTCTGTGTTGCCCGAAGAAATTTTAAAATCGATCACTTTCAACTTTCATAGCAGGAAGACCAAATATTATATTCAAATATAGAAGTGGTTTTTGTATTATTGACTGTGTTCTTATCGATCAGTATACACTTTTTGGGGTGTTCTTTCAAAAACCTCTTGATAATCGCCGAGCTATAGTTAAGATCACTTGCTGAACATTCGATCATTTTATACGATCAGATGATTCAGCAGATGATAAATCATATAATTCGATCACAGTTATTGACAAAAAAAACATAAAATACTAATTCTGAGTTTTGAAATAAATTGAAACAAATCGTTTTTGCTTCTTAATGCGTATCAGTCATAGAAAGTTCTATAATAGAACTTTATTATGAGTAATGATGAAGAGAGAAAGAAAGAAACAAACAATTGGGAAGTTTGGAGCTGATAGGATGAAAATGAGGAACCAATCAATATATATTTCGTACTATATATTTATCTAGACTAACGACATCTCTCAAAAATTTTTGTCGATCCTTCATCGTGATCGAAGTACTGTTACTAAATTATAAGGATTTCAAAAAAAGAACTGAAATCAAGATCAAATTTTTTTACGCTTGCAGTACGACTCAATCTCAGTTATATTTTGCATTGACGAACCGAAAGGGATTTCAATTTGATAGAAAATAATTATGAGCCCTACAAACCTCATTTTGTTATTATTCAAGCGGTCGCGGAAAAAAATTACATTCATAATGATCGCACTGAACACTACGAAAACATGAAATAGTTGAAACAGAAAAATGACAAAATTTATTTTTTCTACATGAGGGAAAGACTCTTGAGAAAAAAAGTGTTTTGTTTAACGCTGCTCACCGCGGTTTCTATGCAATTTTTGTCCGTGAAACACCGGAGCCACTTTGTAGGATCAGATTAAGTATACCTGATCAAATTCGATGTATTTCATGGAAATAAAATAGGACACGACACGTTAGCTGTTCTTAGACATTCATGCCTTCATCAATCTAAGCTGCGGCATTTCAGACAGAAAAACGCGGCTTCATAAAAGATGGTGCTTCTCATTATAAACGAGGTTTTCCAACATGACGTTTGTCTTTTCGAAATCTTTTCGTGATTTGGTAATACTATGAAACAAGTCCTCTTTCATATTAATTCTGTTACACAAGTTTGAATTAAAAATGATTAGCTTTTGTTAATTTCATTTAAAAATGGGCTAAATGATGAATGTAAGTATTGAGTACAAATAATCTCTACTACATCCTAACCCGAACATTTACACACACCCACACCCTGGACAACGGACAGAATCACCAATTTTTGCAAACTTAACATTCCTCATTGCGCGAAATCATACAGTGGTACAATGGGACAATATGATTTTTGTCGTTCTGTTCGTTGTTTGTCTAAAACTTATAAAGAGGTATGAGTAAGAAAGCGGGTACGTTTTCTTTCTGTAATTCTTGCACAACCAAACGGCAAACTGAATTGCGAAATTACAGCTTCACAATTTCTCGATGTTTCGTTTAACACTTGTTCTATTGTCTGGTGATTGATCACTTTCTTTTCTAGTTGTACATTTAAGAGACATTCTCAATTATGGCTGAGTCAGTTCATCGTTCTCGTTTCTTCGATTTTATGCGTGAAACTGGTGATAAGTTATCACCAATGAAAGACTATCAACAACTAGCACAACCTTCATTGGAGGAAGCAATCGCTTGCGTACAGCAACACAAAATATTCAAGATCGATGCTGACATTCAAAACAAAGTTTCCTTGGCTAAAAAAGAACGTTCGAGCGAAGACGATGCAAATAATCTTACCACAGATGAAAGTGCAGCGGTTCAACTTTATACAATGGAGTCCAAGACTGAACAAGAAAGTCTTTTTTACATACTAAACTCGACACTTCGTTTGGCGGATCGTAATGAATTAAAGCCATTTTTACTCTATGTAAAACTTCTTTTGGGAGCCTTAGAAAAATTACCATCCTTTAACGGTATTGTTTATCGCGGTGTTCATGGTAATATTTCAAGTAACTTTGTAACAGGGAAAAAACTAACTTGGTGGGGCTTTAGTTCTTGTACACGATCACTGGAAGTGCTGAGCAAAGAGGAATTTCTCGGAACAATTGGACAAAGAACAATTTTCTACATTGAATGTACTAGCGGGAAGTCGATTCAACATTATTCGTATTTGTTGCCACAGGACGAAGAAATTATTCTGCTACCTGGAATTGAGCTACTCGTTACGAAAAAGAAACGAACAAAGCATGGTCTATCTATTGTTTATCTTCGAGAAATTACAGCAAACAGTCATATGCTGGAGTATGAAGAAACGCCTTATTCTAACAAGATAACGTCATCACCAGAAGTCGATTTTCGAAAAGAGGCAAAACAAAAAAAATGTGGACACAAATGCAATTTATGGGCAACAAAAAATTGTTGTCACTGTTCAGGTTTGTGTTTATAGAAACAAGAATTATCCAGTGAAAGCCTATCGTTGTACACTGTTTAGATTTGCGATCGTATCATTTTAATGGCTTCTATGAGAAATACGTTGATGGCATAGGTTTCGTGAATGAAGCTACAAGAAACGAGTATTACTGTCCAACTTGTAAATTAGAAGAAGATCTCTCTTAAGAGAGCCCTTAGGAGACATCATGCACCGCGCCATAAACTTGGGCAACAATCAAATTTAAAACTTGTGCTTAAACATGCTCATCGGAATCATCATCCTGCGAAATAGTTAAGTCAACCAATTATCTCACGTACTGATTTCATCAGTGTCCAAGAACTGAGAAATAGGAATTCCTAATCTGCCAAGGAATTGTCAATGCGGCTGTGTTTCCCTCATAGTTACACCATTCACTAAAGTTGCGATATTACTTTTTTTAAATAATTTGTGCACGGAACTATTGATGCTCACAATTTAGCAGGCGAAAATGAGTGTAAGAACAAAAATTATCGGGAATATTCCATATTTTTACCTTTAATATGCCAGGAACTGTATGGAAACTGAGAACGAATTCCTAATTCTCAGTCCTTGGACACCCCTCAAAATTTGACTTTACCAATTATCTACGTGTATGTAAAAACTGCAAGCAGATTATTCAAGCGATCAGCTGGTAATGTTTATGTATATCATATTATAGTGTGTAAGAATAATAATATATGATCAAATAATACATTCATCTTCTGCTGTGCACTAGTAACTTCCATTTCTTAGAAAAACAAGTATCACTATTGTATATTACCTTGTTTATTTTGTAATCTACAAAACAGTATCGCAAGTCATCGATATTTTGTTCGAAGAAGAATCAGCTACGCAAAAATGAAAATGAAAACAGTTTTAAAGAAGATATTGAAATTTTTGTACGCGGTGATTAGAAGTGTCTGCAACATACAAGTTCCGTGAGGCATCTAAAGCAACTCCTGCTGGATAGTTGAGCGTAGTATTAGTCTGTCCCATTGAGCCTGTGCCAGCAATAGTACGTCCAGTTGTATTAACTGTTGGATATTGACAGAAGAGTTGAATACGATGATTGTTGTTGTCTACAACGAACATGTTGGTATAATTATCAAGTTTAAGTGAAGATGGAAATTTGAGTAATGTTGAAGTGTTGCCACTATTGCCATCAACGCCAGCCACAGTGGTTCCTGATACAGCACCCACTGGCCATTTTACAACTGTGTGCCTATCGGAATTCGTGATATAAACAGTACCTACAGCGATTGACGCATCAACTGCAAAGCCTTGTGGTAGTTTAAGTGGAAATCCAGCATTGTTCGACCATTGATTGCTTGCTACTGCTGTACCATTGTTCCAAACAATATTGCTATCACGATCACAAGCATAAATTGAGTTATTGACGACTTGAACTCCCCACATGGAGCCAGCAGAAGTCCAATTTGTTGAAACTGTCAATCCTGTTGTATTACCACTGGCAAAAAACTGTATTCGGTGATTGCCAGAATCAGCAACATAAATATTTTCCGATGAATCAACAAAGACATCTTTCGGTATATTGAGGAGCGTTGATGATGAACCAGATGTACCAGAACTACCGGCAATAGTCGTACCAGTTGTTGCTCCCTGTGCCCATTTCTGAATACGATGATTTTGCGCGTCGGCAATATAAAGATTATTCGTTGTATCAACATAAATGTTCCATGGCGCATTTAATTTATCTGCTGTACTGCCTGATACACCAGTAACTCCAGCTACAGTTTGACCATTTGCATCCCATAACCAATTTGGACCTAAAACAACAATTAGGGAATAAATTCCTTTGAATTTATATTCTACTAGATTTATTCAAGTAAACGAACACATCGGAATGGCAGTGGTAGTCGTTGTAGAAGTTGTCGACGTGGTTCTGGTGGTAGTTGCTGTAGTACTTGTCGTGGATGTTGTCGGTGTGGTTGTAGTAGTAGTTGTCGAAGTTGTCGATGTGGTAGCAGTAGTAGTCCTGGTTGTGGAAGTTGTTGAGGTAGTTGTTGATGTAGTTGCGGTAGTAGTTGTTGTCGAAGTTGTCGATGTGGTTGCAGTGGTAGTGGTCGTTGTAGACGTTGTTGAAGTAGTTGCCGTGGTAGTTGTAGTGGTAGTGGACGTAGCAATTGTCGCTGAAGTGACAGTCGTAGTAGAGCCTATTATATTAATTATAGAGACTTATGTATGAAAACCGAATGAAAAAGAAAACTACAATAAGTAATATTTTAGTTCTGTTGATACCTGTCGTTGATGAACTGGTGGTTGCTGTTGTTTTCATTGTTAACCAAAGTGAGATTACAATAGCCAATGCTAAACCAGCTAATAGAGAGCCAAGTAAAAAACCGCGAAACCAGCACGAATACCAATGAGATGATCCAGATTTCCTTGATGAAACGGAAAGAAATTAATCAATCTTAAGATAAACATGTAATAAAATATGCCACCATATCAATATTTAGGAACAAAAACAATAATTAAATTTCTAATTTCAGTATCTCTGATGATCAGAAAAGGTGAACCGAGAATTCGATTGATAAAATTTTGCATTCATAATTGCAATTTCTTTTTTCAATTGGCGAAATAAAATTTTCTAAGTCTTCAAACTGCCACACCTCTATGCACACCGACTCGTAACATTGTTCTATCACTACACACAGACACACCTCCATACTCTGTCTTGCTATCAGATTTCTCTACAGTTCATCTTATCGTTCATAGTAGGTGATGAAATCCTTTTGATGTTTCTTTGGTTAATATTATTTTAGATAAATACCTACTTTTGACGATTTTTTGTTGTTTTTTCTTCGCCATGATCCTGATCATTATGCCATTCGTTATTAGCAGAGCCAGATGAACGCTGACGTGGAGCAGAACGTGAGGATTTTGATGATTTGTTGATTGTGTTGTATGGTGAAGGTGTTTGCTCCCAATCACTCACTAGTTTATTACTCATTGGAAATGATAACTGAGCTTTATCCGTAGAACTTACACTCACATGAAAAATTAAATCTATCTCAATGCGCCAGCTGCTATAATAAATCGCAGAAGGTTTATATTTTCTCCTAGAATATATAAGAAATCTGCTATTGACAGACTTATTGTTGATCGAACATTTGAATAAAAAAATTGCATTGTGAAAAAACAAGAAGAAAATGATCTCGTTATTTACTTTTCATCGTACACTTTAATATATACAGAGAGTTTATGGTTTCGATCTAGGTAGCAGGCGGCTAATAAAATCTAGATTGCGCATGAAAAATAAATAACTAATTAAAAAATCTAAAACTAAAAAAATAAAACGCAAATTTGAGTTTGCATAAGACGAGAATAATGCCTAGTTTTTATGACGTTGAAAGAGAAAATATTCGGCTTTAGCATTGGTCTCGCCAGTTCAGTGTCTATCGAGATTAGTTAGCCTCTTAGAATATTCTGAAAAATTTAACGTAGAGACAAAAAACAGAACAAAGACTTGTCTTTCTTCTTAATTCACTTTTGGCTTAAACAGTATATTTTATCTCGAAATTTTAAGGATCAAAATAAAATAACTTGTTTGCGTTAGCAACTGTAGAAAGATTTTTATTGTCGATGTCATCATCGAACTCTGGAGAATGAATTTTTCTTTTGTGAAAAATAGATGAAACCTTGCGTTTATTTATATTGTATTCAATACAGATCGATAATTTTTTAAAATTCTTATCATACCAACAGAAAGTAATAATTCTTGCCCGATCTAGTTCATTTCATAATCAAAATTTTCTAGATTACAACGTTCTTTTGACATTGTACGGCTGCGTACTTGAGCACGACCTGACACACGTGCACATACAATACAAAACATCGCAGTCAAACGTAATAATCATGTGTCAAAACAACCACGATTATCCAATTTATACACGATTGATTTCAAAGCTAAATAAATCTTTTCAACTAATCAAAACTTCGAATCATTTCTTATCAGTCGTTTCTTAAGACTGCATTTATCTACGAATATTCTTTTGATTTTCGCCACAAAAACATTGAAAATATATTGCGCATTTTTATCAATCGCAAATAATTAGCATCCATCAATGATTTATAGTAACGGTTAGTCAACACGTAGATGGTCCATACAGAATGATGCTCTCAATATTTTCTCTAATTTTCATCAGATTCAGCCTTTAATTCTCTACAAAAAAAGTAATACTTGTAGGCATAGCATACTGATGCTCTGTTTGAATGCGTTTTCATGATGAATGTGATATTCGAATGCTTGTGATACATGTCAAATCAGTGTGTTGAACTTATTAATTATCTGTTGAAATCGCATCTCAACGTCAATTTATTAATTTAATTTGTAATTACTACGAAGCCTTGAGCATTTCTTTCGTAAACAAGTCCGCCATCGTGCCCCTCTTGTTCATAGAATAATTAAGCTGCCCATTAAAATCGTAAATACATCAGTACGATATGTTCCCGACAACAATATTCTAATGACTGTTTTTATCATCAAGTAGCGGCTCTTCTAAAATTGTTATTATTTCAATGGTGCAAGCCATTTTCATATTTAAGATGGCCTACAATTTAAAGTACATTGATATAAAAGAAGAACGGGAGTGCGCGGGCTCTTCCTATCTTCAGTTGTGTCCTGTAGATTATTATCATGTTGAATGATAATTACACTTGTTTACTCTATAATCGTAATCGGTTTGAATACGATGTTCATATTCACTCAATGGTACTTTCATCTTACATAATTATTCTTCTTTCGTACTAGCATCTCGTGTTTGATGGGAAAAAAAACGCTTCCTTTGAATGATTTACTGTTTTTTCTTTCTAGTAGAAATGTTTTCTCAATAATCTGAAAAACAAAATACATTTGTCTTGTTCATTACAAAGCATATATCTTTTATTATTATTAATAGTTACGAGTTGATTGTTATTTAGATTTATTACTATTTCTATATTATGATGAACTGTTCTATTACATTGTTGACAGTGTGCATGTCACATGCTGATAGAACAATATTAATTCTTATGTATGATAACGTTGACAGGTTTTTCCTATCGCATAAAATTATTTGTTGCAAGAAATATCAATGAATTAAACATCGTGTTTTGGGTTTTTTTCTCCCAAAAAGAAAAATGAGTTTCGCATTATTTGATGAAGCTATCTTATGTATATATTAAAAAAACAGAAACAGCCAATAGAGAAAAAGAACACGATGTCTAATCTTCATACAACCATTCGTCTGCACACTTTTCTTTTTACAATTGTCGAAAATCGCAACGAAGCAAACGTGTGTAAGTCTTTTTAAATTGTCGATTGGCAAGTGCATAACAAAACGGATTAATTGGACTATTCAAGTAGCAAAGGAAATAACAAGCATGAAAGAGATATGTATTAAACACAATACTCTCACGACATGTCTTGCAAAACGTTTGAATTATTGTGTGAACATGCCACTAAAAATAGAAAAACAAAATAGCGAATTGAAAATCTATATTATATTATTTAGAAGGTAGGCACAGGCTTGCTGAATATGAACTATAACATGTCAGAATGTCTGTAAGAATTTCTCAAGCCCTAAAGTAACGCATTAGCCTTGACTTTTGTTTTCGTCATTAGTGCATGAAAGTTGACATGCCGTGAAACTACGAATAGATTCGTGCACAAGCATTTTTGATTATGACTAAAAATCTATCTTCATGAAGATAGTAATGAGGAAATTCAGATGAAGCATATTTTACTTGTAACGCTCAAGTTTGCAAATAAAATTTTCAACAAACTAACCGGTGTCCAACATATAACAAATGCACCCATAATAACAGTAATAGTACGTAATGCTTTTCGTGCTTTACTACTCGTGCCACTAGTTCGACTGCATGGCTTCGACTTTGTTGGAGTCGATGTTGGCGTGCTATTCTGTTGTGTAATCGGTAAAAGTATTCGATTTTCTTCTAGTTTTCTATTTGACCCAACGCCAACTCGAGTCATAGTAAGTAAATTAGTTATGTTTGAAGCTATTGTAGCTACCGATGTACGTTCGCCGCTAGTATAGTGTGACGATGAACGGTTAGCAGCATCAAGTCCATTGGATAATCTCTTATTATTAGCTATTGTTGCATTCACAAATGAACTTCCAGCATCATCATCTACAGTTGTTTCAAATTTTGATATCGACGATAGAGTCGATTGTTGTGGATATTTGATTTTCTTCGATCGTGCCGATGACGACGATGTGATTGTTGTTTGTGTAAGTTGATGATTTTTTGACATATTTATTACGATATTTGTCATATTCGATGATGATATACCTATTATACTTGACACTTTTTTTGCATTTGCTTTTGAACGTTTCTCAAGTTCACTTGCAACTTGATAAATAAAAAAATAGAGTGTAAACATAACTAATAATGTTACCCAAAAATAGCCAATCGTTAAACCTAAAAGAAAATAATTCAATTTATTGACAATAGGCCTACAGAATGATTATTATATCGTTAACCTAGATTAAAATAAGCATTCTTGTTCCATTGTACGCTATGAAATAGAAACAGAACGTTTTTAAACTATGAAGAGTTCCATTAGGCTTACTCGCATTGAAGATCGGACAAGCTTAAATTTGGCTTTTTACTGTACAAAGGATAGCCCATTGTTGAAATGAAAAATATCAATGCTGGCACAAACCATGTTAAAAGCACCAAGAAAATAATTCGTTTTTTCGTTCTCCAATTTCGATATTTCGCAGGAATTTTAACTGAACAAAAACGATCGACGGTGATTAAAAGCACCGTATATATAGATGCTAAGCATACAGTGTAATCTAATGATAACCATATATCGCATAAAAACGAACCGACCACCCATTGATTTTTATATATACCCAACGTTAAAAAAGGCATCGATATGCAACCAATTAAAAAATCGCTAATCGCTAATGAAAATATAAAATAATTTGTCGGTTGTCGAATTTGTCGATCGACAAAAAATGAGACAAGCACAAGTACATTACCACTTATAGTTAGTAATGATGTAAATGTACCAATAACGGCAAGTGCTATATTCACTTGTATTGGATAAGGATGCGATGATGATATTAAAATTGTCGATGATGAATCTTGAATATCATAATTAGTTAAATTATAGAACAGAAGTGATTCGTTAAAAAATATAAACGATAGTTGTTCTACCATACATATAATAATAATAGGAAATATTTATAAAAACAAGTGATTTATCTAGAAGAAGAAGAAGAAATAGACATTATTTATTCGTTATATGTATATATATAGTGAAAGAATGAGATAGATAGTTACATAGATATATCGAACTATTTGTCTAAATTACCTGATGCTAGGGTATATAGTCGTCACTTATCTAAAAATATATGAGATAGAGATAGAGAGAAAGAGAAAAATATTTCTCCTATTTTATTAGAGACAGAGAGATAGGATACTGATGATATTTATCTTCATTCGCGTTCCAAAGAAGATATGCACAGTTAATAAACCGATGTATTTAGCTCATGGGCGATAGACAAATATTCTCCTTTCAATCTAAGTCTTACTCAAAGATCGGATTTCTACGATTCAAAATTGTTCAATATCGTTTTTTTATTCTATCGGAAAAGCAAAGGGCGGATATATATTGTTTCTTTATCTCAACTTATGTGCTTGTAATGATAATCATTTATCAAGAGACGGTCGTACTAAAACTCCTTTGCTCTTTCTCTGTAACTCTTTTTCCTGACGAACATTTCTCTTGTTCGCCCTCATCGAATACTATTCTTCTTTTGCCCATAGTCATCAATTTATTGATAGATTTAGGAAACAGACAAAATAGCGAATAAAACATTTATAGAAATAGCCCATCGTTCGTTTGTTTCCTTATTTTCTTGCTTTTTTCTTCTCTCTCTCTCTCTCTCTCTCTCGTTTTGTTACAAAAGAAAAATAAGATCTATCATTTAGTTATCTCAACAATTGATTTCTTTTTTTATATGTTGCTTCTTTTTTGTCATGTGTTGTTAATCGAAAAATTGTATTACCTTTATTTTGGTGGTGCAACAAATCTGCAACATTAATTTATAAGCAAAAAATAAATCGAGAAAACATGTATAATATTGTTGTTACACAAATATACCCATCTAAAGAAATTTTCCTTTCGTAATTTATCATAAAAGCCTTGGATCGTCGATAGATGTTATCAGTTCGTCCATCTCTTTTTCTAATTTCGCTTCTATCTAAAAAAGAAGAGAAGATTGCATGCTTGACTTTCTCTAATCAGCGGTTATTACCTTCTTATGTCGTCACTTAACTGGAGGCGGCGAAAAGTAACCGAGTAAGTGTGCACAAAATTTCTATGATGATAAATGTATGTATGTTGTAAGAAGTGGGTGGCACTTTCTGTGCTTGTTGAATGAACTAGAATAAGATGTTTATGGTTGTCGGACACAATCATTCGAAACGGAACAATTGAATAACGAAAAGCGACAAAACAAAATGGAGCCAATTTACAAGACATAGATAGGAGACATGTATATTCACTGGAAAAAGTCAGAATAATGGCGAATTGATACAGTTTATTGAAACAGGCGTGCATATGTTATCAGATTATTGTATATATAAGGAAAAAAGATTTATTAATCAACACCTAGAAATCGATAAAAAACAAAACTCGAGAGTTTTCGATCGTCGGCATACATGTTGAGATTTCCATAACTAAATTGAAGAGTTGAATAATCATGTGCAAACATGAGATATCTTGTTCATTTTTTTAATTTCATAATCGAGAGTATAATCGATCAAATAGAAAGAGAGAGAGAAGACTTCATAAAGAGATAGAATGACAAATGTGTATTATTTTTGTTGCAATATCATAACATAGAATCGACTTTCATCTATGATACGATTGTTTTCAGATCAATCATAATAAGCACTTCTTAAAGCATGATAAATCTTAGGTCATGTTTTCTCAAAATAAAAAAGAAGAAGTCGAAATTGAAATCTTTTGATTCACAATCATTACAGATACATCATGTTTGAATTCTATTGGGAAATTATTCATTCTCGCTGTTTCTTTTTATTATAACATAGCGAAAAAAAGAATCATGACACAGCAAACAATACTACTAAATTTTTTAACATGATTAAATTAAAAAGAACAAAACAAATGCACTAATTTGATTTTCATCAGATGTTATTAAAGATCTTGATGAACTCGTAATTCAGCACCCCAATCGGTAGCCTGACTGCCAACGAAAACATCGTGTTTATCGAGAATTTCTTCTTTTGTTAATTGATTATCCTATGTAAAACAAAGATCGAAATTTCTTTGAGAAAAATAAACAAATCAGTTACTTGATCTTTATCAGCTTCACGAAATAAATGCGACGTTTCAGCTTCAATATTATCATAATCAACTGGCATCAACCATAATTCAACTTCTTTTCGATTTAATTTTTTATCATGATCAAGATCACGGTAAGCAAGAAAGTTTTCTCGTTCTGTTTGCACCCATTCAGGCTCGACTGTATTATTATTTTCTGTACTATCCCATATGTCATGAAGAAACTCTTCGAGGGAAATAAAGCCGTCTTTGTTTGCGTCCATATCTTCAATGGTTTCCGTTATAACAAGATCTTTCATACGAGGGCTTTGCTCGGGATGAATAAAATCGGCGAATTCATTTTTATTTAAACTTCCATTACCGTCTTCATCAGCTTTGGTAAATCTAGGTCAAACAAGGAAAAACAATTTTGTTCTAATGGAACATATACAAAGGAAATCTTTTAGAGCGAGCTTTAGCTTCTTTTTACTAGAAACATGTTCCGTAGTCTCTCATGAAAATGTCATTCGATTCCTTTTTTCAAGGATTATCTATTATCGGTTTTGTTTTAAAGGAAACTATGTGCGTTATTCCGGCAAGTATTTATTCAGCGTACGATACACCATTCAAATGCATGATTACTTTCTGTAATGTATCTACCGGGTCAGTCTTGGATAAATGAATATTACATTATGAAGAAAAAATTAGGCTATTCTTACCTTCGTCGATCTTTTTTTTGTAATCGAAGATACTGTTCTGTTACTTGGTCCGGCTCCGGAGTATTGTCATCTAATCAAAATAATATTAATGAGCGATTAACTTTTAATAGATTTCAGATCAATTAAAATGAAGACAGAGACAAAGATAATTAAATTTGCTATTAAGAAAAGTCTCCGCCTCTATTACCTGATAATCATAGTAATACTCTGAGATTAGATCAATCTTCAACTAATATCATAAAGTTCCATAAGATCTGTTGACCATGATATATAATGGCAATATTAAATTCCATTTAGCCTTCAACGTATCTATATTTCTACATGCTTTCTTGTCTCCTCCTCCTCCGACGTCTAGTCATCTGTACCAATCAATCAGAAACAAGTTTCTTCAATATTTTACTTAAAATATTCTCGACATCATTGCATCACATTACCGATGAGTGAAGCAAAGACGTTCGATAAATCGATTTAACCAATGTCATTGCGCGTAAGTGCCAAGCAAGACTTGATGAACTTGTTTTTGTTTATGTCATAATATAGACAACAAGACATAAGAATAAACATCCATGACAAAACGCAATTCAATATTATCATCCGATATCATAAATAACAACTCTCTTATCGAAATTTCATTACAATGATATTAGTCGAATAGGGAAATAAGTTTTACCAACTAAAAGTTCACAAGAGGAGAGAATTTCGTTGAACAATGAAAATACTATCGCAAGTACTTTTCCCTCTGTTTCAGGCAACGTTACTATACTAATCCTACATAGAGCGTAATATGTTGTTTTATCATATTCATCCCATGATATTGCATTATTTGAATCATTATTCATTTGTTTCCATTGACGTTCAACATCATCAGTTATATAACGTGTTTGAACAGATTTAATCCAATCTTTTAGTTCTTGTTTTGTTACTGTACCATTATGATCCTTATCGATACGATCGAATAGAGCACTAAAATGTATCAACGGCTTAGAATTTCTTGAATAAAATTTTGAATTCAGTGTTTTTTACCCAAGACGCTTTGTGCTTTCTTCAACGGACAGTTTTTCGAATTTTTTTGCTTCTTCAACGCCAAGAAATGCTTCGTGATCGTACGCTGTATTATGTTCTACTTTTTCATCATGATTCGTATCAGTAAAATGTTCTTGTTGGCTGAGAGGCTAAAGAAGGAAAACGCGTTCAAGAGAATTTCAAAATATATAAACATTCTACGATTTCTTACTAAATCAAGTACACGAGCTTTATGACTGTTTTGTGTACCGCTTGGCAAAATGCCAGCATAACATGAAAGAATACAAATAGAATAAAATGTGACCAGAAACATGATTATCTAAATTTAAAATAAAAAAGCAATCAGACAGGAAACTCAAGCGAATAACCGACGTTTCATACTGATGATTAACTTATGAACTGTAGATTGTCAAAATCACCAGTTTTCATGCTTCTAACAGATCATTTTATAGTTCATAGACCTGCGTTCAAAACAATTGAGTTGCTCTCAAATGTCTACAGTCACCTTTAATAAATTGTAGCAGAATATTGCAACCGAAGAATTTTTAAGTCTTACAACCCATAGTACGTGGTTACTCTATTCATCAAAGTTTATCTGATCAGAAAATTTCTGCTATGACATGATTCTCCAAGCATACCCTATAAAACAGATTACCGAATTCTCAACTCTCCATTTCAAATAATTCGCCGGCTTAGGTCGATTTGAATTCCTCGTATTAAATCATTGAACAAAGTCTAAGTTCATATTTTGTTCTCTCAGAATTCTTCACTCTCGAAAATTAGAGCTATTAAAAATTCGTATCTATCAACCGAGAAGAGATCTGATTAGAATACATTAAAAAAAAATGAAATCTCCACAACTTTCAACTTACGATAATACTCGAATATTGACTTAGAATAATTGAAAATATTTTGTTGTTCGACTAAATAATTTTATTCATCTAAAACATAAATCAATCCAGTAGATCGATGAGAATATCACTAAGTATTGTTGTATTTATTGTTACAGCTTGTTTCAATATAAAACGCTGTTCATTCGTTATTATGTGATTATTTTCTGTACATTTAATTAAAACTTTATGGAGAACTTTCGCAAATGGTAAACTATCTGAAAAGATTTTTGCTGATGTTGCAATTTTTTCTGGTAAAATATTTAATAAATCACTCGAAAAATAAAATTCTTTACAATCAAACCATTTACTAATTATACATAATTCATTATCATTAAATGGACATGTGCTATTTTGACATAGATAACTGCATAATGTATAACGATCAGATATATTTGTCAATTGAGTAAATAGATTCGAAAGAAATAAATTTATATTATCCGTTGACACATGTTGATTATTAAGCCATGGAACGAAGCAACTAAGAAAAAATTCATCAGGATTCTTATTCATCAATTCAACTATAATAGAAAATATATCATTGGAGATTTGAAATGAAACATCGATAAGCCATGGATAGATTAATTTTTGAAAACGCTTTGCAATTATATTCGAATCAGATTCATTGAGCATTGACGATAGATTTTCTATTGAGCGATCTAAATAATAATAAACATATTGAATATCGGAAATGCATCTATAGGTGATAGACAAACAATTTTCTGTTCTTATTAAAAAAAAAGTACTAGGAGTCGTTCATCGAAGAGCTGCAATATTAAGAAAAGAAAGGTGCAATGCATTACGATCCTAGTCTTATCAATGTGTCGTATCTGATTACTAGTCTGTTCTGCGTAATAGAGAAAAATCGATTCGTGCATTACTCTGTATGATTTCATTATTCTACTCATAAATTGGATTCTGATCGAAATCATAATACGCGACAAAAAAGAACTATGGGGAGGTTATCGTGAGATTCTTGGAAGACAATTAAATTTGAATAAACTACTTATCTAAGCGATAGGATCATACCTTCAACTATTGTATCGACAACTGTTTGAACTTCTTCATCATAATCTAGAATTTCTACAACATCAATATGAACATTGAATCGTAGAAGTTTTGGATCAATATTTATTAAAGAATTTTTTTTTGCACGTTGACGTTTTGGAGAAGAGTTTTTCGGTGCTGTTGTCTTAAGAAATTTTCTTGGTTGTGTTTCTTGTATATAACCATTAATAATATCAAAAATTTTTTTTTCTTCACTATTGTCGGATACGAATTCTAATAGATTTTGAACAGCTTTCGAATCCGAAAATGATATAGATTCATAATTCGATGATATTGGAAATGTATTTAACCAAAATTGAGCTAGACTTTCTTTTGATATTGTTGCCATTGATTGATATCCTACAATTCTATCAAGGATAGATATCTTCTCTTGTTCTTCGTTATGATTTATCCAATACAAGCAAACGTTTCATAGTGATATCTATCGACATACTTCTTTATTTAACCAATCACATATTATTGATTACGACACACACGCGAACTAGTAGTAGTTGTTAAGCAAATGATCACGTCTAAATGAATAAAAAACTCTTGCTCTCACCAATAATAGTTCGATCAATTTTTCGTAGGACACGTAATCCATCATCGAAATCCTACGATATAATCACTAGTGGAGCTTACAAAACCAATAATCTCCCACGTGTTGTTCCAAAAGAAATCCCGCGACCAAATCATATTTACAATTTAGTCAATGGACCCTATCAATCGCCAATATTGATTAAAAACCAATGGCAGTTAGAAGGCATACGTGCAGCATGTCGTCGAGCTCGTACTATCATCGATCGAGTATCAGAATCTATTCAACCCGGTATAACAACAGATGCCATCGATAGAATAGTACATGAATTATGTATTTCGCTTGGTTGTTATCCAGCGCCTCTTAACTATGAAAATTTTCCTCGTTCATGTTGTACAAGTGTGAATAATATCGTCTTACATGGTGTACCCGATGATAGGCCGTTGAAAGAAAATGATATTCTTAAATTGGATGTGTCAGTTTATTATAATGGATTTTTTGGCGATGTTTCCGAAACGTATCTTGTTCCGACAACAGGTAAAACTTCAACTGATAAGCACGCACTCTATCTTATTAAACATGCACGTCGATGTCGTGATCGAGCTATCGCTGTATGTCGACCTGGTGTTGAATTTTCAGCGATTGGTCGAGCTTGTGAAGAATATATCAGACAATGTAATGGTTTAAATATCGTTAGAAGTGCATGTGGACATGGATTAGGTGAACAATTACATGAGCCACCACAAGTATTACATTATTTTGATCCAAGTGAAAAACAAATGAAATGGATTATGAAAGAAGGAATGATACTTGCTATCGAGCCTGTTATAACCGAGGGTAACGGTCGTGTTAAAATGTGTGAAGATGATATTCAAGTATGTACAACGGATAATTCAAGATGTGCTCAATTTGAACATACTATTGCAATAACCTCAACTGGACACGAAATATTAACTGAAGGAAAAACTGATATGCGTCCGAATGTTCTTGATAGAAAAGATGTTTTTGTATAATAAAAAAAAATTTCTTTTTCTGTTTTCGATTTTATATAAATTTAGACACAAAAAAACAAAATTTTTAAGTTTTTGAATCACAATAATTGAAATGGTTGCTGCCCTCTTTTCTCAGCTATGATATATTTTATGGATAGCCATAGACAAGTATATTGTCAAAGATTTTGACTTATTAAGGAAACATAAAATCGGATGTCCTCCTAAGTCTAACGTAATGTATTCCATAAATTGCATACTTCCTAAATTCTTACAATATTTTATTTTTAGTCCGCTGAATTTGGATCCTCGTTTGATATGAATGCACCATCTCTCACGTCGAAATAATCTAAATGGGTTGTTCCATGGGAGCTCAATCAAAACAAAACACAAAGTATCCAAATTGTTTTGTTTTCATCCAGTTTTGTAGAGCTCGTTTTGCTGATCATATTAGTATAAAGCAAAGTTAAAATTCATAAGTAAAAAGGTTTTTATAGCGAAAATACTAGAACTGTTTTTTTTTATTAGAAATACCTTAGGTTTTTCGGTATTTTAGCCCTATCGTCGTTATTTTTAGACATTTTTTTGAAACAAATTATACGAAAATGTTCAGCTCAATTAGCTCTACAAGATAAGATAGTTTCAAACTACTTAAAGCCATTATTCAATGAGTTGCTTAAGTAAATTCGCTAAAAACGTAGGTGTCTTTATCTAAAAATGACTGCATTCTGCTGGAATCTGCATTCAGTTTTTCGAATACGGTCAGAAACCTTGCTTAACAGTTCAGGACAGAAACATATCGGGATACTTTTACACAGCTTCGTCTACTATATACACGGCAGTCTCCTGGCACGATTTAACTATGCTAGTGTTGCAGCCCATGTCGAGTTATGTATGAAACCATATTTCGTTTCTCACAAAACTATGCGCTAAATCCTGCATCGAGGCTCAAAACACGAATTTCCTCAAAGCCGAACGTAGAAATCGACAACTTTCGATGTTTTTGAAGATAATAGGAAAAGGTTAATTATGCCAGTGGATTGAGCATAAAAAGTTGTCTACATTTTGTAGCTTTTAGATAAGTACTGAAAAATCTCGAAGCACCAGTGTAGTTGGAAAAACTAGAAAATTGCGATTTTGGCTAGACTTCAGGCGTCGAGAAAACCTTCATATGAACCTCGAGAACATTATGTATTGGAAAAAAATTAAGCTTAATTAATGTCAATTCGAATTAGTTCGATTAGATTTTCAGAATACATTTGTATAAATTATAATGACTCGAGTTCTTCTAAAATTTTACTGCTGTACTTTAACATTTTAGCAAAAACCGCAATTTTCTAGTTTTGCAAATATTCTGTTGCTTCAAGATTTTTCAGTACGTACCTACAAGCTACGACATATAGACAACTTTGCATGCTCTATCCACTGCTATAATTAACTTTTTCCTATTATCTTCGAAAAAATCGAAAGTTGTCGACTACCTTGTTAGGCTTTGGAGAAAATCGTGTTTTCAGCCCTCTATGCAAGATTTACCGCGTGGTTGTGTGAAAGCACCCGATATGTTTCTATCCTGAACTGTTAAGCAAGGTTTCTGACCGTATTCGAAAACCTGAATGCAGATTCCAACAGAATGTAGTCATTTTTAGATAAAGACACCTACTTTTTTAGCGAATTTACTTAAGCAACTCATTGAATAATGGCTTTAAGTAGTTTGAAACTATCTTATCTTGTAGAGCTAATTGAGCTGAACATTTTCGTATAATTTGTTTCAAAAAAATGTCTAAAAATAACGACGATAGGGCTAAAATACCGAAAAACCTAAGGTATTTCTAATAAAAAAAAACAGTTCTAGTATTTTCGCTATAAAAACCTTTTTACTTATGAATTTTAACTTTGCTTTATACTAATATGATCAGCCAAACGAGCTCTACAAAACTGGATGAAAACAAAACAATTTGGATACTTTGTGTTTTGTTTTGATTGAGTTCCCATGGAACAACCCATATATGAATCTTAGGCTAACGTTTATTACAATTACATCCTGTTATGCTCGATTGAAAGAAGCGTGCATATTTTTACTAGAAACCACCATCAACCGATTAGACCATTCCCATTGATTTAGATTCTTTGTGTTGACGGTAGTTAATAGTAGGACTTGAGTGAGCACTTTCGAAGCATAGATTTGGACCGTCGATTAGTAATGTGATACAATGTTTTTAGATAAAACAGTTTCTGCTAGGTCTACTTCTATGGTCATATCCGAGTTCAGCATTTTGCTTCGTGACTTACTCCCTGTCAAAATAAAAATTTAGACCAACAAATTCGGGTCTAGGGATCTATGAGTTCTAGCTACTCAACGACGAAGATTGAATTGGACAAAATAAATCAGCTTGATGGAAATCTTTATTTTCTTCAGAAGTTCTAAAGAAGAAAACAAAGTCTACCAAACAATTATATATGTCTAGCGCCCTCTTCAGTGTATTTATCAATGTTGACTGTTTGCCTATATCATAGAAAGCTGCAAGATACTTATTTATTGATGTGAAAATCATTCCAAATACAATAAAACCTTAGTCGCTTTTGTGCTTTAGCTAACTCAGATCCAAGAAATTTCAAGAAAACTGATTTCTGAATGATCATCGAAAAAATCTTAGTAATTGATGATAAAATTTTGTTATTGTTGAAAATAAGTCGAATTGCTTTTAGCGCTCTAATGTGTATAAAACGTATATGACAAGCGATGCCCCTGTTGTTATGTGATAATGTGGATTAACAGAAAAACCACTCTACTTAGAAAGAAAAACAGTGAATAACCTGATAGCTTTCTAGCATGAGTAATTTACAGCGCGATTAGATACGTTGAGATTAAGAAACGAATGCAATTTTCTCGCTGTGCTTCATTAATCGTAAAAAAATATTCATTTTATACACTAATAGCTAGATGATAGTCTCATGCTCGAAAAAAACAAGCATGTAAGAATACAAAACCAAATTACTGCGAAATCAAGAATTTGCTAAGTTATTTACCATTTAATATCCAAAGGAATTCTAAAAATCTCTAACAAGTATTTCACTTTTTATTCAAAGCTGTGAGTTTCATTTAATTAGAAACCTAATTAATATTTCATTAGTAAATATAATGATGTTTTTTGTTTATGTCGCATGATGACAATATAGCATCTGTCATTACTTTGGTTGCACATGTAAACAACAGACATACCCATGAAAAATTAAACTAAGCAATATTTTAGAGCGTGTATGTTTCTTTATTTTGATGAATAATCAATCAAAGCAATATTGTATTTACCTTGTGTTCGATTTGCTATGATTTATTGATTCGTTCGCGAAGTAGGCGTTTAGCGAATAGAAATATATAAAGAAAGCAGGGGCCATGCAAAATATTGGGAGGATTGTTTTTCAAGACAATCTTACAGAAAAAGAGCAAAATATAGACGAAATTTGATAATTTCACTGGAGAAAAACTGATTGGGGAGTGTGCATCCGACGTTTATCTTTATCATTTTTACATGTAGCATAAGTTACATTGCATTTTCGCTATATTGGATAATAGTTTTTGGTGAGATATTTTATTCAAAGCGAAAATTCTGAAATTCTCGGTCAGAAAAAAGAATGATAGCAGTGGAAAACATCTATATGAAACACAACCTAGAAGAAATCTTTAACATTACGGATGACATTTTTGGCTTTTTACATCGAGCATGGCATGCGCTAACATATGATTATAAAACGTGTATCAACAATCTGGTTATCATATATGATGTTCTCTCTTATTGAGTATCAAGTAAAACAATGATGAAGTAATATGCTCTAGATCTTCGATAGTAACTGTCTATCGATATTATTTCACAAAGATTCATGTTGATTTTGTTCATGTTCATCCATAATCATGGATATTTTTATGTCATCCAATACATCGATATACCCATATATATATATATATATATATTGTGATTATATCAGTCACCGTGACGTTAAAATACAAATATTCGTTTAAATAAGGTTTCTGATAGAGAAGCTCATGTTGAAATGACGATAGCAAGCTTTTCTTTTCACTGAAGGGCATCGTAAAAGTGCTTGTGTTTGTAAGATATTTCAAAGCCTAGAAATGCAAAGCTCATTCACAACTACAATTCAACAAATTTGCAACAATCAAATGTTTCGTTTTTAAAATTGCGTAATTAAAATTTCGAAAATGGGACGTGCTATCTCACGCGCAATCGATATATCTGCTAGTTAACTCTGTAAATCATCAGTGCATAGCAATAGCATTCTAATTCAAGATAGAAAAACAGTCAACGAAAATAATTAACTAAAGATGAAGGTCATCACTCATCTAATGCTCGATAATAATGCATTCCTTGTCAATCAATAATCCAAGAATAACATTGAGTTACATTGAATAATGAATCCATCCAAGATTAATCAATGCCAACATTTGAAGTGCGACGTGTTCGAATGATCAGATATCTGTTTCGTTGATATGGCAACATTAAAATCATTAAAATTCTATTCTATATAGTGATGATGATGATGATGATGATGATGATGAACATGAATAAAAAGAAAAAAAAATAAATAAACGAGTACTTTTAAAGAAATAAAAAAAACAACATTTCACATATATAAGACAAAAAAAAACAAGCGAAGGAAAAAAAGAGGAGATAAAATTACCTAATGATAAAACCAAAAAAACGAAAACGGAGAATAGAACGGAAACTAGATTGCTTCTTAATTAATTTGTTTATTTTTCTCTTGTTTACGAAGGAAACTCGCGAAAGAATAGTATTATTATTATACATTATTGCTAACAGAGCAGGACAGAGATACATGCATACACGGACTGTGACTATGAGAACAGAATCAAACAAAAGACAGTAAAAAAAACAACCACTGTTCGAAGCGACGATGGCAGAGAGCGGGCAAAAGTAAAAGGTTTTTTTTGTTTTCTTAAATAATAATAGCAGCACCAATACAGTTAATAAGAGAGAGAGAGAGAGAGAAAGAAGGAATCTTGATTCGAGTGTTTAAATAAGTTTATCGTTGTACAGATACGACGCGAAGCATTAATAATTGTCTTTCACCATCTTTGTCACCAATGGCAACAATTGTTCGATTGTGCGCAGCCATATGTATATCGATGGGTGTCATTCCGATGGGCATAGTTGACGCTAGCTGACCTGTTTGTAACCGCCATAAACATACATTTTGATCTTTTGAGCCAGTTGCAACTAATTGATTAGTTGATACACATGAGCAAGTAATCTAAAGAAGAAAATCAATTGTAAAAAGGAAGTACTATGTTTTTCAATTTACTTCGCGTTTATGTCCAATTAATTTTGAAACAAGCTCTTTGGAGTTTGCATCCCAAACTTTTCCTGTACCATCGGCACTAGTCGAAACTAAACACGAACGATCGGGCGAAAGTTTTAAATCGGTAATTCGATCGCGATGAGCATTTTGTCCATTATCATTTAATGTATGTAAACGTTGGCATGTTGGTATATCCCAAAGAACTAAGTGTCCTGATTTCGTACCAGTAACCATTTGATCATTATTTAGAACAATTGAACATTTTGCATCAGATTCTAAGGCTATAGTTGGTGGTTGTACTAATTCTTGTTGAGTTGTTAAATCGAATACGACATAGTTTGTTGATGTTGGTCCAGATGGACAGCCGACTATGGCAAAGCGTTCATCAGGTGTCAAAGTAATAAACGAAGGTGTACCGCCGTAGGATTGATTTGTATCAGATTTTATTTCTTTTGTCAATTCAGAATTATTTAAATCAAGAATACCAACAGATATTCCACGTCCGTATTTTTGATTGCCAGCCATAATGAGATTATTTGAATTGTTACTCAAGGTAAATGTGGCGCATTTGATCTGATGAGTCAATTGAACTGGTTTGCCGGTGTTAACATCCCAAATCTTTTTAGATAGGAAAATAAATGGTTAAAACGAAAAACATCTCTCTCGATTGATAATACATACTTGAAGTACACATGGTTGAGCATCGATTCCATCACTTGCCAAACCAACAAGAAGTGTGCCACTGCATGCTAATGCAACTTTACCACAATGTGTACTTGTGCCTTGCATACTTGAAACAAGTTGGCCATTCTAAATAAGCAAAACAAAAACGTTAAATTAGTTATGAATAGAAGAAAAAAACATTCTCTTACGACAGCATCCCATATTTGTGGCGGTCCTTGACTTTGTCCAACAATAGCGTATTTTCCATTTGGCGTCATGCTAACTGAATTAATATTACTTAATTCATAATCAGTTTGTAGACCACCTTCAGCAAACATAGCATTCATTGAGTAACCACCAGCTGCACCTTCCCATGCGTCAAATGTATCACGATAACCTTCTGCGGCAATGCCACCACGACCATAACCAAAATCACCGACGGGCGGTGCATGATAATCTGTTTCAATCACATGTTCTAAAGTTAACGAGAGGGAAAAAATAGTCAGTACAAAGAATGATTGTCTGAATTAAAAGCAACGGAAAACATGCAATTTGAGAGACATCAAATACGAGACAACAATCATATTCATGCATATTCCTACGTTGAGAATAAGCTGACGATGATTGCTGATTGTGTGCATCGCGTGCAAAATCACCATATCGCGATGACATTGTTGGATAGTTAGGGAAAACGCCGCCAGCAGTATCCATACCGCCGTATTCTCTAACGATTTCTGTAATGCGATAAACATTACTTTTTCTATTCGATTAAAATGTTTTTAATAGATTTTTTCTCAGCTTACCACGTGTTTGTTCGATACGTGTTGTTTCCATTCCACCTGATGAGCCAGCTGCAGCTGCCGAAGCTAAATTATCAGCACGTTGATCAACTAATTGAAGGTCACGTGTCACACGGCTTTCTGGACCTGCATAAAGTGCTTTAAAAAATAAAAGGAATGAACAATAAAAGAAACGAATCATTGGCAATTTTCCACATTTACCATTTTCAGTTTGTGTTACACCCGTTGCGCCCGTTAATACTGGCACATAGCCTGCGCGAGCACCACCTGGTAGACATCCTCCTAGTGCACATTTACGAGTAGCAAATGCAAGTGCAAGTGGAAATAGGAGAAAGGCAGAAACAATAGCCAATACCCAACCAATTGGACCAGCACGACCGCCTAATAGACGACCATAATCGACCAATTGACCTTTTTTAAGACCGATCATAGCATTAGGTTGAACTGGTAATGGCGTACGAGGTGGTATTATTCCAACGCTTACTGCCGGTGGTTGTGTTGTAACTAAGACTGAAAAAGAACAAATAGATTTTGATGCATATATTACAAAACTCTATTTTAGTCATACTTGGAGTATCGCAATAATATCCTGTATAACCTTCTAAACATACACAACGGCCCTCATAACACGTTCCATGATAACAATTTATACCAGCACAAAGATCAGCTAAATTTTACAAAAAAAAGAATATATATATATAAAACAATCTTCTTTTCTATTTAGAAGTCTTACTTGGTATATCACATCGTGGTCCTGAATATCCTGTATTACATTCACACATACCTTCGCGACAATATCCATAATTACAATGAACATTATCACATGGATTTGGTCGGTGAACTAAACGAAAAACAATTACTCTCATTATTATGCCAATTTAGTCTCGGTTTTTTTTCTTCTTATTACATTCTCGACAGTCATCACCGTAGTACGGGGCTGAGCAAACACAACGTCGGCTATTGCCTTCGGGAACACACTGTCCATTATTTGCACATGGATACATTGTACAAATGTCCTCTTAAAAAACGAAACAAGCATTAAATCTTTTATTCGCTTAGAAAATTCAGCTAAACAAACCTTGGCAATGACTTCCTACACGTCCAATTGGACATACGCATCGAGCTACGCCTCGATCGTTTGTACAAGTACCACCCCCACAATCGTATCGCAAACACACATCGGCTATAATAGAAAAAAAAAGGCATAAATTGTATGAAGGTTAACACACGAAGAGGTTTTCGATTAGAATCAGCTAGATAAATGCAAACACATTGTCATGCGATGAATATTAAAAGAACAAAAAATATAACATCAAAGCCAAATAAAAATGTAAATATATTAAAGAAAAAAACGTCCTTTTATTAAATAATAATAACGGATACATATTGTTTTTGTATTACTATTATTATTATCGTTGATAAGTAGTAATGAATTGAATAAATGAAAACAAATTATATGAAGAAGAAGCTCATTCTTTGCTGCTTTTATCGAGCTCGTCTGCTTTCTACTCACTAATGAGGTCAACTCGTGCTTCGTCCAAACACATGGCACCTGCATAACCCGGTAAGCAAATACAATAGGCTGTACCATCGTGTTGATTGATAGAGCATTGTCCATAATTACAATTGACATTGTCACAAACGTCTGTGTAAAATGATCAAGTGATGAAGAAACAAAAAGAAAAGAAATCGTGTTTTAAGGACAACATGCATATTTCCTTTAGCAAAAGGAATTCATTCATTCTCTTTTTTTTTGGGTATTTTGTCTGTGATTAAAGGTACATTGCATTCACATATACATATATATCAAACGGTTGCTGGCATATAAATACACATACCGTCAGATTCATAGCAATTCGGTCCTCGATAACCTTGTGCACATTGGCACATAGGTTGATTAGTATTTTGAACAAGACATAGACCTCCATTGTAGCAAACGAAATTCAAGCATGGATCTATTTGTCGATCGCATGCTGAACCTTCATAGCCTCGTTGACAGTCACATCGATACGATGCACCTTCATTGACACAACTGCCATGGTTGCATGACACCCGAGCACATGCGTCTTTATTAATAGAGAAAGAAGAGAAAAAAGAAAATTAATTAATGCATTATTTTGTAATTAAATCTTATGACCGATTCATTCTTATTTTTCTTCGTGTTGGTTATTAGATTATTAATCAGCTAATAACCACTAGATGAGGCCAGGAAAAGAGAATAGTGTCTAAATATTCTTATAAACCTGTACATACCCAATGGCGTAAGACAATCGTGGCCTGTATAGCCTTGATAGCATCGGCAAACTGCAACAGTGCGATCGATTTCACATCGACCATGATTACAATTAACTCGTGCGCATGGGTCTAAGAAAAAAAATAATAAGTGTCAAGTTCAATCAAATTTATTTTATCATTGATTTTGAATCACAAATGATTAGATGTGTAATCATTCTTTGTATCTGAAGATATTCAAGGCAAGCGATAATTTCCTCTTGAAAATTCATATTTCTCCTCTTTTTTTCGCATATATACGTATACATTCATATTTTTAAAATCAATAATCACACATTTCCTCTATTATGCAAATTGAAGAGGGTGACCAGTTCAATTAGAACGAGAAAGAGAGTGCAGGCAAATAGACATTTGACCACACGAGCGTGCGTGCGTGCTACTCATGTATGCGTGCGCGCCCTTTTTTTTTCTACTCTCTCGGTATGCATACGCTCATGTTCAATCATGAAAAGAAAAATTTGCATAATGTGTGTATAGTCTTTTCTAAACATCTATGCATCTACTGCGTTAGAATATGATGTAAAATGATTGAAGACAACGACGATTTATCACCTTGAGTATAATACTGAATGTATCAAAGAAGAACGAGTGATGATCGCTATGCACAGATAAACAATTTTTCTTTCTCCCCTCTTGCGCGATGATGATAATAACAATATGAACAGAAATAGCATTATCAACAGCCGAAGAATTATGCAAGACTTGCACAACATATTCTATTTTGGTATTGATCATTCTCATTTCCTTAATCCACTCGTGAACGCAATCATGTTAGCCTTTATGTAAAGGATCCATCTACCAATAGGCAATTATAAGTTTCAGACGGAAAAAAAATACGTGTATGCCGATCTTGTTCGCATTCCATCAACATGATCGATGTTATTACAACGAGTCTATTCTATCACCCTCTTCTCTATTTGATTACTACTAGTTTTCTTTTTGTTTTTTTTAAATTCTTTGTTTTACTGCGGGCAACGTATTTGTATAAATAGGTAAAAAGAGAAAACGTGAGCGTGATAGATTTAGATTGACCGCAGCTTTTATAAAGAAAGTGATTGATGTCTCTGTCCCACAGCATTTGTACAGTAGCGCAAGCGCGTGGACGCGTGTGCCGTTGAAAAATGTGTCTCAATTTTCTTGTCTTCTTTTTCCTACCCGCTGTCTTTGTCTTTCCTTTTATTTTCTCTCTCTCTCTCTCTCTCTCTCTCTCTCTCTCTCTCTCTCTCTGTATCTATTCTAAACTCAACCCGTTAATGGAAGTCGGTTGTGGATGATTGTTGCGTCACCTTTAACTGAATAAAAGCAAACGAACGCCAAAAGAAAAAAAAAACTACTGCTACTGTTGAACGTGCGTGCTCTTTTGTTACACACCGATTTGGGTTTCACACCGTGAGCCACCATAACCCTCATAACATGAACAATATGGTTGATTATTGCGATCTTTTTGACAAGTTCCGTGGTTACATTGATAATTTAAACAAGGATCAGTGGAGACTAAAACGAAAAGAAAACACATGAAATTTAGCATGTTTGATTTTGATTAAAAACCAAAGAACAAAAAGACAACGGAAAATCCTTGATCCATAAATCGAGAAAACCCTAGACTAATTCATTTTCCATTTTGGCTCAATCTTACGTATTATCAACATGAAAGAGAAAAAAATCGACTGATAAAACATGCAATTCTCAACACAGTTTGATCTATTGATTTCTCAAGGTCTCCATCAATCGCTTCAGCATCATTACATTATCAATGGCAAACAGTCCCATACACTCAACAGTTTTTCAGCAGAAAATCAATAGTATAAACGTTTTTTTTCTTCTATATATTACTTGATTGTTCACAACGGTATCCTGTATATTGAGCAGGGCAATTGCAATAAGCTAAAGTTGTTGCCGTTGCTGGTTGAATACAATAGCCACCATTTAAACAATTAATTCGTTCACATGGTGACCCTAGAGAGAAATATATGCATGTAAAGTACGTTATGAAGTAGAAATTATGTTTATAAAAAAGATATAAATCGAATGTGAAAATGGTATAAATGAGAAAACAATATCCATTAACTTACAACAACCAAGGTAGCAGGGTACCGCTCCCACAGGTCGACCTTCGTATTGTGAGGCGGCTGCTGCTGCTGCTGCTGCCGCTGGTGGTGGAGGAGGAGGGGGAGGTGCAGCTTCGATAATGGTAATTATCAATATTAACGAAACGAAGATATTCATGGTAAATAATAATCAATATAATAAACAATAAACTGTAGAAAAAGAAACGTGTGATTGTATGTCGATGAATGAATCACATCATAATAAACGACAAAATGTCGAATATATATATTTTTTTCTTTTTCTCTTCGGTTCTTTTTTTTCTATGTGTTTTTTTCTGCGGTTCTTGATATAAACGATGAGTAAAGTGAATGTCGTTGATTGTGGCTTTTTGTGTTTCAAGAATGAAACAATGTCAATAATAATGATGCTGGCAAATGGTACGAAGTTAAAGAGGAAAGAAAGTCTTTTGCCAATAATAATTCAGAGATGCGACGAACGGCGCCGGTTGATGATGGTGAATATCGTTCGGACTGGTATTTTTCCTTCTCTTCTTCTTTTTTTTCTTCTGCTTCTTCTTCTTCTTCTTCTTCTTCGCAATGTAATAATAATGGGTAAACGCGAAGGAAAAAGCAACAGAAAGAATAACGTAAGGCGCAAACAAACAGCAAACCGCAAAACGGCTACGACGTCGATGGCAGAAAGGAAGAATATATATATATATATATGTATATTATATATCTATATTTATATCTATGCGAAGAAAAATCTTCTATGAATGAGTAACACAGAAAGAAAGGATGTGAGAATAGAATAGTCGACTAATATCTTGTATTAGTAATAACAACAACACAAACTAGATGAAGGAAGATGCTTTATTAACGTCATCTCGACTGCATTCTCTCGCGCTCTATCGGTGCTAGTAAAGCTGAGCAACGAAGTCGTTGTCCTCATTGTCGTCCTCTTCTTATTTTTCTTCTTCTACTCTGCTGTGTATACATCATTGACTATGTGTTCGCACACACGTACGAACGGAGAAGAGAGAGAGAGAGAGAGAGCGATAGAAAGAGAGCGCGAGCAAAGAAACAAGAAAAAAAGCATCTTATTAACATAAAAAAAAGTACGCCAACCATACAAGGAACGATTGTATATGTGTTCGCTGGTTGGACTTCGGATGTTAGAAGTAGTAGTGCTTGGTACAGAAAAGGAAGAGAGACATTACCCCCCGCAAAAAAAAGAAAGATTTGACGTTCGCACCCCAACACAATAAAGCAATCTGTTAAATGTACATTTATCTACATCAGTGATTCTGTTTTGTTTTTTCATCTTTAATCAACTGATACTTATCCTATTGGAAATTTAAATTACAAATAATAATAAAAAATAAATAAATAGAATCGATCCTTGGACCACGTGCAACATCGATAGAATAGGCGAACGCCAATCTCAATAAAAAAGAATAGAAGCTGGTTCGAAATAAGATGATGCAAGAGAATATTATATATATATATATATGTTGGCTTCCTTTTACCACTGAATAGTCTCCCGTCTAGAGAACGTATCATCTTTTTTTTATGCTAATTGACAATGGATATTTATATCATATGTGTGTCTCAATGAGTATACGTATGCAAGCATAAATTGGGTAAAAAAAGACCTGTGCAACTCGTTAGTCATTTCGAGATAATATGATTACACCTTAGGTAACATAAATGAATAAGAATGATCGATGATTGGCGGTCAGACTTATATCTAGTTTCATTGTCTCTTTAACGCATAAATTCACACCGAAGTTGAAAAACATCATAACTTACGTTCGGGTATAGCTGCGCGATTGTTCCAGCTAATGCTTGGATCATAGTCGACTAAGGACGGATTGCGAATACAGCTTTGTATTAAGTTTTCACGGCGATTATCCGCAACAAGAATCACCTAATTATTTATTTAACAGTGTTACGAAGCGGTTGTTACGTTTTGGATAGTTATACTTACATCTTGTACATAACCATAAAAATTAGTTCCGCATATATTTATTTTTCTATCACCAAATAAACTGAAATACCCTGTCAGATTAGTGTAACGTCGAGTTTCATAATCAAATGTCAGATCAAGCTATTAAAATAAAAATAAACGATGAAAAATGTCGGTTATCAAAATGATTAATAGCATACCGTATTTGATGTTTTTTGACAATGCAAAGTATGCCATTGATCACCTCGTACACGGCTAGGAAAATCGTATGTGTAAATAGAAGGACCGTTTTGAATAATCAAACGTGGATAATAATTCTTCGAAAAAAAAATAAGGTAAATCGAATCAAGTTCGTTCATGTCGATAAGAAATTAAAGTTCTTATCTTTATTTACCTGAAGTACAATTGAAACTTGAGTAGGTCCATCACGTGCTACGTATAAAGTTGAATTAGATGACGTCGTAAAAATAGTGATTTCAATTTGTTCGTTTTGACCAGGTCCAATTTGAGAAAAATAACGAACTAAACCTGTGTTACCCATGTCAACAGATGTCGGAGCGCAGACCATTGAACAATCGGTTTGACCACAAAATGGTAATGGACGATTATTTTGTTGTTGACAAGGTATTTGTCGATCACACATGGCGCCCTGTTGATAGAAGCAATCATAACGATCAGCTTTAAGAGCGCCGTCGGGCAGTAATGGGTGACGGTTATAGGTAACATTAGCGTAACAACCAACAAACGGTTGACTCGATGTTTCTGGCATTAGCCGATACGAACCGCCAATCGTAACAACATCAAAAAACATCGGCGATTGTTCGGGTATCTGAACTTGTGTTGCACGTTTATCTATTTGTACATGCATATTCTGTTGTGAATAGGCATCAGGAATTTGTCGTGTAACTAAAATGTGATGTTGCCGTCCATCATTAATTGTTTGATTGTCATTGTAGAGAATGTGCGATGTTTTATTATTTGGTGAATAATATTTCAATTGTAATTTGCCATCTTTTAAACATAGAACTAAGCCACGTTGATCATCGTTTGAATACATAGATGTAATAACACCATTAGGCGACAGAGTTTTTATTGGCATTTGGCAATAGCGAAACTCATCGTTCGGTTGAACTTGAAGTTCGATTACATCACGACGATCACGCATTGAAAAGCTCACTTCAGGTGCTACATACGATATTACATTTTTGCCTATGAAGAAAAGATATGTTTCAATTTAATTTTCCTGTCAGACAAATTTTTATTTTGCGTTGATTATGTTCAAGGACTTGCTCGTAAAAATAAATCTAATTATTCAATTGATGTAGAGTCTCTAATTGTATTTATTAGAATTGTGGCTTCAAGGCAGAAGCTACTATTTCTTATACAATACGTTTATTTAATTGTTTCATTTCCGCTTGCTATTAATTAGCTGCGAATTCTCAATGAATAAAATAATCTTTCGCAACGTGGTACAATGCTCGTCTCCTGGACTAGCATCTTTTGTGCTACAGTTAGATTAACTTTTTATGCATTCTATTTGATCAACTTCTGTCTTGACTTGCCAGACAATTGTAAAGTCTCTTTTGTGAAACTTGATAGCAACAGTTGTGGGTATGTGAAAGAAAAAGAAAATGTCCTTCGATAGATAATATTAAGAAATTATTGATAAGAGCGGAGCGCCATATGTGTTTCGTACTCTCAAAGACTTAAAGTCGAATTGATGAACTATTCTCACATGAAAATAGAAAAACAACTCGCAATGAATTTATTCAAACGGCTAGTTCAATGTTTCGAGTATATCTTGATACGATATTATAATACTCTCGAAAGTTCACAGTTTAGAGTCAATAGACGGCCAGTTGAAAGTAGAAAAAGAAAAAAACGACGAGCTCTATTATTTCTTCTTGTGGTATAATTTAAAATCAGAAGACTTGATAACATGAATTATACAACACGGATAGTTCTATTCGACGTAATAAAAGAAAAAGTAACAGACAACTTCTTCTGGTCTATACACATTTTTATTGAGTTCGTTTTTTTTGTTTCGTAAATTGTCTACTCAATAAACACAAGTTGTCAAAAGTAAAGTATAATAATAGTGATGAATTGAATATAAAATATACTTAATGTATCATTAAAACTCATTATAAGCTTTATAGTTGAAGATAATGTCAAGAGATAAAATACATTTATATGCAATTTTTTCGCTCAGTAGGAGGGCGGCGCTCCTATGAACAACATCGGGTTGGCCCTCCCCGGAATGTTCAAGCACATCTCCGGAAGGTAAATTCTTATATACGACTACCGTAGATGTTCTAGGTGTGTCTCTAGTGTGTTTCTGGTCCGTCTATACAGTTAGTTCCTGTTACATCTGAAGAAATTTCTCACTTTGTTTTTGTGAAACTCATTATATATTTTCGAGGAAAATGGTGATTGTAAATTTAAAAGCGAGATGAACAAACCGTTTATGTCTTAATTATAAATGTTAAACTTACGTCCACGTTTTATTAATTGACAGATATTAGTTAATCTTGCTAGATGATGAATATGCTCTAATTTCACAGTAGATTTTTCATTTAACATAATATCTTTAATACATCCAATAAAGTTATCTCCATCTAAGTCGGGAAGTTTTTCTTTAATAAAACCATCTAATTGTCCAATATAAATTTTATTAATACGAAAATTATTACTAAATTTCTTCGTCACCACAGTTCCGTCAATGTCGAATATCAAATCGTCTTTATTAATTAATTTTAAAATTAATTTATGTTCACGTCCATCATTGATTAGTATTGAATTATTCATAAAAATCTTCATTCGTTTCCGTTGTTTGTCATCATAGGTCAATAATAAACGTTCATTGTAAATACTTAATGTTAGAAAATGCTCATAAGTTTTATCGGCTAATGAACAAATAATACTATTCATATCTTGAGTATAAAACGAAAAAGAAAATATACGAAATTCTTCAGGATTATCAAGAGTAATAATCAATGGACGATCGTATTCTTTAAAAGAAATAATTTGATCAATATAAATATCGTTATATGATAGAATTTCGGCCGTTTTTAAAACAATACTACTCGATGGACATTGTTGTCGATTTAGAGATAATTGTTTAAACGATAATAATTGATCATTAAATGTTATATTTTGTAAGCAGCCTATAAATAGACTTCGTGGGCCGAATGTAAAATTTTCGATGATCAATTTTGATGTTGAAAGTTCAACGGAAATTTTATTGGGTTTAAAAATTTTACTTTTCATAATCCAGGCTTCAAGATTATTATCCGTACGTTGTAAATGAACCGTATATAGATTTCCGTCATTAATAGGTTTTTGTTCATCATTTAATAGAATTCGTTGCGCTAATTTATCACGTATAACTAATGCTAAATAACCGTCAACGTCGATATTCAAACTAATTTGATCGAATTGCATAAGTGTACTAACATTCGAACGTGTGCGAAATGAAAAAACTAATGTATTAAATTGTGCATTGATCGGCGATGGAATAACTATTTCGTTGTTATCATTAGGAAGAAAACCAATGGTTTGACTCGAATCAGACGATTTCATGTCAACGACAACAAATACTTTATCATTTAATAATGATTGTGATGAAATTGTAGGCGTTGTTGAGTCTTTTACATTTTCATCATTCTCATCTGTTAAATCTTCTTCGCGAAGATTTATTGCTTGTCCTGTGTTCCCGACTATAATCTAAACAAAAACAAAATGTGTTTGAGAAATTAAATGTTTTAGCAGAAGTAGCTTCGACTATGACGGCAAAAGAGAAAACCACTCATAATATTAACGATGGACTACTTATCATGATTGGACCCTCGGGTCGGAGAAAGGGCTTAGCGTATCTTCCTGACTTACGCCACTATTGTACACAGATGACTGACAGCTTTTCTTAGTCATCTCCTTTACAATATTAGTATTGGTCTCTTTTGCGTACTCAAAAAATGAGTTCACTACTAAAATCGGTCAGTGTGTCCGCCCGTCCGTTTACTCGATAATTCTTCACAATTACATTCGATTAAGCTGAAATTTTGTGCGTGAATTATCTGATCAATATCTACTAGGTCGAGTTTGAAGATGAGAAGGATCCGTCAAGAAATGGCTGAGTTATCGAAAAAATTGTCATTTTTGATCAGACCATCCCTGAGGGGGACTACTACAGGGATTTTTCAAAAAACAAATTTTTTTCTCAGAATTATCCATAACATATATAAATCGACTCAGATTTTAACGCTGATTCCGAATCTGATATTAGTTTTGAACTAAATCGTAGCTTTCTAACGAAACATCGCCTGAAAACCGTCTCAAAATGCACAAAAACTGCATCCAGAAATCAAATTGCCTAGTTTCTCATGATAATGTTGGTGTTCAGACATTCTAGTATGACTCATATGTCCCATGCATTTTTTGCAGTACACATAACTCTCGGATGAAATCGGAAGTTTCCACATTTATTTTATACATAACTATAAAACTATGAAAGAATTAATCATTTCAGTTGCCAGAAATAATGCACTACAGTATATACTATTTTCTTTTCTAGTAGCTAATCTTCATTGTTCGAGATTATTAAAAATACCAATCTAATCATATCAATTTTCTTTAATCTAAAAAAATTTTTTTTGTATGAAATAGATACGGGACATGTTCTATAACTCTAAACAAGCCATTAGGCATGCCTCTTAAAGTTTTCAATAAATAACAAAAAAAAATTGTTTGTTTTCATAAGGAAATGCGATAATTGAAATGACTTTTGTATTGATTTAACTCGAAAGAAGAAGTGTGAACGCTACTGTACTGAAACTATCACCAAATCAATTCATGCGTATCAAATCACTTTAGTAAGCAGCTGCTGTGTTTTCGTGTGTATGAATTTTTCATGCTGGCTAAGTGAAAATAGCTGCGGGCGAAATAAATGCAAAATTACTTGTGCTTTCTATCTGAACTATTGAACATTCGGCTGGGATTATTTAGGTTAATAACTACGTTAGGATATTTTATATTTCGCCTAAAGGTAGGAGACCACTATATTAGCACAAAGTTCAAAGCTCAATGTGTTGTAATCGATATATAAAATGATTTAGTAAGAGTGACTGGTACATATTTATTGTGAACGGAAAAAAAGTTGTTTGAATAAAATGACTCAAGAGCCCTTCTCTGTCCGCACAGATCTTACTTCTCGATCATAAAGAAAAAAAGCTTTTGTCGAAAATGCATCTGATAGCCGTCCATTTACTCCCATTCGTTCATATTTATAAGGTCATAAAATGTTTCAATATAAGCATCTACACTATTCACTTAGTGGTTCAAAAGCTTCTTAATCAAAATTTGTTTTTTTTCTAAATGTTAATAGTTATTGTTTATCCATACTATTATAGCACGCGGAATTAATAAAAAGTGTTGCGTTCATAATAATCTCTTACTGCCATTCACGTAATTTCCTTGCGTTTTCTTATCAAGACAATTTTCTACTTGAATTCAAATATCATCATAATAACAAACAGACAGCGACGGCCAAATAGGCCAGCGGGATAGGCACACATAGACAGGCTTAAGGGTCCTACAGTCTATTATGAACCAACCAGAATTATTGGACCCCTGGCTTATACACATAAAAGGTCTCTCACTAGACATGGATATAAGACTAATACATTCATTAACTTGTAATATGTTTTCATTTCAGCTGAGTTCAGTTCGAAAGAAAAACAAGACTCGATCGTATCTCTACCATTTTATTATGTCATTTGAACTAATCAAAAGCAATAAAACAAAAAAGAAAAGGGAGAGCGAGAGACGAGAGAATAAGACGACTGCTGTTATTCTCAGCTTCATTTAGATAAACATACGTATAAGAAGGAAAAAAAACAGTTGATGAACGAAGTCCTATATTAAATCGATTTTTTTTTATAGTTCAACAAAGAATGTCGAAGTGTTTGTTTTCAAAACGCTTACATGTGTTTCTTAATTGAGTCGCTCAATAAAACAAACTCATAGCGAACGTTTATAGGGATAAACTTATAGTAATTACAGTTAATGGAATAACTTAAAATATTAAATGCATTTTTATTTTGTATATATATAGACATGGTATTGATCTACCAAACTTACATCGCCAATTTTTCCATTAAAATCCCCATTAGGGACGGGTGTTAATTCTGCTCCAATAAATATATTTGCCTTTGATTGCCATCCATCAGGCAATTGTACATCGGATTGTTCAACATTATCAAGATCGAATCGTAGCTGTAGAAAAGAGAAAAAAGAAAAAAGAAGAAAATGAGTTTTCTCTCGAAGACAAAAGAAAAGGCCGGATTTAGAATTACCTTTCTGTCCAATCGTTGAATATTCAATCGGTGCCATTTGCCATCGTTGATCATTATTTGATCAGTAGGTTTACTTGTTAGAATTACATCTGGAAGATCGTCTTGTGAGAAAATTATTTTTGGTTTACCATCCTGGTAGAAAAAAAAATACAAATAATTTTTTTCTATCATCTCCTTTCTACAATCATTTTAACTCACTTCAATATCAAATACATAATAGATATTATCATAGGCAAATCCAGCGAGAATTGTTGTTGCTTGAGATATTTGTTGATTAGTGAGAAGTGAAAAAGATATTGATTCTGATAGTGTGTAATCTTCTTCGTCGGTCGTATATTTGGTTCGAACATTGGCGGGTGATGGATATTCACTAATCGTTTTAGGTATCAAACGATTGCTGCCTAATGATGCTTCGGTAAGAGCACCGCCTAGACATAAAGAAAGATTTATAAATAAAACATAAGATTTGAATGATGATGATAGGAGCCGTGTTAGTCATTCGCCTGATTAATTTTCAACTAGTAGCGATAAGTGCAAAGAATAATAATCACATTAATATTCCACATTCAAGTTCAACTTTTGTTAAAGCATGTGTGAATATGAGAATATGTATGTCGCATTTCAAGAGCTTACCGATAGTAAAAGTCTCATTGAACGATGACGTATTATTTATATTATCGTCATTCAATAATTTTAAATATTGTTGTTGACATAAATATAATCGAAGGAAAAATAAAGTAAGAATAAATGGATAATGTTTTGCGAGCGACATAGACTTTGATTAGAAATATTTAATGATGATATTCGTGATTAGTCTATATTGATCATTCAAAGAATTTAACATGGTACACATGAATGATGTGCGAAAGCGCATCTATGTTGAGAGAAAAGAAAAATATATGAATGTTTTATCTCTCTGTCTCTCGTTCTCTCATTATCGTAGTGTGTAGGCTGATCGATGACCATCACATCAAAACGCAAAAAAAAGAAAGACAAAGAGTTTGTGAGCGAGTGAGTAAGAGAGACGAAAGAAGAAGAACAAGAAGAAGAAAGATTTCTTGCTCTTTCATATAGAAACTAGTGTGAGCTATACACATAGTTCACCATCGCTTCTGTTGTTCAGTTTATATATATATATATATATAGATGGTGGATGAAAGCAGATGATGAGGATGGAAGAAGAGAATGAGACTGAACTGTGTGAGTGACGAGTAAAGAAATGAGTAAGAGAAAAGAGAAGAGAAATTTTTTCTCTATTTGGTCCAAAGCGAAAAAATAAAATTGTATCGGCGTTGTCGAGGGAGAAAGAACAATGGTGTAGTCGTAGTAGTAGTGGTCAGCAGTATAAAATCGGTTCGTGTCTGTCTTCTTCATGTCTCGGCGACACACTGGGTGTATATGCATATATACATATACACATATATATATATGTATTTTGCATGAGTAAAAGAGCGTGAGCATCAAGAGTGAAATTAGTCGTCGCCGGCTGATGCATGATTTCTTCTTCATTGAGTTGCCTGTCCGGTCGGAACAAGAAAAGGAAGAGAGTAAGTGTCATAGAGAGAGACGGATGCTACGACCGAAAGAAGCAAATGGTTCCACTGTAATACTAGTGTTTCGAGAGGTCTTATATATTGAGTATCAACACCTCTGTTTGCGTTGACCCTAATCTCTCTCTCTCTCTCTCTCTCTCTCTCTCTCTCACATGCTACGTATAACCTTTGTCGACGTCGCGCACACTTGTGCACAATTAAATCGTATACATATATACATATGAATGCATATACGCATATAAATATATACATGAAATGTATCAGATCAGTTAAAGTGTGAGCACATATGTCGCACGATTGAGATAAATATTATTTTATATCAATGCTGAATCATATTTATAAGTTGAAATTCATGTTTCGAAATGAATAAAACCAATTTTCTTTTGTCAAAAGAAGACCGATAAGATGCATCAAATTACATGTAAAATCTCAATTTTCTTCTGACACAAACAAAAAGACATCAAACTACATGCATACTATATATTATATAAGAGCACTCGTGAGAATAAAACAAAAAAGAAAAGGTTCCCCAATGGTACGAGAATGAGCACTGTCCTGTCAAAAACTAGAAAGTAAACCGATCAAGAAGAAAACATGGGATTGCTAGACGCACCCAACACGTGACCATTTGCACTACTATTGATGATAACGGACGATTAATTCAATCTTTTAATCATACAATTTATGTCTCATTAGATGCAATCATTTCTTCTTTATACATTCCAATATAATATCAGATAACAATGAGTATGTCTACCTAGATGATTAGATAAACTAGTCATAGATAATTGAACGTTTGAGAAACAAATAATGATGAAGCAAGAGTACGATCCGTCGGAAGTACTTTATTTAACATGACTTGCTTGCTCAAGTTTATAATCGTGAAAAGTGATGTAAGAATGTGGGAGATTCTAAAACTGTCTCATTCTATCTTTAATCACTGCATGTTTGATCATCTTTCATCTTGCATAGATGAAGATTTATTGTTCTCAACACGCAACATATACATATGCATATACAGATGCTTGTCAAGTATAGTTACAATTAAATTCTAATTTTTTCTCTTTATATTCTTATTAAGCATGCATCATTATTTAAACATTTATCAGTCGACTTGTGTGCAGCAAATGTTTAAAAGAAACACTACACTTTTGAATTCAAATATTTCTATGTTATTGTGTTGTTTTGATTAATACAAATAATAACTACGTAAGAGTAGTGCTAAATATTAGTGATACTATTCTATTCTTTTAGAGACTTACATTGGCACATATCGAGATCATTAATGTCTCTTTTTAAACGCTCATCATTGTGCATAAATGCACAACATTCTAACGGTGATAAATAAATTCTCCATCAGAAAAAAAATTAAAATCTCAACCTTGAATACTTACCAAATGGTTGCTTTTGATAAGACCACGATATTGAGCGAAATTGAACGTATGTATTAAAAGATAACGAAGATGACGGCGATGGTTTGTTCGACTGAATAAAAATTGATTTTGTTGTGTAATCGACAAGTTGGCCAAAAAGAAAAACAGATAAGGATGATGGCGAACGATAAATAAGATTGACGAGCAACGGTGTTTGATAAGATAATTCAGTAATTTGTGTACGTAGAAGTCCGCGATTAAATGGTAGCCAAAGATCAAAATGTAAAATTGATGATGATGAATTTAAAACAATTAAATTAATATGAAGTGATGCATCATTTTTAAAATATTGTGAGAAAAAAGATGATGAACTATTCATATGATCAATTGAAAAAATAAATGTAAAAGTTAATTCTAAAAATCACGAAAAAAAACCTTTTAAACCAAAACTTTTTGTTTTTGTACCATTACCTGTCGAGCATCTACCTAAATCCCACATACAATTTTCCTGCTGATTATGAATAGGAGAGAAAGTAATAAGATTATTCTCATTAAAATTTGTTTGCATATCTAAATGATAAAAACAAAAGAACATTGTAAATTTTTTTTTCGGACAAGATTTTGTCTACGAACGTTTTTTAACAACATTATAATTATTTGGATTTGCACCAAAAGTAAATGATAATTCAGCACTTTTGGATTTATATTCAACTGATGTAAAATCAATTTCATATTTAATTAAATTGTTGTCTAAATATAAAATTAATCAATATTTTGCTTCAGACATTTTCTCTTCGATCTATTTATTTTTGTTTCAAACATAATAAATACCATTTGTCAAATATCTTATCATTTCTCAGTTGTTACTATAATTGTTTATTTACCCCTTAAGTTATTTTCTATGATTTACATAAATTATATACTAATCTTGTGGTCCGACATGAACAAGGATTTTTCCTTTTTTTCTGCTCGACTAAAAATACATTAACATGGGAAAGTAGACAATAGAGCGTCACTTAAACGATTGTGAATAACCATTGGCTATGTTAATGATCAGTTCCGTTATTAGCAAAATTAAATTCATAATTATTTCCGAGTACGTTTTATCGATAAACAAAGTAGTTTTAAACATTATTCTCTATTTGAAATAGATGAATAAAAATTATGATAAAGACAAATTTTCAATACAAAACCGTTTTTTGCTCTACTATTTATATTTATGATTAGAATTTAAATTTCTTTGAACTATGCGAAATATTGACGGATATTGAAAATTTTCTTTAATTCTTTTCATAGGATTACATAAGCGATTAACATATAAGGACATATGCAGACGTTCTTAATGGCGTACAGAAAACGGAGCAAAACAAGCCACAGTCAGCTGCCCATGTCAATCGTAAGCATTTTGTATTGGCTATTATCAACTAACACACACACACACATATATATATATAGGTATGTCCAACGTAGTGATTAATTGACCGAGGACGACAATCATATACGCATTGATTCGTTCTAAGTTTTCTTTCAATCATTCTTAAGCTTCATTCCTATGCATGTCTTATGTAGACAAAAACAGGACCATGACCCCCTTCAATTGTTTACTTGATCGTTTAATTCAAAAGCATATACTGCTCTCTTCACCTTCATCTTTCGATCTTCTCTGTGAAGAGAGCGAAAACAGTTTAGCTTTGTTACTCTACCGCAAGTTGAGTGAAAGAAGACGACACACTCGAAAGTCAATCTGCTCTATATTCACACACACACACACACATATATACATATACAAAGTGTTCATTATTTTTTTTGTCTCGGGCAAATCTTCGTTCTTAGTACGTTTGCGTAGAATATGTGGACACTTTAATCATAGACTGTTCAATAAAAGGAAGAAAAAAAGACTTGACAACGTAGGTGTGTATGTGTTTCATCATATATGTTGACAGGCGATCATTCTCATTATCTTTCTTTTGTCTTGATGAATATATACACGCGAACAAGTTCAACTGCTTGTGCGTGAATACCATATCAAAACAATTAACGCCACAGATCAAAGATTAGTACTACTAGTCTTGATAGTAATGACGATAAATCATAGATTGCATCATATATTACTAGGACGAGTGAGCAATACTGCTTTTAGTAAACATTCAATAGCAGACACGACGACCACCACCACCACCAACAACAACAACAGGTCAGTTAGATGATCAGCGTACGCGTATATGTGTTAGGCGTTTAATCGGGCAGACATAATGTAAACATACCGAACTGACTGACTGACTGACTGACTGACTCGATGGCTGACCGAACAAGAAGTGTTTCATTAGGAGTGATGCCTATAGCATCTTCTACATCTGGTTGATCGCAAGCGCTTTGTTCTGTTTAATGTTGCCTGTGTGTGCGTGTGTACAAGCGGAAAAATGAAACATAATATGTTGCGTAAAGAAGATGAAAAATATTAAAAAGATTATCGACATGTTCCAGACTAATAAATACGGTCATCATTAGTATGAACAAAAAACAAAACCGATAAGAATTTTCAGACAGCTAATGCCTTTTAGGGTTAGCTTTTCACGCGGCATTAGATTAGATAAGCATTGCGAATATTTTTTCTTTCTATTTTTTTTACAACTTAATGACTTACTCATCATAGTTAAAATGCTACAAGTTTTATTGCTACAATCACATTGATATCTTGGTTCTTCATCGACATTTAAACATTCGCACGATGAACTTGAACATAATGACGCTTGTTGTTCACACACTTCAGATTGATAATTATTGAATAGCGATGAATAAATTGGATGCTGGATACGTTCCGGGCATCCACAAATACCATAACGAAGATTACGTACGTATCCATGATAGGATTGAAATAAAAATTCGCTTGAATAACGCTCCTTTTTGTATATATTGAATGGTAAACCGCCGATATAAACAGATGAACTTGTACTCAATGATGTAAATGGTGTATAATTGAGAACTTTGGTTTTTATTATACGATTTTCAACATTTCGTAAGGCAACTGAATAGAGAACAATTTCTGTAATCAATGATGAACGTCGTTTGAATACAATTTTATACCATTTATTATCATTTATTGATTGATCAAATTTTTGGTAGGATTTATTTTTACTAAAATTTTGTTCCACGATTAATTTTCCTTGATAAATTGAAACAAGAATGGAATCGAGATTATAATTATCGTACGTATAAAAAATTAGACCATTTCTTGTTTTTGTACGAAATTCAAATGAAAATGAACCATTATTGCATAAATATAAAGACGGATAGATAACAAATATTGCATTTTTATCTTTTGCTTTGATTTCATTTGGATTGAACTCAATTGAATTCGCATAGGAAATAATAAACAACAGGATAAACCACATAAACATCGTCGGTCTGTCTAAAATAGAACGAAGAATGAATGAGTCTGTAAGGTAAGCGGGATTTGCAATAGGGAAAAAATGAGTGTGCAGCGTTGTTTCTTTCTACTAATTGTTCAAGAGTCGTTTTTTTCTTTTGTACAAAAGTAAATTTGACTCTGTAACGATAGTCGACGAACTTTTACATAATCAATGCGGAATTAACAAATATGTGATACGCCCATGGGCAATACTTGAATGAGAAAGGGACAAAAAACTTAACAGTATCCAATAAGAAAAACTAATCAATCTAGAAAAAGAAAACGCAGACAATACAATTGCATGTGAACATTCTAGCATCTGTATCTTAGCATAGCGACTTTTAGAATCAAGGTAAAAAGTTAATGGGGCTTCGGAGCTTCTATGTCTTACTTATTCTTGGACAAATGAGAGGCGAAAGAGAGAGAGAGAGAGAGAGCGAGAGAGAGACTGATATTCTCTCTCTCTTGCTCTCTTTATGTCTCTTTCGAGTAATGGTCAAATAAATGCGTTCATTCGCGGAGTTTTGTATATACATACGTTTTGTCTCTTCTTCTCTTCTCATTTCTTATACTTATTCTCCTTCTTTTCGCCGTTCAACAATATCCAATAATGCAAGACAAAGAGATGCGAGAACACGCGATATACATATGTGCATAAAAATAGGTCGTGGTTGTCTACGACTATAGTTAATTATTTTGATGAGAATGAGAAAGAAAGCCTCTAACAACCATCTTCGCTCCTTTCTCCTTCTTTTTATCGTTCACTATTGAACGGTGTCAGAACTACTAAACCATTGTCCATCATTGCTTTATCCATATACACAGTCGTATATGTTGGCTATCATCGTCATCATGCTGTTCGATAAATAACACTAAATAGTACATACAAAGATCTGCATATCATTAGTCAACCCTTTTTTGTATTCATAAGTTTTAATTATGTAGATAATGGCGAAAAGAGAAAGAAACATATTTCACTAAATGATGAACGATGATGTACGAATATATGTGAAAACAAGTATGTCTCATAGAACAGGAAAAAAATTGAACGACCAATCTATCACCACAAGTAACTAACATAAGCTATACACTTTAACTGAACATGCCATTTTTTTGTTCTATAAAAGTCGTATGTAAATGATTCTTTTTTTCTGTTGTTATTAAAAGCATTCAATATGTAAAGAAAACTGAATGCATCGCATAGCTCAATAGAACATTATGATTTTACTTCTGCTCGAATGGATTAAATTTGAATATGCTTATGTTAAATAGACAGTAAATGTAACTGAGAATAAGTACAAATGATATATTTTTGTTTTCAGTTCAAAACCAAGTGCACAATCAATATTGTAGCAACAAAGTGTTAGTATTACTTTTGCCAGAGGAACAGGCAAATGGTTGTTCTTAAGATGAAAAGAAAAAGAAAACTGACATGGAGTAATTTAATCTAGACAAGATTTATTTGCTTTGTTTTCGAACATAGACGAGCGATATTGAATAATTTGTTTTGTTCTAAAATCTAATTCATATGTATACATGCACTAATCAATGTGCGAATCCTTTTCACTCATATAGATCAATGAATAAGAATGACCAGTTTGCATACAAAAGATTAATAGCAATGTATAGCATTCTTCGACGCGAAATTTTAAATTATTTCAAACAATAATTATAACAATAGGAGAGAGAGAGCGAGAGAGAAAATAAACTATCATATTTTACTATTGTCAAATATGCTGAGATTAAAAGAAGGTCGTATATTAAACATGAGACAAGTGTTATTCAACGAAAGAAAAGATTGTATGATAATACTTCCCTCGTCGTCGAACATAGAAATTTTCGTTTTTCTATACATAACTTGATATACAAAACGATCGAGTTCTATTTCAACTGATGCTCAACATTGTGTACATATATACTGTCATTGTTGAAAATGATTTATTAGAAAAAAAAAAGTTTTTTCCTTATCTTATCTTTATTTGGCTATTACACATGTCCTTGTCTGCTTGTGGAATGCTGACGACAATGCTATTCATTTTCCGAAATGTTTTTTGACCCTCTATGTCCTTTCGAATAATAATTATATAGGAATTTTACGTCATATCGATTATCATGACAGACCATAGTGTCGTAATTTTCTGGTGTAAGAATATTAATGTAAGAGAAGAAATTAACTAATTACCCTTCTACAGTTAAACAAGAAGACACAAAAACGACAACGCCAAGCATGTGATTAATTTTTTCAACTTTGAAATTAAACTCATTCATTTGATATCAAATCTCTGAATAGAATTCGACAACTTATTGACTCGATTTGATGACAAGTAATACAGCTTTTAATTCATTCTTTGATTACTTGAATATTTTCGTCAAATATCCCTAAGTAAATATGCCTTTTGACTTCAATAGAATAAATTATAGATTTACTTCTCTTCTTCATGCAATAAACATTTCGTTTATTAACGAAAATACTCTAAAGATTGTTTGTTTTGACACGAACTCTCTTTTAAATTCATATGGCGCAATAGATTAAACACTCAACTTTTGATGAGCATTATTCTATCAATGTATTTGATTAGCTTGTTTTTTAATATATAAATTCTATTGCTATTATTGTTGTTTCGATGATAATATCTCGCATAGAAATCTTAATAAAATTTCTGTTCGAAATTTAACAGTACATTTATAACACAGTGCTGTAAATAAATATATATAACTATAATAAAGTCTTTATAGAATAGTGCATCCTTTTTTCTCTTTATTCTGTTCTGATGTATTCGCTGGAGTTTTTTTAGTTGCTACTGGTTTTCTTGACTTTTTCCCATGGTGAAGTTGACCGGTGGCATTGATATTCGCTGGTTGATTTGCATTCTCACCGCCATGGCTTGCCGAATTATTTTGTGCTCCACGTGAAACCTTAGGTTTTTCAGTATTGATAAGAATGTTTCTTGGTGCTGTTGGATCGAATACGCCCAAATATATATCACGATATGGTGTATCATGTTCACAATGAAAAATGCCCTTTTGTCTACATATACCACAGCGATTATTTTCTCGCAATTCATGTATACTGCCGGTTGTTGTCATGATCAAAAATAAGAATCTAGATTAAGAAAACAAAACATATTTTAGTTGACTTTTTTGATTCTTATGTAAGGAAAATCATTAGACGTGAAAAGTTCCGTTTAAATATAGAATCATTATGAATATTTAGGAAGCGTTATAGTATTCATCGTTTGACTAAAATACTATAGAGCTGATTAACAATTCAGTGTACCTCGTCTTGTTTTCTTACGTTGCCATCTGTGAAATATAACTCAGAAAAGAAATCATTCATCTATCTACTCCTGGTTTTAAAGCAAATCTGTTTGTACGGTGTAAAGAAAGATTTGTGCATCGAGAATACACTACGCATCAAAATACAATATCGACTCACCGGGCTGTTGTACATACACTCGGGCTTATTTTCGTAGGTTTGTTGCGTTGCAACCAAGTGTGGAAACAAAAAAAAGAAACAAGAATAGAGACGCTTTTTCAAGTTGAACAAACGTTTTAGCATTTCGTTCCTTTTCTTTTTTGCTTCTATCGCTTTGTCATAGACACTGATATGCTTATAAAATATAATTGCATGACACACGTTCCTTTTTACTTTTTCTCTCACTTTTTACTCTATCGATTCAATCAAGAAAAATTGTTACCCGGACAACAGAATACTTGTAATCAATGTAGTAATAAAAAAAAATAAAGTTCAATTCAGATACAAATGATAGAATCTACTTAAGATCTAAATTACTCCATTGGACTCGCCTAAGGATTTGTTTATGATTGAAATAATATTCGTTTACTTAAGAAAAATTCTTTTCAAGTATGGTGTATGTGTACACACTCGCAGCATGGTTTCAATGGAGGTTTTTCTCTGTTGCGATAAACGTTGATGAGACTCGATAAAGGCATTCGAGCACGGAATTTCTAAATATCGGCAATCTAGAACATAAGATTTTTCTAGTTCTGAGAATTCTCCGTCAAAATTTCATTAATATGATATCAAAATCTTATTGAAGGCGTACCACTCTTCCTTTCCTTAATTTCGTCCGGAAACATCGTTTTTGTGCCTCCCGTAAGATTGGAAATACTTCGACTACAGAGAACTTCCTGTTTCATCATACTTAGCAAATCTCTTTTTATCATCGAAAACATTTTCTACTCCGTTTACTTTTTCTATTCTCGTATGAAATTTTTTTAAAATCACGAGTTCTATCAAATTGATGGATACTATAAAGTTCTCCATTCAGTGAATATACCGTTCAATCATTCTAGTAAAACTTTAGCTGTCAATATTGAATCAAAAAATAATCGTGTGAAAACAATGTGTTAACGTAAACAATAACAAAATAATAAAAGAGCACTTTTGTAAAAGCTTTCGCCCTTTAAAATAGAATAATTTCAACAAAAACTATTTTGTACGTTAGCTCCTTCTAATCAAATATAAAAAATGAATTACACACTCGAATAATATTATATATGTATGAAAATCGATTTCGCACCTGGTGAGCCTTGAAATGATTATCAACATGAGTAGAGTGATATTTTGTTCGGCCGTGTATAATTACAAAGAACCGATGTAAAAGAACATGCCCGAGGTTTCATTCTTTTTCAAGCTTAGCAAATGAGAGAAGTCCGTGTAAGATTTTCAATGAGTTTATATGGCTTTGATCTACCATTGGTAACCCTTGACTGGTTTTTTCCGAATGCAACCTATTGATAATATGATTATCAGTGACCAATTAGTCAAGGCACTCAAAATGAGTAGTGGTTTGAGAATATGTCTCTTGTTCGCCCGCCTACTGCGTGAGAGCATTCTCTCTCTCTTTGAGGAAAACCACTCAATAGTTGTAGAGAAGAGGGAGTATCACCATACGAATAGTGACTACAAGAATTATATCGATGTTCACTTTTTTTCGATGGTAATCATCTAAAAAAAAATCAATTCTGCATGTTTCACTTGCGTTTTTTTCTCTGCATTAATCAACACTGAATTCAGCAAGAACAGGCAATCTTTCTTAATTGCCATTCAAGACGAGCCCGTACAGCCAGAATGCATAAATTTTGAATGAAATAATCTCAAATGAATGCTACCTGCCATTCATTTAATCATATTATACGAGAGCCTTGGTTTTCTCCCTCTATTCTGTTAATCTCGCGGTAATTAATCATATGCATCCGTTGTTAATCTTATCATAAAAAATAATCATGACTGATTATTCAATACTCATTAAACGTCATCGATACTTTTTTTAGCGAATGATTTTTCATAAACTTGAATATAATGTTTTACTTATCATCTTCGCTTTTGATCTTTTATAGGAACGTGCCTTACACGTGTGTGATGTTTAATCTGTTTATTTTTGTTTTGCATCGTATTCTAAACGGCATGGTGCTATGTGTTATTCTTGCGTATTGGAGCGCACGTTCGCATCCATATTAAACGATACGATCATAGACTTCCGGTTTAAGCGTATGTGTATTTATCACCTTTATTGAACTTAGCATAATCTTTCTTTCGTTTTTTTTCTTCTTTTAATGTGCAATATAAATCAAACGTTGTTCATATGACTTATATTCTATTCAATGGAAAGACGTCAAATGGAAGAGAGAACAATACTAGTTCGACAAATTGCTCGACGTCTTCGTAATATTAGCGACGAAACTGATCAACAACAATCGACATTATCATTGTTCGTATCGATTAAACGGCGATTTGTAACTATTTTTTATTCATTTATGTCTCGCTATTATTTAACTCGTATGTTTTTTTGTGTACTATTTAATTGTTGACGTGACCTTGGTTTTTGTCTCATTTCATTTATCGGAATTTTTTGTTTTGTTTGAAGACAAAATGAACAAAAAAGAAAGAAAACATAACAAGTATATACAATGAAAATTAGATGTAACTTTAATTCTTATCTTACTGCCTGCGGCATTCGATCGTTGAGTAAAAGCCTTAGTTCAGGCCTTGCACGACGCCAATCCTTTTCCGGTTCAAAATCATCAAGTTCAATAATATCGGTTTGCAAACGATCACAATCAGTAATCATTACCGTTGGCAACGGCATTGTTTTCATAGATGCTGTTAAAATACTCGACGATTTCGATGCACTACTTGACGACAGATATGTAGCATTGGTAATCTGACTAAATGTTGTAGCCCCCGATGATTGAGACGAATGCCGTTTTAGTTTAACAAAACGATCTATTAATGGTTTGCTTGAAGGTGGTTCATTTAGAGGAAAAACTATTGATGCTGTTGATGCATTTAAATCATTAGTAGACGATGCGAGAGTCGATTGAGAATAGGCGAAATTCCGGCAAGCTGGATAATGCATAAATGATGATTCGCCAATGTTTGATCTGGTTAATGTTGATTGACTATAAGCCATATTAGAAATCCCAGATGATGCTATTAAGTTTAATTCGAATTCTTCTTCGGGGATTCGTTCACAGCGCGAAGCAAGATGTGTAGTAGGTTCATGTACAATTTTAGATCGTTCAGAAATAAATGATATTGAAGTAAAAACACTTGCCCGATCATCATCATCGTCGTCATCGTCATCGTCATCGTCGTAATTATCAGATTGATTATCGTCTTTTTGTGTTCGTCCCATCGATACTAATGATGCTGATGGTGGTGGCGGTGGTGGTTGTGCTTGTGATAGTGGTGATGGTTGATGATAGAGATATAATTTTTGATTTGTTCGTTTTTTTATTTGACGAATTGTTTGAATCGCCGCGAATATAAGTCCCATAATTAACCAGAGCGATGATATCGAGCCAAATAATATCAGAAGACGCTTTATCGTACTTGTATAATACGGTAATGCAGGCAGTTGTTCTACGGTTGGCATCGCGAACGAAGTTGCGTTACTTGACATTGTGACGATACTTGTGGTTGACGACGCAATGATCATTGTTCTATATGAACATGTTCAACTATGTAAGGAAGGAACATTGAAAAGCAATAGTTTGTTTACAACAACCGTTGCTGATGAATGTTGGTCACAAGAGATCGATCCGTTTAAAAGAACGACAGTAGGTCCGAACGAACGATCGGAGACGAGAATAAAAGAATGAGAAAATTTATAATTGTTCCTCGCTTGCCTTTACCTTATGCCAACGACAATCGGCGTGGAGCTGAAAACTCATGTTTTATTTAGTTGTTCTTTTTTTTATCAAATATCATCGAACATTGAGCAGAAGAATACTGCCATGCGATCGACATTCATCATCTATTTGAATACGAAGAAGAATCGAGCAAATGAATATAAGGTCTATTGTGAAGTCAAAATTGAGTGAACCATGGCTCTTAACAGAGTGTATCGTTTTGTATGCATCTGTGTTATAAAAAGGCGGATTTTAGATAGCGATGGGATTTATTAGCTTTTATCTCTTTCTCTTTCTCTCTCTCTCTCTCTCTCTCTCTCTTATTTCGCACTGATAGAATAGATCAATATCTCTGGGATATTGATTGACAAATTACCATTTTGCTTTGTGTGTCTTTTCGATAACGCATTTGTCGATGGCTATCGTTCGTATTTTTTCCTCTGTGACATCTTTTTTCCTTTTTTGTGGCAAAAACTGAATGAGAATGGGGGAGGTAGGGGACTAGGAAGTTAATGCTATTTTATTTGTTGTCCTATTCGAATGAAGATGAAGAAACGGAAGGGAGACATTAGCGTGCAGACTTGCGTTCTATCCAGCGAATCATGTGTAATCGTTTACTCGGCATCATTGTCTTCTCAATCGGTGTTCATATAGCTTGTCCTAGTACACTAAACACTCAACTCGAAGCCAATTGATTATAAAAGAATGAAGCAGAATACGTCCATGTGAACATGTGCTCGCCTATCAATGTTATGATCCAGAGAAATATATTCTTCCATTCAATGTCAATGAATTTATTTATTTATATATGTGTGCAGTAGAGCAAACGAAAGAACTTTCTTTCAATTTCTTTTCTCTAATTATTTCCTGATTACTATTTCTATTTATGTATGCATAATGTCAGCAAAATGGGAACAGGTAATTGACAGAATATGTATATGTGATGACTGTAAATAATGTTAGTTGATGGCCGATGTCGGGAACTATATGATTCGACAAGTGCTGATGCCCTTTTTTGCTTTTAGCTGTCTGTTGCCTTGTCGATCTATCAAATGTAATGAATTCTCAAAGGACGATGATGTAGCGCTATCGAATTCTATATTGCTGTTTGTTGACGAAACTGTTCGGTCTGTGATACGTGTAGATGATGAGAAAGCAAGCTGCATTAAAAGAAGAAGAAAAACAGCGAAGAGGAGACAAACAATATGTACAAGGCTAAGATGCAAGAAAAACGTCACTCAGCGTAGGTCTTGACAGTTAAGGAGTCAATATACGATTAAACAAGAATTGATAAAATAAAATCTCTGATGATTAAGTATCATATAACAATAGCAAGAGAAAATAATCTGGAAATATTATGTTTGATTTCATGATGGTCTCTGTTACTGTTTCTCTCTCTTTCTCTCTCTCTCTCTCTCTCTCTCTCTCTCTCTCTCTCTCTCTCTCTCTCTCGCCATCTATAAATCGAGATTCTATTGCGAATCAAATGATGAATGATAATTGAATTTTTGTTTCCTTATTAACAAGCAAATATGTTTGATGATTGAATACCCAATTAATACGGTACATCTGGTTCTCTATTACGTTTTAGTTCAGATGTTAATAAAGATGGTCGAGAACACATGAATTATGCCCTTACAGTTGGTTGTAGTGATTCCACTTGACTTGATGATTCGTCGAAAAATTGCGTTATCTACTCCTGCACTTCTCTTCATCGTAGAAGGTCATTTGTGGAAAATAAGAGTTTAATATGGCATGATACAAGGCCAGGAGTTCTTTTGAAAACATTTTCCTAGAGTAAAACAACGTTTTAAGATTTCAAACGGAAGTAGACCTTTTTTTTATTTGCCATTCTATTAATTGTTAAGTAAACACTACGAGTAGGCTAATGACGATTCCAAGTTTGTTTGTTATTTCAAGAGAAAAATATTTCGTCTTGTTTTAGAAGTTTTTCAAAAAACAAAAATATACTTGTTGATTTCGAGATAAGAAAATAAAACGTAATTCTCCGTAAAAAGTCATTCCGAGAAAAATACCACGAATTTCCATAATAGAAAAAGCATGCCCTATTATTATGGCGGGTTTACTATATTAGTATTTATTATCTCCTCAATATTAATAAAGACGATTTAGATACTTTTATTTTCGTTCATATTCAAAAATTTATTGTTGCAATGTATTTTCAGCGGCAATGAATCAAAATCTATTTGATGCGATACATATTAATGCATATATGATGATTGATTACGAAATTGGCGTGCAACGCAATTTGATACATGAAAATAATAGATGAGAAAAAATGTTCTCTTTTTCCTTGTTGTTTTTTTCCTCTTTCGCATGATTGTCAGGAAACCTCTAGAGTCTGAATTATACCGAAATTTATTAACAAGAAACAAATTGTGTCCGACGAAAAGAAAATGATTTACGCAACTGTGAGGTTATGCACCCGTTTTCGATAAATTATAATTAGTATTTAATTAATTACTATTGTTTCTTTTTGCGCTCGTTTATCAACAAGATTTATTTCATATTATTTAATTATAATTGATAATAATAAATGAGGCAACATCGGATTCGCACCCGATTGTTATGTGCACTGCAAAATCTGAGTCAATTTAGATATGTTTTGAATAATTCTGAGAAAATTTTTTTTGTTTTTGAAAAAACCCTGTACCCCCCCCCCCCATCTCAGGGATGATCTGCTCAATAATGGCAATTTTTTCGACAACTCAGCCATTTCCTGACGGATCCTTCTCATCTTCGAACTCGGCTGAGATATTGATGAGATCATTCTGTGTACAAAATTTCAAGACAATTGGATGATGCTTTCAAGAGCTATCGTGTTAACGGCCGGATACGCTGACTGAGTCTAGAGTGTACTCACTTTTTGAGTACACAAAAATGAACATTTATCTCAAGAAATTTGCACAAAACAAATCATTTCTTCTAATGTTCTCAATTATTTTATACATGAAACAAGCTAGTATATCAATCAATCATACAAATAGATAAGATTAGCACTCTTTCGGATATATCAATTTTCTGCATCTGTTATTTGGCAATTTCTTTCCCTTCATTGGACATTACATCAGGTCTTATCGAATCTGTCAATGTTACTGTTATAGATTCCTGGCATTTATCCTGTAACTGTTTAAGTTAATGCAAATAAGATGTTGAAAATCATTAAATACACATTTATTTTCTCATCTGGCCGAAAAAACAGAGAGCATACAAAAAAAAAGAAAAGAAGAGAAAGGGAAAGAAAACAAGCATAATCCATAAATAAATTGTAACTAAAAATATTTTTTTGTCTTACATGCATTACACACCAATCATATCGAAAGAGAAGAGAGAGAGAGAGAGAAAAGAAACACACATACGTACATACATACATACATATAGAGACTGTTGTAATCTCGACAAGTCGCCAAGTGGAATCGTGACACAAAAAGAAAAAATCAGGATCTAAAATTATTGTAATTACTATACAATAAACTATTCAAATAGAATTTCTATACCTTGAGTTTTTAAATGAATTATATGAATCGTTGGTTGTCGTTGAAGATTTTCCTTTCATTGATTGTTGTACAATCGTATAATTATTCATCAGTGAATTAGCAGAAAATAATTTGAACCAATCGAGTACTTGAGCTGAAGAATTTAAATGAAGTTCTTCTAAATTTATTTGGCATACACCCATAAAAACTTTTCGATCCAATTTTCCATAATCACCCCAGATACTGATCTAGAAATCGTTTTCAAATTAGAATAGAAAAAATTCAATGATGCCGCGCTTTTATTTTCCTTACCTGTAAAACTTTATCTCGGTAGTTTTCTTTAAATGTCAGTGTCTGTTGAATTAGTGGATCGAGTGTACGACGAGTTGTACGTGTTCGTTGCTTTTCAACACAAGTTTTTCCATCAAGTAAATAGACTTTTACATACGGAGCTGTGAGACAAAATACAAACTCAAATTAGTGAAACAAAAATTAAAGAATAATTATTTACCAGGTGGCATCTTATATAAAGCTTTTTGAATTAAATTTCTTGCTCGAACTATTTCTACTTCAATTAAACCATGTTGATCCCGTATGCCCACTTGAATTTCACCATGACAAGGAGATGCAAGAACTTGTCGACCGACTAATTGTCCCGTGCCTAAACCTTCGATGAATTCAGCAAATTGATGTTCATGTGGCAGTTTAAGTCCACCAGACCATAGCCTATAAATAAATAAATAAATAAATATATATATATATACATTATTCATTTTCTATCTTGGAAATTTTTGGATCAAAAACCATTCTGCTATTTCCCAAATTAATCTTTCTTTCGATGCTGAACACTGTTTTAGAATGTTTTTACTTTTGAAGCTTCTCTCGTTTGATTGAAAGAAGCTTTAGAAATTTTAGTAAACCCTCAAAAATGCAAATTGTTTTAAGTGAAATGTTTTTTTCTTTGCAAGGATTGATAAGAACAAGCAGCAAGTCATATTTTAAGACAACATAAAAATAGGGCAAAGAAAACAGTCTCTTGTCCAAACGAAAGAAGGTTTCAGCTTAATTATTGACTTTAGTTTATTATTGAAACAGGCATTTATTGTTTTTAAATTTCAACTTCTTAATCGATTCATGACAAACGAGTCCGATGGATAGAAAATATTTTGAAGAAAAAACAGTAAATTGTACAAATATGTTTCAATCACGACCGATGGGGGGCAGTGCAAATATTCTTCTCACGACTGTTTTTATTCTTCGACGAAAACATTTACACAGCGCTCGTTTAATGCTTTTCAATATCAAAAGCACGTATTGATTGTTTTTACTCTTTTTGTAGGCAGTCAGAAGATTCCAGAAGAAAAGATGCATTATCAAGAATTTCTATTAAGAAAAAAGAAAGAAGTTAATTCATAATGAATTTAAGAAAGTCAAGCGGAATTGATGCTTGACATATCGTGCCAACTAGAATGGCATTTCTATCAATACTATAAAAAGAATCATTTATTATTAGCTACTGAAACTGAGTTCATGTCGCACTAGATCCCATTGGAGTTGTACTTCTAATTTTTCTACTCAGACTCTTCAGATCGCCCGGGGTATAACGAGCTATGTTCTATCGATTATCTGTATTCTGATACTAATACACCCTAGAGATTTTATTTTTTCACATAATCTTGATGGTATTCTTCTCGTCTCGTTTCCGACAAGAAATGTTTACTTCATATCATGCGGCATTGAATGATATTGATCACGTTGATGAGATAAAGCTAACGGCGATTGTGACGAGTCTAAAGGTGGAGCACTCGATGGTGTTTCATTTTCTTTACTAATCTGTCGCTGTAATGTTCGACTACGTAGATGAGGTTGAACACCAATTTCTTCGCTTCGTTGAAAACCAAATCGTTTTCCTACAAAAATTAAGAAGAAATTATTATTGGTCTTTTTTCTTGATATTTATTTACCGTAGCCAAGATTAGATGCACTATTTGTCTTTTTAGATAAACCGAGTATGACAAGAGCTTTGGATGACATTGATGGTCGTCGTTTTTTACTTGATTCAGGTTGTGTACTCAAGATAGAATCTGATAATGTGCCATCATTACGTATATCAGATTTGTTATTTGGCGCAGCCGTATTTATAAGTTTATCCGTAGGATTTGATGTAGGTGTCTGTGTATTGGGATGGTTTGTTGTTTGTGGCGTTTGAGTAGTTGTTATAGTATCATGTGTACGCATAGCCATTTGCCGAAGTTCTTCTTCATTTAATTGTACGACTTCATTACGCTGAAAATGATTTTGATGATGGTGATCATTCGTACGCGTATGTGCACTTAAGAGAAAAGCACAATAAATCATGTGAAATGAGAGCAAATGAAATTTTACCCTTGCTTTCGTATAGTTCTTGGCCGTTCTGATTGTGTTGATAACATACTAACTGAACTTATTTTCGAAACAGTCGATAATTCTGATCCATCTGAGTCTACATCCTCACCGGGTATTTCCGAAGAGTCTAAAAAAACAAAAATACAGCTATAGAAACATCAGGGCGACAATTTTTATTTTGAGAATTGATTTTCGGACACAGGTTGCCTTATTAAATGGTTTCATAGATCATTTGATTATGTCAATTGATGACCAAATAATCTCCCAGTGGATTCGAGAGACAGAAATGACGCACAAGTTTATTTTCTCAGATATTGACTTGATTTACATGCTCATAAACCGTATCGTTCTCGTCTAGGATTTCAACTGTAACAGCTAAATAGATCATCGTAGACATTTCTGGTTTGTATCTAACTCGTGAATACGTGCAAATATTAAAGCTCATCACATGAGAATGTTCAATGATTCATAGAATTAGAAGAGAAACTCAATCATGAATTAATTTTGTTTTAGAGAACAGATTAACTGTCCTCATGAATGACGATTATTCTCTTAGTGCTTTTTTTGTATTTGATCAATCTATGCATTTTTCAAACTCGGACCAATCTGATTGGCTATAACAGCATTCTGTTGGTAGAATTTATCGAGAACCTAGTTAATCTTGTCTAGCATTATTATTACTATTTACCTTTTTTTTTCATAGGTTTTTTATATCGATCTTCATAGGATCTTGATTTTGCATTTTCTATATCCGGTCGAGATTGTACAGTTGCAGTTGTGCGCCTTGATAGAGACGGATTTAGATAGGGTGCATTTGGCGCACTTTTATCACGCATGATTGGTATTCGTGGTCTTGAAAGTGTTTTTTCTTTCAATAAACCTGAATTCATTGTTGATGCTGCTGCTGTTGCTGATGTTTTTGCTGTTGTTGGCGAAGGTTTATGTTGTGCTAAATTTGTCATTGATTCATACGGTTTGTTTAATATTGGCGTTTGATGAATATGTGGAGCGTCAGTGTCGATAGATTTACTCGTTTGAAATGATGAACGCTGAGTAGTTATAGATGGTATTTGAGGTTTTGGATGATTGACTTCCTTATTGAATATCTGTATACGATCTTCATACATCTGACGTTTTTCATTTGAATTTGTTTCATTAAATAAACGTTGTTGTTGCTGCTCCATGTGCAATCGTAATTTTAGTTCAGTTGCTTTTTGAATTAAATCTTGAGAAACTACATCACAACGTGATTTTAAAATCCGAACGTTTTATGCCTATATGAAACAAACCTTTTTCTCTATTCGCGTGTAGTTGAGCCGCGGGAATATTTGGCAATTGTCGTTTGCGATTACTTGTCGATATTCTAGGGGAAAATCGAGAACATCATGATTAATTATGTGTATGTCGTTTTATCATTACGTGTCAATCATTGATGTTGGCAATATTTCATTATTGGCATTGATTGTTGGAAGAATTCGATTCGATGGCGATTCTAAAGATAGCCAGATATATTTTAGAGAACAAGATAATAAACATCTTACCATTTTGTTCAACTTCAGACATATTACTATCATTCAGTAGGAAGCTTTTGGTTTGTGTATGAGACGGTGAAGAAGAAGAAGAAGAAGAAGAATATTTTGATATTAAATAATACCATTCGGGTTGCCCATTTAGACTGATTTTTTTATCATTCAATGAAATACATATCTAATTAAAAAGAATGCGATGTTTTTCTCTCACGAGTTTTCTCAAATATTTACTTCACCAAGGATATCTTGATTACGATCAAGATCGATTACTTTAGCCCATAAAGATAAGTTATCAAGTTTATCAATATCGAAAAATATTACGCGCTGATTCCATGTACATATACCAGAAGAACATGCCTGAGGTTTTGTACATTTTTGTTCTTTAGATCTAAATTTGACAAGAGATTTTTGTTTTAATTTTATTGGTCCCCATGGGTCATAGGCATAGAACTCGAAGCTATGAAACAACACGTGTACTGATATTCATTGACTACTTTTTGTTTTAACATTTAGAAAAAAACCTACAATGAATCTCGTCCATATTGAATGCATAATTGACATGCAAATGATCCATGCTGTATAGTTAGATCTCTAGCACCGTGTACAGTAACAATAAATTCTCTTCGATGAATATTATATTGAAATGCAAGCTAAAAATAAATATGATGCATACGCATGTGTTTTGCCTTTTTTTATTAAATTAATATTCTTGTAATACTTGTAATCGAATATTATTTTCATTCTTCTTTGTTGTTGTATCGTGTTCTAAATAAAAGGCAGTAAAAGTTTCCATTGATTTTTCTATTTAAATATATAAGAAACAAAAAAATATATGTATTCAGCCATTGTGATTATAAAAAAAACCAAGAATGTTAATAAGGCATAATTAAATTAGTTGAAAATTCATTTCGAACAGAAAAAACAGCGTAAACAACAAGAAAACAGATTATGTTCAAATATTGACTTTCGACTGGAAGTAGAAAACCGCTGTGTTAAACGCGTATTACTATCAATAGTTGATGATGATGATGCATGTTCTGTTATTGTATTTGATAATGAACTTATTCTAGCTGTTGAACGTTTTAGTGAAAAACGTGAATAAAAATTCTGAAAAGATTCTGATACTGATTGTGGCACTGAAAAAGTTGATTTTAAATCAGCTGACTTTGGAAATGTATTAGTTCCTTCAATAGTCGAATAATAATCATCAGTTATATCTAATTTCGATAGGCTTAAGTCCGATTCCGAAGAATTCTGCCGTTCAAAAGATGAGGGTGGTGGTGAAACAACTGTTGATGGGTCAGGTGATGATACAGATGGAGGCTTTTCAATTGGTACAGTTGGCTTTGATAAATTGGAAATTCGTTTCGATAAACGAACTAATACATTCGGCTGCTGTGCACGTTGTTTCTGTTGGTTTTTCATTGGTAATTCAACGGGAGTTACACAATTATCATTATCACAACCGCTGTCATTTTTAAAGACGATATTTTCAGAGACAACCATTCGTGTTGATGGTTGCTTTGTCAATGTCATTGAGCTCGACATTTGTCGTAAGGAACACTGAGAGAGAGAGAGAGAGAGAGAGAGAGAAAGAGAGAAAGACGTCTTATAGCATGAGTAAGAATAGTGACTATTTTCTTCTTTTTCTTGCTTCTCTTAACTCTGATGGGAACCACAAACTGCCGTTATAAAAGAAAAGAAAAAGATTTAGTATTCAGACGGCAAAACGAGGCGAGAGATGAGAAAAGAACGAGTATTTGTCCAAAGTTGTTCTTCATCGTCGTTCTTCTTATTCTACTACTACTACTACTACTACAACTACTACTTCTTCTTCTCCTCCTTCTTCGTCGTCTTTCTTTCCGTACAGTTCATTACAAATTTTTTTCTCTTATTCCTTTTTTTCCTTTTTGTATGAGATGATGAAGGGAGGAAACAAATACGACAGTGCCGACAGTAGTGCCGCACAATTAAATAGACAGCACGAAATGGCTACTATTAATTACTAGAATAGGCCGCATAAAACTTGATTTTACCTTGTGATGATACAGTTGTAATAGGAGTTGTTAATGACTGTTCATTACTTGGCAATGTTGAATATCTATGGTACAATCAAACACAAAAAAATAATAATAATCATAATTTTGAAAAAAACAAAACAAAGCGGAAAATTCCATTGAGATTACGAAATCTCATGAGAATAAAATAAATTGCAAAGGTTGTCGATTGCATGTAACACACAAAAGAAAAACAAAGAAAAATTATAGAATTTTTTTACCTGATCGGCCTTTTAATAATCATATGAATATCTGGTGATTGCAAGGAGTTCTTTGAAATTATTTGATACACTTCATTATAATTCAAATTAGTTGATTTCTTTCCATTCCATTCGAGAACTTGATCGCCTATAGGAGAAGAAGAAAAAGAAAATGTTAAGCTTCTGTGTTTGCTTCGGAAGCATACCAATTTGTAATTGTCCACAATTATCAGCTATACTACCCGGTGTAACTTCAGTTATTTCAGCAATCATAGTAACATTTCCATCTTCGTTCTCTTGACAAATGCCACCTTGAACTTTTAAACCTACGCAAAGAAAAAAGATGATAAATGAAATTAAAAAAAACTTCTAATTCTCTTCCTCTTCTCCTACATACCTAATGCAGTGAAGATATCTCCTTTGATAATTTTCCCCTGTTCATATTCATCACGTATTGATGGTGTCCAGGTATTATTTTTTAAATGGACGTAACCAATTTGTTCTGTACGATTTTCATTAAAACGCCAAGTAGTTGTTGGCTGAAAAGAAGAAAGATCGATTTTTATAATTTTTTCTGCTGCTATTAATTATTTTAATTTACTCATAGACAATCATATTTTACAACATAGAGAACGACAAAAAAATACGAACAACATAAGTAATGCCATGAATATAACTTGTCTTTTTGTGTATAAAAATTTTAAAAAACCTTTTTATATGGATCAATCGATACAGCATTAGGTATTGTACTTGAACTAGCTGTATCAACGCCTGAATCTTTCCATGTTGTTTCAGGTTCAATATCTTTCTCTTCGAATGAAAGATATTGAAATTCTTTTAAACGGATTTGTGGATTATGAGCCGAACGTGATACTGGCAACAATGAAAGAACATCTTCATCATTCTTGTTCACTAGACAAATAAGCAATAAAAACATGTTTACAAATACAAACAATAGGAATTGAATGCAACTAAAAGAAGAAGCAGACGTATTATGGCATTAGGAACAGGGAATACTGGGTATGCATGCATTGAACAAAATAAAAATTAAAGCTAATAATCAATTATTATTATTATTATTATATAAAGCACCGTTGTTAGAAAATTTTCCAATTTAGCTGCTAAAATTTCTTGTTTTTGCCAATTATCATTTGCCAATATTGTTCCTAGAAAATTTTCGGTTTAAAAATCTCTCCAAGAATTCCATTGTCGTCGTCGTCGTCTTCTTCTTCTTCTTCTTCTAGTAGTCGGAACTCCAAAAAGATTTAAAATAGTTACCTAGTGGTACCGATTCATTATCATCATTAACTGAAGCTGAATCCGGCGATGAAACAGCACCGTCGTCTTGTTCGGAACTTGAATCGTCTTTCGATTCGTTTTGTGGTTGACGTCTTATGTGTGTTGTTGGAAGTAGCCGTTTACGTTGTGGTATTGCAGTTGGATTCGATTTTTTGTTAGCACCATTTTTATTTATTTTAATATTTTCATGTTCTTTTTCATTTGTATCAAATGGCTGTGATAGAATATAATCGGAAACGTATTGTTTCGAAATATTTTTTGTGTTTTCATTATTAATATTATTTGTATTAATCGATGTTGTTGTTAATTGCGATACAGAACTTGTTGTTGGAATTAATTTTCGTGAAGAAAAGTATCGTTCTTGTTTTTGTCGACATAAATTACAAAGCCAAAATGTCTGTACAAAAAAAAAACGAAAAAGAAGTAAAATAAAATTTCATAGAAAAAAAAACAGATTCAACCTTATTATATTGATGTCCTTTTAGTCGTACACCACATCGTACACAAAAACGTTTTTTACATATCGAACATTGACGTGCAGATTGTTCATCAACAAATTTTGTTTTTTCACATATTTCACAACAAACACCTGATTCATTCGATGAACTCCCATGAGCAGATGTTTTAGTCTGTTGTGAATATCGTCGGCCAGCCATAGCAACTGGAGCTGAATAATCGTCCATACGTGATCTGAAATAAAAATTTATTTTGCAAAACAAATCATGTCAAGTCAAATTGTTTTCTTTTTTACTGTAAAGCCACAGCATCGCGTTGTTCTTCAGCTTTTTGCCGATTAATAACAGCTTCAATTATTTTTCGTTCATCTTCTGTTAAATGGCTTAAATCAGGTGCTATATCCATTCGAAATTTAATTTTTTAATAAACAACAATAATAAACATTCGTCTTTTGAAGGAGCCTGAGAACAAAAAACAGATGAATGCGATTATTGGAAATCGAATAGAAAAAATATCTAGTTGCGTTTCTGCTTTACCGTAGCCCCGTTGGATCAATAGGGCAATCTTGATCGATGCCAGTGTGATGGTTTGTTATTTATTTTTTGTTTTGTTTTTTATTCTTCTTTAAATTAACTCCTGTATTCCCCAGTTTAGGACACCATGTGATCTAAAAACAAAATTGCCAAGAAAACAACAATTTGGTTGAATACTAGTTAAATCTCCCGAGATCTGCAATCAGTATGTATTTGACACTGAAAGTGCAAAGGCTTCACTAGCCATGCTCAGCGCTCCGCTTCCTGTTCTTGTCTTTCCCTTTGCGTTCGCCCGCTCGTTTGTTGCATACTATCCTTATTTTGATTGGTTGAAGAAACCTGATCATTTACCATGATCCAATAACGTTGGCCTCCTTGAATTTTGACAGACATTTTGACGTGAAAAAATATTTCTCGAATGAAATAATTATTTATAAATTGAATTTAAATTAAAAGGCAATTATTTTTTTATTCTAATTAATTGTCTCTATGACAACTAACAGTTTAATGGTAAGAGAGAGAGAGAGAGACAGAGAGAGAAAAGGGCTCGAGTGTTGTTTTCGTCTTTTACTGTGAAAAAAATGACAGCACGATTAGGGAGAAGTCGAAGTGAAATAAGAAGCCGATCTGCGTTAGCATCCGATCCATCCGATCAATTGACTCGACGAAAACAATTCGATGAAGAATTGGCAGCGATTCGTAATCATTCGCAATCCATTTGGTCAAGACCTGATACATCATTAACAACGCACGGCCATTATTTTGTTGATCCAGAACAAATTGAACGTACTCAAACAAGACCAACATCAGCCGGACGACATCATAATCCTCATCCGAAATTGTAAATTCTTTTACTACACTATTTTTCATGTCTCCTCCATGCACACATACGTATATGCTATTTTAGAGTTTTCATGAGAACAGGAATGAGAGAAATTCCATATGCATATGGTGCACTAGCGTCTCGCCTGCCCTCACGTGAACGTAATTTAATTAGATCTAAAAACAGCAGATGTTGTATTCTCTTTTTCTTTCTATAAGGAATAACAAATAAAGCACCAATTATTCCGGATTATATGGGAGAACTGCAAGATTTAACACCATTTGAACAACAGGGCGTTAATGCTTTTCTAAAATTAGCTAATGACAATGCAAAACCGAATGTGGTACAAGCTCTTAAAAACTATCGTATTTTAATGGCTAATGAATATGAATGTCCACCAATTGGTGTAAGAAACTATTGAAATTATTGTCATATGACCCCCTTGCAATTTATAGGCTGCAACAGTATGTCGAGAAGATGGAAGTCGAACTGAATTTTATCCATCGATCGATCGATTTCGACAAGCCACAAAAAATGATAAAGGTATTCTAGAGATTTTAATTATTTTCTAAGCATAAAAAATTAGATAATGAACTTTATCCCTTGAGATTTTCTTCTTTGGTTTTTTTTTGTAAAGCGGAAAACAAGTGTTTCCGATTTTTCTATCTCATCGCATCAACATAAACATTTTTTTTGCTTTTTATTATAGAAATCGATGCTATCAACAAAGCAATTGAAAATCCTGAAACTGAAATCAAAATTACAAGTAATGTTCCGCCGGTACAACAGCCGGCTCTCACACGTAATGTTCGTTATCCAAATCGACCTCTATTTCATTTTCAACGTCGAAGTCATAGTCACTCGAAATGTCCATGGCCATTAGCTCGTCATCCATTTCGTGGCGATTATTCCATTCATAGCGATTGGCATCCACGTTTACCTCATCATCGTTTAACGTGCCTCTGTTAATAAACGCCTTTCACTATAATTTCATCATAGTTAGTTAGATGAATATTATATTTTTCAAATAAATTTTTAAATTCTACACTTGATAAAATATCGAACTCATGTTGTCGTTCGATCGATTGAGAAAATGCATCGGGTTGTCCTATTCCGCAGCCACCTACAAGTGGATCACTTGGATAACCGGGATGACACATAAGTTCTATGAGAAGATTTTTTTTGGATTCATTTTCAAGTATTTTCAAACACTTCTCAATATTGTTCAATGTAAATTCTTTACCCATCGTTGTCATACCAAAAAAATAATCGCAATATAAAAGTGCATATTTATTAAAAATTTTCATAGCTTCTTTCGTTTGATTCACAATTTCATTATGAAATAAATTATTTGTATCCCATGTTATCACCATTTGATCATACGGTACTCGAATATAATTTATTCCGAATTGTTTAGCTAATCGTGCAACACTTTCAACAATCATCGGATGTACATGAATATGTTGATGTCCATCGATATGTTTTGGCAGTTGGCCATTGGTTAATTCCTTGTATCTATTGAATTGATTTATTATTTCATATTCGACATGTTCTTGTTGAATCGATCCTTTATCTAATTCATAGCGTATACCTAATTTTCCATGCATCATACCATTAGAATTCACTAAGGATTTTATTTCTATTAAATCATTTGTTACGGGTCGACCTTCTGTTAAATTCAAATGAATGCCCATTGGAATATCGTATTGTTTTGCATATAAGCATGCTTGATATGCATTATCACCGTTGACAAGAAGACTGGTTGAGGAAATAGATTTTTGTTGAAATAGTTCAACAATAGCTTTATCTCGTTTTGGACAATAACCAAAATCATCTGCATTTATAATCATATATTTCGTCATCGTCGATGTTGACATTGAGATGACGAAGAAAAAAACGTCAGCTGGTGCAAGCGAATGAGGGAAAAGAAACTGATTTCGATCAGTATTTTTTTCTATTGAATAAAATTTTCCTTTTTGTGATTCTCTTGGCTGAAAGGATAGAATGTCGATTTGTTACATAACCACTGTATGGTAACTATTATCCAAATGACTGCGTGGAATCTACGTATTAGGGCTTAAATTAATTGAAAGCTAGTGTCCCAGAATAGAGAATAGGAAGTCCGTAAATGAACACATTTAACTCGTATTTCATGACCAAGAATTATGAATGCGATGACATATAGGCGTATGAATGTAGGCTATTTTTATTTCAAATACCGTTAGAAGTGACGATGATTGCTACTGAATATTGCAGAGTTCGATCGATTGTTCAATACTAATTATATATATATATATATACACGAGGTCTTAATGTAAAAGTTATTAAGAAATATTCAATGGATTTGAACGTAATATTTTAGGACTAACTAAAATCAATATAATAAAAATAGCGCTATTGTATAATATTTATTTACAAGAGTAAAAATTATAAGCAAATCGTTGAAACTTATTTTGTGGAACTCACATATATTTTCGAAGAAAATAGTGAGTGTAAGTTGAATTGTTAGGTTTTTACGGCTCCCCTGTACCCCACCCCCTCCCCATTACAGACGTAAAATATAAAAAAACTAACACTTAGATGCACTAATTAGAAATTATTTTTGGTACAGGTCGATTGCCTAAGTTCACCACTGCTCACATCAGTAATAAAAATCTTGTTTCACTAATTAGAAGTCATTATAATTAGGATTTAATCTCTAATTAAGACAGTATTATATATTTTTATTATTACAGAAGCGAGCAACTAGTTTACGCTACTATTACACTCGTTACTTCTACCACCGACAATAAACAGATAAAGATTTTAATCTTTTTCTTGTCTCACACAAAGACCCTATTCTAGAGCTTGAATCCACTTTAGTGTATTTACGATTAGCAACTTTTCCATCCACTGGGAAGCTTTTATCAAATTTTCGTTTATGAAAAAATGTATCAGTTTCTCACCTAGTAATACGAAAAAATATAAATTTTTCAACAATATTGATAGCTATGTTCTAAATACTGTTTAAATTATTATCATTCACAATATTTCTCAATGAAACCACTAAACACTTCAGCATACTGACATATTCTAAACAAAATTTTTTTTATACGTTCTCTCTAGTAATATTGCCTATTGATAGATCCAATAACGTTCAAATGTTAAGAAGGTTTTATTATCTTATTTGTCTTACTTTATGAAATATCAATAAAGGATTCTGTGCAAAAATCGTTGAATTCTAAAAGTATCAAAGATTATTATTCGATAATAATAATTTTTGAATTTTTATAATTCAAAATGAGTCAACACACGATTTGACACTTTTTCAATTGAAACATGATCTCATAAAGATCTAACTTCTCAAAGCAATAGTTTACGAAATGGTATTGGTTAAGTTGAAATTGTATATTTCATATTAAACTCCAATAATGTGATTATATCTCTTTTGGGTTTCTTTTTGTGGCCTGACTTGAATTTATCATGTATTGAATGTTGATCACGTTTTTTCTTTCTTCCTCATTAAATCGCAAAATCAAGCTTAATTATCTGTATGTTATATTTTTGTCTTCTTTGCGCTCGCTGCAAATAACCATCGAAAGGATAATCGCTTATGTCTACTCTCGCTGGTTATAAGATAAGATTCAAAATCATATTGTCAATTATAAATGATTCATTTGTATTTAAAATATGAATAGAGAAAGAGACAGATAGTTGAAACGATATCCAATAGGGTTAAATAGATGTGACACGATAATATGCCCTGCTCGGTCTGTTTATTTTCAACATACCTTCGAGCAATACGAGTGGGCGTGAAATCAATGGGGATGTATATGTGTGCTCAATGACTGATGACTATTCTTAGTGATCGAGCTGGCCATTATTATCTGTATCTTTCTCGCTCTTTACCGAATAAAATTCATGCTTGAATGCGTTTCATCCGAGTGTATACTCGTATTGCGAATCGAAAATGAGAGAAAGAGAGAGAACGAAAGCTCGCGACAATAGTATAAATACAAGCACATATGAATTTATTGCAACAGTAGTAAATTTTAGTACGAACGAATGCATTATTCAAAGAGACTTTGTGATGTTGCTTTTATATTTCACATTCTCTTTCAATAGTGCCTTTGTCTAATTCAATACAGCTACGAAAACCAAAAAAATAATAAGAAGGTAAAATTAAGGGTTAAGAAACTATATCACATGGAAAATATTTTGTTATTCTCGAGACAAGAAAATATAGATGATTTAATTGTCTTCATGTATCAAAAATCCACCAAATGTTGAATATCTCCAACCGTATAATGCTGTTTTGAAATAGTAATCTCCATCTTCACGTGATTGTGCACGTATATAAATTCGGTCGCCTTTGATTAAATATAAAACGACTGTTGTTGATGCTGTATTCCAAATAGGTACTTTTTGATTTTTAACTGCCGTTAAAAATCCTTCGACCCATAAAGGTACAATATTTTCCGTATTTTTGCATAACGATACCGATGCCTACAAAAAAAAAATAATACTCAAAATCAGATTTCTTTTTTTTTCTCTCTTTCATGTAAATAACATACAATATGATTTGCTGGTACACACACTGTTAAACTAAATTCATATAAACCACTAATAGGTGCGTAGTAGATACCAGTATTGTTATTCAGATTATTATTTTTATTTAATATAACATCATCCCATATGACAATAGCGGCACTCTCTTGAAGAGAATATGTTTTATTTAAAGCAACAAAGAACGCTGATTTTAAATTCAAATAGCCGTCACGACCTTAAAAGCAACAGCAAAATGATCGAATAAAAAGAAAGTTACATGTTTCTTTTAGATTTACCTGGTGGTCCAGGTAGACCTGGAGGACCACTTGGACCTTGCATGCCTTGTTTACCTGGCGGACCCGGTGGCCCTAAAATGAAGAGAGAAAAAAAACATTTGTTTTAATGTATTTATTTTTCCTGTGGTTAAAATACAAACATACCAGGAGGTCCTTGAATATCGAGTGTAACTCGACTTCGAGCATCTAAAATAAAATATTTGAAATATTTGATTGTGTTCTATTTTCATCTATTTACTTGGGCAATTAATATGCAATTTGCATTGATTGGGCGATGATTTTTTGTTTGCTACATTGCCGTATGTCACTGCCAATGAAGATGGCTGATATTGTTGCTCAGGATAATTATTGGTATCTTGACTTCGTTTGCCTGTATTCTTTGATGGTGTTGTTTGTTGTTGTTGTTGTTGTTGTTGTTGTTGAGATCGATATTCATAGTAATTATATGGAGGTGGTGGCGGCGGTGGAGGTGGTTGTGCTGCGTACGGATCGGTATTAATTGGTAACCCGGGATCAGCTGTAGTAATTATTGATATAACAAATAGATCAAATACAATTGAATGCAACATTATAAATACTCGAACTACAAAGAGAAAAACATCCGAAGGTGATAATTTCATCAATGAATCGAAATAAAAGAATTTTATCACACAACGGAAGTTTAACAAGTAGAGATGTCTTTCATTAAGATATGAAATTGAAAAAGAAAACGAAAAGAAAAGGAATCAATGAAATCTATTTAATATGTTTCTTTTTCCATTTGCTATGATGTTTGATTAAACAATTCCTAACTCATATGTCTATGTGTTTGGCCATGCATTGGAATATATATATACAGCTATGCGTCAAGGGTTCTAATATAGATTCTCACTCACTTGTTTTCTCTATAGAGAACTAAATCCGCCAATAGTAAGAGATCTACCTTATTTCCTTTGCATGTATGTGTACACGTTTGTCTTGATAGTGTTTAGAAAACGAAGCATCAGAAACACACGCACTTGATAAATTATTAAATAGAATGCGAACCTATACGATGACTTTATTTATCACTCGTTGTTGTTGTTATGTCAAGAGAAACGCCGGAATCAGAATAGAGAAAGAAGAAAAATCTGAAAAAAAGGAAAAGTCATCGAGCATAGTAAAAAGGGTGTTCAAGATTGATCTTTTCTTCTTATTCTTTCTAACTCTATTAGTTGAATAAAAGAGGGAAGAAAGATGATGGAAAGAAATAGAAGAAAAAAGAAAATGTAAATAGTACACCTTTACAGTCGTCGTTTTCTTTCCGGTTTCAAAAAAACCTATTCTTTATATATATATATTATATCTATATATATATATTTATTTATATATAGAGAGAGTGTGTGTGTGGAATAGATGCTTGCATTTCTCAGCCATTCTCTAATCTGTCAACAAAAACTAGATTTGATAAAGAGAAATGAGTCTGGATTTACGTGCTGCCGTTTTTTCCTTATCACACAAAATAAAAGTCTCGATCAAAATTGAAGGTCGAATCACATATCGTTTTTACGATGTGAATGGATAGCATATCGATCGAATTTATTATTCCGTGCACAGCATTTCTTTTCTCCTACTCTCTAGTTAACAATGATAGAGAAGTGTGTGTGATAGATAACGCTTAATCACAGAACTTTAAGTTCAATCAAAGCAGTTGAGAATAATTTTGCTTTTTTTCGACTTCGCTTCAAGGCATCCGTGCTTGTGAATGAACATAATGAAGCAGTCGTTCCCTTGTCGCCAGAAAAATCGATATCTTCGTAATGAGACGAGAATTTATTTTAAATGCTGCATAGATTCACAAATCATCGGCTACTTGCAGAAAAACTAGAGAGCGAAGGGAAGCACAGGCAATGCCGTTTCTCGTTTTATCTATTCTACTATTAAACAAAATCATAGGAAGTCATTTTTGCTTTCGTTGAAAGCACAATATATTCTTTCTTTTTGTTTTCTATCATCGTTATTAGTGATTCAGTCTTTTTTCTTTCAATATGCGAGTTTAAAAAAAATAAGATGAATAAGTGATTATTAACACACGTCAACGCGATTACATTACGCATAAAGAGTTCACCAGCAGAATACGCTACTATCATGTGAGCCGAATAATATAAAACTGTCAGGAGAAAAGAAAAGACGCATAGACCTTCGACAGATATCATAACTAACGGATCCTTCGATGAATTCGTGCACGAGTTGTTCGAAGCCGAATAGTAAGAGATAATTAGCAAAAGCGGAGTTCTTTTTATTGGCAATAGAAGAAAAATGGTTTCTTCCTTTCTTTCTTTCTTTCTTTCTTTATTTATTTATTATTTATTTGGCAGTTGAATTTTTAGCTCTTGGAGTTGAAATTGTTTTTTTATGATTTTGCCGATTGGTTTTTATCTTTCTGCTTGATGTGGCCGTCGGTACTGTCGGTATTGTCGATAATGAATGTTGTTGTATTTGATTGGCTGTTGATTGTGATGTTAATGGATCTTGAACGGGTGCTGTAGTCTGTAGAGAAAGAAAAACGGTGATCATAATGACGAAGAGAATATTCTCGAGAAAATAACCTGATCATCATCTACAGTTATTTCAGGAACAAACCGAACATTTCGTGATGAGGATTTTGATGGATATTCCGGAGATTTAATAATCAGAATAGGCTTTTTTGTAGTGCTAGTTGATGTTGTTGCCATCGTTGTGTTCTCTAATGTATTGAGTTGGTTAATGATTTTTGACTTCGTTGTTGGTGATGCTTGTGTATATCATTATTCATCACACTGTGTGAAGTAATGAGTTTTTTTTTTCGATTATATTTTATGCAAAAGCAAGAATAACGCTTCGTTAAATTTTGCAAATGTTCAGTAGCATTGTTTTCTATGGCCTAAATCATTCGATCGATTCCGGTGGTGAATATTTGTTTCAATAATTCGACTAGTTAAATTTATACATCGGCTTGATTGATGTTGATCGATCAACACAAAATATATAGATATATATCATTTTCATTTTCAAGGATAAGGATAATTAAAATTCGATTGATATAGTAGAAGAGAGCATGTCGCAGATTTGTTAATGATGCGATTAATATTGGCGATAGGATAGAATATCAGCATACTAATTAGGCTTGATCGTGACTAATATATTCTTAGTGAAAAGAAAAAGGAGCTGTTTGAATTTACAGTTTGAATAGAAAAGCATGTGTAGTAAACATAGCAACGACTCCCGAGTATTTTGATCGTTAAAACAACTATCGTTTGTTTGGCATCCACAATGACTGAAGAAGTCTATCGGCATATACCAGCACTCCACTTACATTTTTGCCTTGTAAAAACAAATTAAAAGAAACATTCATCTGTGTGTATATATATATAAATGGCAAAAACTCAACAGATGAAATTATAGGATTGTGCTGTTGGAAAAAAAGGGTCACACAAACATACCTGTGAGCTCGGATAAGAAAATTTCAATATCCATTAGTCTGAAATGCATTATATTATGTAAGCAAAAAAACAAACATTTACGATAAGCAAGCAGCAGATAGGTGAAACTTTATCAATGAGTTCTTCTGTTTTTTGTTTTGTTTTATAATTAGAAAAAAATATTGGAAAGGTATTAGTGAAAAGATAGACATGTTAAGTTTTAAGTTAAGTAGATAATTGATTGTGTTTTGCATGTAAAGAACATTTACAATTGGCAGCATGTTCGCGTTTGATTTTTCTTTCGAAATCTCTCACCTCTTCGGAAGACAGAAAATGAGATCGCGTCGCGTCAGTCTAAAATATGAACGAAAAAACAAAAATTGTGTTCTTGTTTCTTTTTGCATTTGAATGATTTTCATACATATTTGACGGATCGTTGTTTTGGTGCAGCATATCCGGGAGATCTATGTTGTCCGCCGTTGTTTTGAGCACGTCTTTGCTCTTCAATTTTATATTGATTTACTTGATTGACAACTTTTGAATACATTTTTCTCTTTTGTTCTGTTTCAAGCTTTAAAAGAACAACAAGAAAAAAAAACTTGATGAATAATAACAATGAAAACATGAAAAATCTTGTACTTTTTCTTCGTATGTTCGATAATCATCGCTTCCGAATGCCGGACCAAAGCCGCCATTTTGTACAAAAGTTTTGTACTGTGTCATAACTGCTTTATGTTTGACTTTTTCATCTTGTAAACGGCGTCGATGATTTTTATACGCACTGACATAACTGCCTATTTTAAAGAGGAAAAAAATGGAAATCAATATTTTTCTACAGATTCATAACTCACCGGGATCGGGCGCTGCTAGACCATAAAGATATTCATGAATTTTAAAATGATTTGAACGAGGCATATTGGAAGTTGTTGTATCAGATTTATTGTCATCGACTTGATTACGATGTGTTTTCAATTTCGATTGATATTGATTTGATTCTGGTGAACGATTTTCATGCGGCGAAGAATCATGACTTTCTCTACCGGACATATAATCTGTCGATGGTGTGTGACGGTTATGATCAATAATTTGTACACGTTTTTGTATTGGTGGCGGAGGAGGCGGCGGTGGTGGAGGATAGTTAACAGCTCGATTTTCATTGTGCTGATTTAAATAACCATTATGGCGATGTTGTTGTAATGGGATATGATATTCATCTTGAGAAGCATTATTTATCGAGAAATCAATATTACCATAGGAATTTTCATTATTTTGATATTGATCTTTTGAATGTTGATGCGTTTGAGGGTGTGATGGACCGGGTGGTAGAGAACGTTTTACTGGCTGCTGATTTAGAGTCGGAGGATGATTTCCACGATTTGGACTTGGAGGAATATATCGGGAATTGTGTGCTGTATTATTCCAAGTGAACTTGAAGGACGAAAAAAAAAGTCTCAAACAAAACAATTATTTTGACTTTGTTTTACTTACCGCATCAGAATTATTTATTCTTGATCCTGGTGGTGAATACGATCCATCATAACCATTCGGATAAAGGGACGTCGTTGCTACCGTAGGTAGTTTCCAAGTTGGCGCAAGAAATGAGTATTCCGCTTCGAGAGAATTCATTTGTTTCTTGTACTACTATTGCTAAAACATACATAGAAACTAAAGCATTCAACATATGTTTGAGTATGAAAGCATTATATATTGCTCTTTTTACAAATGCACAATGTTTACTTTATAATAGCTGAAGCCTTTTGATGCAGAAATTTTCTTCGTTTACCATCAACATGATGTAACGATTTAAAAGCAGAGTGTGAGAGAGAGAGAGAGAGAGAGAGAGAGAGAACGATTTCAATTGGAGAAATCACTAAGGTAAAGAAGACATTCTAATAACATACATATATATATATATATAGAAAATTACTTCGACGTACTTCACGTCAATTTAACTCAACAATCAAAATCATGCTGTTTTTTCAGAGACGTTAATAGGCAAAGGGACTGGTAAAAGGAAAAAGTTCGAAATAATGAAAATAGAAATTAAAAGCTCGAAGGAAAGAAATCAAAACAGAACGATCGAGAAAAACGAGAGAGTTAAATGGTGTAGATGTACATTCCGTCTTAGCGACGAATAAGAAAAAAACCTAGTCATTAGTTAAAAATAGAATAATTTCTTTCTCAGCCGCTTGCCCAGAGTTTAGATAAATATTAGTCAAAGCGTAATATTTTCTTTCTAGTTGAATCATGTTTTCGTTCTGAAAAATATCTTAAAAATTTCTCGCTTTTCATTGATATTAAGTTCACTGTTTATTTATTTTCATGAATTTTGTTTATAAGAAATCAACAACGAGTATTTTCATTAGAGAACGAAGTTTATTTTCTTGATAAATTCTGAAAAAGTACTTGATGGTATAACGTTTACCTATGTAAAATAGGTATTTTACAGTAAAATGTGGTGAGTAAATTTAATTCGTTCTTTTTCATCCAAAATTCAAACGAAGAACATAATTCATTTCGAGGTCAATACGTAGACTGTACGTTCTTCAACGTCAATGAACTGTTGAAGTGGAGCAAAAAACAAAGATGATCAATAACGATCTTTATTTTGAATTCTAAACATCATACATGTCGGTTGTCCTTTCGTATTGTATGAAAAGTAGATTTTTTCCCATAGAAAATATTGAATCAATATTCTTCTAGCAGATCTATCGAAAAAGATAATGATGTAGCGTGTTTCAATAGGTTGATTGTTTTAATTTCATTTTTGAAAATTATTCACAACGTTTCAATGTCAAATAAAAACGTAGGGCATCGTCTTCAATGGGTGTAAACCATCAAATCGAAGGAGCATGTTGACCGAAAGCGAAAACTACTTAGCCTGAAGGCAACTGGAAAAAAAATTCCCTTATGATTTTTCTTTGCGAGAAAATAGATTTGAACAGTTTCACAGGGAAAAATGTTTTTTATTAGATTTCTTGTTTTCATCTTAATTTATTGACACTTTGCTTTTAATTATAATTATAAGAAGTCTTTCATTTTCTGTTGTAATCCGTTTACTTTCCTGAGAAATTATAAACTATCGAATGGTGTAATCAACGATTTCTATACATCAACGTTCAACAGTTCGGATCAAATGATATAAATAGCGTTTTTTAAGCATTCATACCCTGAAGGGGAGTTCGGCTATGGGTTCCAAGAAGGAAGTCTGTTATTATTATTATTATTGTTTCTTTTTCGAACTTTTCTTTCCTTTGTATCTCGGTTTGATTGATCGATAAAATTCTAGAACAAACCTATAAATAAGTAGTTATTTATATTTAATATGACAATTGAAATCTCCGTTGCTTGTTAGAGAAAAATAGAACGTTCTAAGAGATCATTTTACGAGTGGACGTTGATTGTCTACTGTTCTAAACTATTTTATTTTAAGAAACATCTAGGATTAGACACCTACGCTTTATTACAAAAAAGGGCGATTCTGTTGACTTTCAAAATTTTGGTGTACGATCTTTTTTATAGAAAAACAAAAACAAAAAAAATCCGCATGATCAAGATGCATCTTTATAGTAGACTTCTGGGATGCCCTGTATTAGAATTTATTATTGATAAAATACACAAGAAGAAAGAAAAAAGTGCTTGTCGTAGTGTCATCTATCGTTTTTTATATCGTGAACCTTCGAACGATTCGAGTGTTTTTTCTTCCATTACCGTAAGTAGCTCATCGTCGGTATCGCGATTTTTCGTTCGAAAACGTTGTTCTTCGCTTGTATCTTCATTTTCAGTTTCTTCAGTTCCACTTGTTGTTGGTGCGGTTTTTTTAAAACGATTATTTCGTTTTTGTTTACGACTTGAGTCAAAATCTGATGTTTCCACGTCTGCATCATCTTCATCATCTGATTCTTGAATTGTACTCGATTGGTCAGTATGATTTTGCGTAGGACTGCTTTGATTATCAGTCGTAGTTTCATTATTGACTGCCGGCTTTGTAAACGTTCTCGCTGTTGTCTTTACTGTTGAACTTGAGTCAGATCGTTTCAATGATTTCGAATCATTGTTATCATCGTCGTCATTCGATTCATCACTCGATGGAGATTCCTATTAAGAATAATGTAAATTTTCATAAGAAAAAAAATGAATTGAACACTAACTCGATTTTGTGTTGGCCAAAAATGTGCACGATATTGTGCTGGAACCATTTTAGGGCCATAATGCATGGTAAAATTTCGAAAACGAACTCGTTCGCCATATGATTTTGATTGATTGTAAAGTTCTTTCTAATAAATAAAAAAGATTACTGGTGAAAAATAAACAAATTAAAGAAAACCTTTTCTTCTCTTGTCAACGAGAGAAGATGTCCTTTTTTAAGATCGATAAAATCGGACCACGGTGATGGTTTAATAGCAGTCTGAAGTAAATCATCTTTCGTTAAACGTCGTACATAGTCACCATATGTTAAACGTTTTGCGGTTGATTCATTCTATTTGAAGTAGTAGAAGAAGACGACAACATCAACAGCTATTTAGTTATTAATAAAAAAACTTCGCTTTTTTTACTGTGTCTTTTTGTTGTTGTTCAGCACGATCCGTACGGAATTTAGTTAAAGCTTCCCGATATCGTTCATCTGTATCTTTGTGAATGTTTTCACGTGGCGTCACTGAATCATGATGATTCTAGAAGTAAAACATTGATTATTTTAGAGATCAGTTAAAATTTCCCATTTCGAATTCCATGACAATAGGAGATACATAAGACCGAATGACTGTCTGACAAGTATGTCTATATGTAATTTGAAGAAATTTCTCGAATAATTTGTTCTAGACCGAAACTTTATTGTTTCGATAGTGATATCGATAACGTATCAATTTCATCTTGTTTGAACTTTAATAAAAAAAAAAAAAAAACATAAATTCTCTTTTTTTGTAAACTTGAACTTGGCAGAAGTGTCTCTTGAGTTTTTATCGATCGAGCACAATAATATGAAATTAAATTGAAATAAACATGATGGAGCTCATACTTTTATTCAAGTCATTCTAGTTTAATGTCTAATCAAAGGAAAAATAAGGTCAAACTAATTGGCAAGACCTATACACTCAATATGCATCGTTATTCTACTTTTTTACTATTCAAAAATGCAGTAAACTTAAGAACATATGTTCCCGTGCATCTAACCTGTTTTGATCCTTGTTGTTTCTTTGTTATTGATGATGTTATAGTCGTAGCAGTGCTACTAACCGTTGGTGGTTCGTATTGAGGAGCTCGACTCGGTGGCACATATTTAGGAAAGATTGTTGTTCTTGGTTTATCTAAACACATTTACATTAAAAACAAAATGACGGTCCTTTTTTTGAGAAATTTTACTGAATGAATTTGAATGTGGTTTATTTCGCAGTGCCAGTGTGCGTTGATGGGATGGACTTAACTGTTGTTGATTGGTTGAAGATTTTCGAAAAAAATTTCCATCAAAAAGCGAATCGAAATAGGCGCCGCTTCTCATTTGAAACGATGCTTCACGAGCTGAATTATCTTGTGCGACTACTGTTGATTTATTTATAATTGGTTTATTATCGTTCTTTTTCGGAAGAACTGGTAGTGCACGTGTTGATTTTGCTTTGTCTTTTTCTCGCTGAGCTTTGATTGTATGGAGTTTATCAATTTTTGTTGTCCAGGCTTGCTCGTCATTTTTTTCGTCGGTGAGTGTTTCGTCTTTCTTTTCATTTGATGATGTTTCAGCATTGGCAAACGAATGATGTTTTTCCGTATCAGTCGATGGCGGATAGGTATGATGATGACTTTCTTGCCTTGTTAATGCGAAAGGTGTCGGTGCCGACGGAGCTGATGTTCTCTCTGTTTTTGCTACTTCAATCGGCGGCGTTTTTCGTGCATTGGCTGTTGAATATTCAGAAATTATTCGATGAGTAGATGTTAGATTTTCATCATGGGTGTGAATTTTTGTTCGTAATGGACTCCAAATTGTATTTATGCGCGGACTTCTATTCGAATCGTTGTATGGTAGATGATAATTTTGTTGATAATTAGGATAGATACTTAAAGGCCCATTTATATTATTATCATTGATCGAACGCGTGACACTCGATGTTCTATTTGTATTCGATGATGTTTCAAGACTTTCAGTATATTCTCTTATATGATTCAATGCAGTATACGAATTTTGTGGTAGAATATCTCGACGCCAATCTGTTATTGACGATGTTCGATAATTTGTAGATGGTAAATGAGAATAAATTGATGAGTGATAGCTTGTGGAACCAAGACCTCCTTGATTACCGTATGCTAATTCATCGCTGAGCAAACGCCCGCTCGTTGAGTAGGAAGCCGATGGTTCATAGAAAGTTCCGAATGACGACCGTTGAACAAGATCATCGCTTGCTAACGTCGATAGATCGTACGAGAGAGGATAAGATGCCAGCAGACTTGTTCCGTAACTCATGATGCCACTTTTTTCTTTCACGCCTAAGAATGTTTGAAACAATTTGTGAAATTTTTTTTCTTTCTTGCTTTACATGCGTTTTTGTTGTGATAAAAAAATATAAATCCTTTTAACTTAAGATGTGTGTATATTGTCGAGTATGACACAAGCCTGATGGTAGAAAATACACACAAGATTCGAAATCGAATATTGCTGTGCGCACACAAAAAAAAATCAAAACACAACAACTCTTTTAATTGTGCCATTCGAATTTCTTGCCGTCTGACTTTTTTCTTCTCTCGAATCAACGCACACATTCATGTTCACTTTCTTTTATGTTCTCTATCACGGCGTGTTTTGTGCTTTTACTTTCTCTATCGTATAAATAGTATCTTGCCTATAGCTACTAACTTCGTTCGATAATCGAAGATCATATTACATTTTTAAATGTATATTGTGTTCAATCGTTTTGTCTTCAAGGTTCTACTACCGTCTATAAATTTCTTAGAGTGTATATACTACATTGAATGACGACGAGACAGACACAGTGATCAAATGACGTCAATTGCTAAACGATGCCATTAAAATATATCATTATGTGAACATTTTGTACCGAAATTTGAGAGCAAACGAGAGAGAAAATTTAAATTGTAAAACGAATCTTTATATTCATTAATCTTCTTGTACATTCATTGTCAACAGTATGGGACTAGTAGCAGGTCATAAAAAAATGATCGTAATCTTTCTAATTTTAACTTTCGAACATCTTGTTTATAGTGATGGTAATTAAATGAATAGCTATTCGTTTTTCTTCTTTAATATATGAAAATAAATTTCTGTAGGGAGTTGCAATGGTATTAATTGTGGTTCTGGCAGTTGTATAACAACGGCCAATCCTAGTTTACCGTACTATTGTAAATGTTCAAATGGTTTTAATACAATTTTACCATGTCCACCTGAAAGTTAGTAAAACAAAACTTTAAAAACTATTCGCATTATGAACGTTATGTTGATTAGATCCATGTTCACGTAATCCATGTGGTCAAGGAACATGTGAAACTGTGCCTAATCTACTCTATGGTTATTTATGTCGATGTGCTGGTGATATAATATCATTAACGAATTGTAACGGTAAATAGTTGTTTTATTTTCATGGCTTTTTCTTTTCCGATATTTTAATAGAATCGATAATATTTAGTGACTTTTAACAATTGCGCTTCTAATCCGTGTGCTCATGGCTTATGTGTGGAAGGTTTAACAAGTTTTACTTGTAATTGTTTACCAATGTGGACAGGAAAAACTTGTGATGGTAGATAAAAGGATAATTAGAAATGAAATTTTCTTTTCGTTTGTTCATAGAACACATCGAACTGTCGTGTTCAACTAATCTCTGTGGTGCCGGCAAATGCTTTGATATCAGTGATCCATCGTTTCCATATGTGTGTTTATGTCCGAATGGAAATTTTGGAATATCATGCTCGGGTAATACTAGAGTCTTTTTTTTGCCTGTCGAATAGGAACTATTTAAAATTTTTATTTTAAAGACGAGAAAAAACATCCATCTACTCTGACAGGTCGTATACTTGCAAATGCGGCGCATTTATCAGATATATGCAATCCATTAAATCCCGAGGGTTGTATGAATGGTGGTAAATGCCTTCCAACGATGGAAGGCTACCATTGTCTTTGTACTGCTAGTTTTACGGGTCGGTTTTGTGAGATAGGTAAGTTTTGAAATTTATTTTTCTTATGTTTTATTTATTTGTTTGGTTAATTATCAAGGTATCGATCCATGTACATCGAATCCTTGTAAGTGAACCGTATAATAATAAATATTCGATTATGCACAGTCTTCAACTAGGTACTCATGGCGGTGTTTGCTTTGATCTTTCATCATCATATATATGCGCTTGTCCCGACGGTAGCTTTCGTTCGCAATGTTTGCCTATTGAAGGTAATTGCTTTTATCGAAATTCTTACGGAATTATAATTATCAATTGAAGCCATATTTGAATGCACTTTTTTGTCGATCTGTAAATAATAATCATTATGTACAAGGATATTTTCATTGTAGACTCAACAGTATTTGCTCATAAACTCTATTGTCCATGCCAAAATGGTGGTGATTGTACAATGATGAGTTCACAGCCATGTACATGTCCAAATGGATTTACGGGTCGTTTTTGTGAAACTGCATTGCGTAAGATTTTTTTTCTTACTGATATCCGTTGTGTGATAGAGACTAATTTTCTAATGCTACTCTTGATGAGAATATAATGTTCAAAACCATTGCTGGTCCCATCAAGCGGAATAGAAGCATTGAAGAAGCATTTAAAATGTGAGATGGCGACATTTTTCTCTAAATACGGACAGTCAACAGGAAACCTAGAGTCACCGAAACCAAAACAGCAAAAATGTGGACTCGCACATTTCCATTATAATGGACTTCTAGGTCGGAGTATTTGAAATATCCTACTTCGAAGTATCCATATACCGACACCTAACTGAACAGATTAAATAATTATGAATTTTTTTGCAGCAATGGATGGTTGTGGACAAATTCAATGTGTTAATGGTGGTGTTTGTTATGAAAACTTGCCTGACCTATCTATTTCAGCTTATTGTTTATGTAAAAATGGATACACAGGAAAATTTTGTGAAATAGGTTTGTAGATTTTGAATTAAACTAGTAACATTTTGATTGTTTTAATGTTTTCTAACAGAATATTTTCAATGTCAAGGAAACGGTCGTTTTCTTGATCAATATAATTGTGCTAATGGAAAATATTTTGAATGCATTCATTATGATAATGGTATGAATTTGAATATTTTTCTTGCTTATTAATTTTTTTTTTGTCTATGAAATATAGATGGATCCAGTCCATACGGTGTATTATTGAGTCGAAATTGTCCTGCAACACTTCGATTTAATGTCTTCATTGATCAATGTGATTATTCGACAAACGTGCAATGTATTTAGAACTGTTCTTTGTTTCAATTTTTGTTGTTTTATTCAATATTAACTTAGATAAACTTAATACTAATCATCGGTTGTTATCTTCTTAGAATTGTTAACAATATTTTGCAAATAGATGACTTTAATTTAGCTTAAAAATAAGCATAAATTTTAGTACGCGACTCCAAAAACTAAGAATTCATATGTTTCTTGCTTTGGTTTATGATTACATCTAGGGCTTGATTTAAAATTGCAAAGAATTTATGCTAGATATAAAAATGAAACGATATTAATAGCCGCTTTTGTTTTTAAACAATACTCGTGAACACAAAGCAACACATCTGACTGATGAAATATTGCCATCTATTCATCTGGTTTTGAGGACTGTTGTATGTCATACGCATCACGCTGTTGCGAATCATTCTGATTGGTGCAAATATCGTCGATGTGCAGTGCAGTCAAAGCTACAGGAGAGATTTGTTTTTGCATGATTGCGGCAGACACATGCTTTTTTAAAAAGCGCAGAACGAAAAAGTCATAAAAGCTCCATACAAACATTTGCAACTTATTTTAGTTCGTCTCTTGGCAATTGGACTCAACCGAATTGTCATTCTGAGTATGGAAACAATCGTTGCAAGCCGTAGTGAAAAACTAAATTTACGGCGAGTTCTAGAAGATGGAGTTATCGTTTATCTCAGTTCGCCATGTAGGGATTTGGATGGTTTCAATAGTAATTTGGTTCTAAAATTAAAATCAATTGTCAGCAATGTTGAAGTATTCATCGATCCAGACTCGTGTGCTGATTTTATTATGAATGTACAGTATGAAAAAATATTCTGGATCGTTTCTGACGCAGACGGGCAGATTGTGATTCCATTTCTACATGAACTATCTCAAATTTATTCTATCTATGTCCTTAGTGACAATAATGGACAAGATTGGATAGGAAGCTACCGAAAAATAAAAGCATCTTTTCAAGACACTGAAGCTCTATGTACACGAATAAGAAAGGACGTAAAACAAGTTGAACGACAGGTTACTGCAATTAGCATTCTAGGCGATTTCACTACCATGGATTTGAATCAACTGGAGCCATCGTTTATGTATTCTCATTTGCTGAAAGAGATCATTCTCGACATGAACTATACTGATGAAGCCAAAGATGAGTTTGCTGAATACTGCCGAGTCATGTACTACGACAACCCATGGACATTAAATATGATAGAGCTGTTCGGTAAAGAATATCTTCTTCATAGTCCGGTGTGGTGGTGAGTGATGTCACTATACTTGTTTTTTTTTCAGTCGTTTTTTTTTGACGATTCAAAAGGTATACTCGTGATATTTTTCTCTATCGATTACTCAATCGAGCATTAAGAACGCAAGATATCGATATGATTTGGAAAATTGGTTTCTATATCAAAGATTTACATAAACAACTATTGGACTTGTATATAAAAGGCATACAAATATCGCATACAGTCTATCGTGGTCAAAGGTTGGCACTGAAAGGTGTAGATGTATGTATATTATCTTCATTTGTCTTTGTTTCTGTGTAGTATGCTGATTGACGAGTTCCAAAACCTGAAGAAAAATGCAGGTGGTCTTCTAGCTTTTAATTGTTTTCTCTCGACGACTACTGATCGTTTGTTAGCAATGGGTTTTGCTATTGGAGCAGTAAGTGATCCGACTCTGGCAGCAATTATTTTTGAAATTGACATTAATGATAATAAAGAAGTATTGAGTCCGTTTGCCCTTCTAAATGGACTAAGTTTTTTTGAGTCTGAGAATGAAATTCTCTTCTCAATGCATAGTATCTTTCGGATTGGCGAGATCGCACAATTGGATAATGGAGTATGGAATGTTAAGTTGATCTTAACGCACGATGATGATGCAGATCTTCGACGTTTAATGACTGTAATGCGTCGGGACGTCGAAGGATCTACAGGCTTGTATCGCCTTGGCCTACTGATGGCCAAGATGGGCGAATGGGATAAAGCAAAAGATGTCTATGAGCTGCTTGCAGAGAAAACTAGCGATGATGAAAATTCTATGCTTGCTTCTCTTCATCATCAATTAGGTGTTATTTATTATCAAAAGGCCGATTTACAAAATGCTCTCATACATTATCAAAAATCGCTAAACATCAGTTTGAAATATCTCTCATCGGATGCCCTTCGTCTTGCACCGACCTACACAAACATTGGCATTACATTTTGCAAGCAGGGTGACCTCGACCGAGGCATTGGCTATTATCAACAGGCACTTAACATTGAAACAAAAGCGGCTGATCCGAACCAAGAGCAAATCGCAATTCTTTACAATAACATTGGTTCCGCTCTCCAAGACCAAGGCCAAATTCGTGAGGCACTCAACAATTATGAGCAAGCATTACAAATAAACATGACTATTCTTCCAGAAAATCATCCTAGTTTAGCTATTCGGTATAATAATATCGGAATGAGTTATTATGATTTAAAAGATTATGCGAAAGCTTTGTTCAATTTTAAAAAATGTCTGAACATCGAAGAAAGAAGTTTACCTCCGTATCATCCATCATTAATTCGAACGAACATTAATCTCGCATCGACATATGAAAATTTACATCAATATGATGAAGCATTAAAACACGCAGAACGAACAGTTGCAATAGCAAGACATTGTTCACATGCAAAACTAGGCTCATATGAAAATTATTTGGAACAATGTAAAGAACGTATTAATTCCAATTCAGAATAAAAAATTAACTGGAATAGACTATTACTTTGCTCGTCTGTACCAGTGTATGACTATTTCTTGTTAGATTTTTCTAGATAGACAAGTGTGGTCCTAGTCCGCCAAGCTGATTTAAAATTATGGTTTGAGAAAACGTTTAAAGCTATAAGAATTTTCAAATAGCAACTTTTTGTAATGGCAAGCTTGTGCAATTGATTATCTAAAATTTTTGAAGCTGAGTCAGTTCTTCTGTCAGTAGAAGTTCATCCTACTACACTAAATTGACGTTGGATGGAAACACTCATTTCTGGAATTATATTAGCTTCGGACGACATTATTTTTAGCGCTCTTCGAATGTTTTTAATCTGTTTATTTTTTATTGATGTTTGCACTAAGCAGAACTGCCACCAGAATGGCTGATGTATCTAAATTTCTAAATCAAAAAAATCTCATAATTTTGCATTGACACAAAATTCTAGTTTTCAGAGATAATCGACTAATAAGTTCTTGTACATAACAGTAAAATAATACAAAAAGAACTAAATCAAGCTTCCTTTTTTTTGACAGTTATCCGAACTGTTGAATTCAAAACGACGTCTTCTCTAGTAACCATAAACAATATATTTTTCATTTTCTTTAACAACTACTTGAGAGAGAGAGAAAAAAACACAATCGGACGGAAACAATCGTTCTTGTCTAATATCAACCAATAAATTATATCTGAAATTTTCAATTATATTATTCGAATAATGGTGCACTGAGTGTTGTCAATCGACGACTTCGATCACCTTTTGCATTTCGACCAGCGTTCTAGAAAAACAAAAGAAGCATTAGACTAAGCAATATCATTGTTTTCGAGTGTGTGAAGTAGCTTGAGGAAGCGGGCAACTTTGTTCGATACTACTCAATCGTGCTGATAAATTGTTTTTTTGGCAGAAATTAAATTGGATAAGTTGTCTGTTTTCAAATTTCAAGCGTGATTGGTCTTACTGAATATGCATCGGAATGAGTGATTTAGCTATTATTTACTAATTCATAATCATGTTTGCAGGCATGCTGCTTGCTTTCAATATTAGTAGGTGGCTATAAATTGCTTCGAATCGAAAATTTTCCATTCATTAACATACCTAAAAGGAATCAGTAGTATTGGTCAGCAAAATGTTTAAGATTATTCAGTGATTTCGACTGAGCAAAACTATAGGAATTAGAAAAATAATCTTCATTTCTCTGTTTAAGACTCTAACGTGCGAATATGAGAAGCGTAGTTATAGCCACAGTGTTATTTATTAAAATTGAAACTAGTTCATTGCATCTGAAAAAATGCCTTGTTGAGTCTCTCTCAATTCACTCTTCTTAAATGTGTCCTCAAGAAAGAGTATTCTTCAATACTTCGTGTATCAGTATCAATTCTTTTTGTTCCGTAGTGTTTATAGTGTATTGGAGAGGAAAAGGATCAATGACCTGTTGACTTCTTCGGAGCATTAATCGTTTTGTAATGAGACGATGTTAGTTCAAATATTTGAATAGATTTTCGATGTCTCTTTGTTAAACCTTTATTCGACTATTTTCTCTAGCTCCGATGGCAGTTTTTTTCGCAGTCTCAATGACGAAAGAGTGCGCTTTGGACTTGGAAAATTGTTCAAGCATTTCTTTTATTTTTACCTTTCCAAGCGTCGTTGAATCATTGCGATCAATGTTTTGTTCTAAACAATAATATGGAACATTTGTTTTTTCTATCTTTTCTCGATAAATATCATAAGCAAATCATTCATTTATATAAATGTTAATTGTCTTATTTTTGTTACACCAACTATATGTACATTCTACTTTCTTTTTTGTAGAAAAAAGATGTCGTCAATGCTGACCTACATATTTTCCTATAAAAGCGTTAGACACAAATGAGTCGAACAATAATGCACGCAAACATGCAAGAAATAAACACATATCGAAGAAGAAAACTATTATATGCAAGAAACAGTGAAAAAGGCAAAATTGAGATGATCACAAAAAAAAAGAACACAGAAAATATATATAGAGAGATAGAGATAAATAGTAAATTCTCTACAAGTAGGCATGTAATCAGCTTAGCATAGCAGCGTGTCAGTCATTCAAGACCTAATTTACCGTCGTGCGAAATATGAAAGAGTAGATCATTTAGTGCATGTGTACAGTAGGTTTCGGTGGCTGATTCAGTTAACTAAAAAGTTCAAATCAAAAGCGAGAAATGTATTCTAAAAATAATTTTTTTAAAATATCGAACCGGTTTCCATGGAACTGGACTATCAGTAGGTGAATAAACAAATGTTGGACCGAAATTCGCCGAAACCTAAAAATTATATTTAAGTTTTGGTTTTTTGGAAATAGAAATTTGAAGTCATTTCTAAGCACAAAAAAAAATAAAATTTATGTAATTCACCGTAGCACCATAATAAATCGAAATAGCTGCACAATAGTTCCCTTCGCATATGTTCGTAAATGCTACACCTTGATTAACACCATTCTTATAGAAAATGATCTATAGAATTAAATTAATGCATAAAAAATATAAAATAAAATTTGCTATTGTTTACTTTTCCCCCATTGGTTGGTTTTAAATTAGTTTCGCCTGTTCGTAAATCATCGCGTTCTTCAAAATAAATATAATTTTTAAATTTAACCAATGGCTACAAGGAAATGAAGAAAATTCGAATCAACACCTTCAATTCACCATATATATTAATTTACCAATTTTTTATATTTTCGTGGTAACATTACATCGGGTGGTGTGGTTTCAGGTAATATGATTAAAAATCCGAGTACATCATTTTCACGGTAGCCTTCATTTGAATAATGTAAACCGCATGCTTCATGAAATATTGTTCCTTTTCTTGAACGCCATGAATAACCGAATTTATCTGTACCAATTGGAGTTTGTAAATTAGCTAAAAGTTGTGCCCAACCAATACGTGTCGCTGTATTCGGAGGCATTGAAGTTATCGTTACTTCATAATACCATGCACCATGAGATACAGCTATAATTAATATTCCGCATTGGGATTAGGACGTATTTTTCGAATAGGAAAACTTACAATGAGTTGATCGTACTGAACAATAGCCTTTATCGCCGGTGACTGTTAAACGATCATCATTTAATTTTAATTGTTGAGCTAAATTATAGAATAAACGTTTTCTTCTATTCAAACAATGAAGTTTACCTCGATCATTTAACGATAATAAACATTCATTTTCAAGAAATGTTCGATATAAATGTCCCGGTATTGGTTTTCCTATTGATCATTGAAATTTAATTGGATGAAAACCAATATTTTAAACTTACCAGCCCATACTTCAGTTTCGTCGAATTTTTGTCGAAACGGTGAATGTGGATCGGGTTCCGCTAAATGATATCTGAACGATAAAATATGAAATCATGAAAATTTTTTGTTTCTCGTTACGACAAACCTATATCCTTCTTTATTAAATGGATATTCAGCTGGATAACTTTTTGGTATTAATCTTTCTAATTTTGGCACGTCACCACGTCGTTTTGTATTCATAGAATTTTCATTCGCTAATTTTCGTTTACTTGTTCGGCGTGTTACTTCACTATTTGACAATGACGTTACGCTATTTGCTGATGATGAACCGTGGAATGTTCCATTGCCAGATTGACTTGTTTGTAAAGGAGTAATGATTGATGATGATGTAAGAGGATTTATTGCGTTAGATGTATTGGGAGATTGATCACGGCAAGCATTTGGATTCATTATTTCGAAAATCTTTTCATTCATTGGACCGATTTTATCAAGACATTGTTCACGTAATGCAATCATGATTTCACCACCTATTTCCGATGAAACAAAAAGATCTTCACGACCCTAAACATATTATCAATTTTTCAAGAATAAAGATTGAGATTAATCATGAAAAAATATGTACCAAAGCTTTGTACACTGACGCATGTAAAGTTGGTTTATTTTTCTTTTGTGAAAATGTTAATAAATCCCATTTTTCATCGATAAATGGTAATATTTCCTAAATAAGACTTTCAAAAACAAAACTGTATGTGCGAAAAAATAAATATACTCGATCTCTTGAAAAAAATGTTTGCGATGATTGCTGAGTCAAATTAGCTAATACCGTAGTACATAATTGATTAAATGCTAGCAAAAGAAAAATATTTATATTTGATTTGGTTTTATTCTGTTCGATGGAAACATACTTGCAGTTTTTTTTACAAACTGTTCTTCAGGTTTATTTGGTGAACATTCTTTACATAGAAAATGATAATTTGTCATGAATGGAAGCATTGGTCTACGTAAGTCAACGAAAAGAAACGACTTCGAATATTATAAAAATGAAGTATAAATATACCCAGTTGTCACAGAAACGCAATCCTGATGAAAAAATCGAAGACAAAGACAACATTGAATTTCGACTCGAGAGAATTCTCGCTCTCCACCACTACAAAACAATAAATCAAAAGTATTCATTACAGTTAGTTTTCTCTATTAAGTTACAAACCAATAACAGGTCGATAGTTTATTTGTCATTTCAATATCGTTTGGCATCAGTAAATTGACAGGACTAAAGAATAAGAAGTATCTGATCTAGTGATGTCAGTGAGTTAACTAATGAGAGAACTACCAATCAATGTCAAATGCGATGTGATCAGCGACATCTATTTCAAATGGAATTGCGTGGTAAAAACAAACAGTGATTGAGATTTATCAAATTAGAAGATTTATATATTCAAAAAAATTATTTTTATGAAAATTGAGTTTTGTAGAATTGATGTCGCTGTTCACCGGTCACATTATTACTAATCATCAATAAAAATAGTTAGTGTCAACAAGAAAAACAACTAAATTACGTTTATGTAGCTGTTAAATAACTCGTTGATGCCATTGCCGACATCAATTTTAGTTTGAAAAAGAGCACAAATGGTAAAATTATTCATTCTTATTTTTTTTCTATCTGCAGTTGACTCTCTGTTACATGATCGCATTTGTCGCTAAATCATTTATGATCAGAGCGAAATCTCTGATTTAGATCCTCACAGTGCGAACAGTTAACCGACTAAAATACAATCTATCGCTGACAACTTTATTACAGCCTGTATCACTCGAATAGTAATCCATGACCCTAATATAACTAAATTCACGAGATAAAAATGACGGAAAAATAGCGAGATATTGACTTTCAGGGAATGTTTCAAAACGTAGCCTTTCTTTTGAATAGAAACGTCCGCAACAACTATATGAATTAATTTATGTGTACTATCGAACTAGAATATACTATTTTATTTGTTTGAATGCTTTCTCTTTCATATTCAGATTTCCTCGAAGCATAAACATGTGTCGTTTGCATTGTTCGAAATAATAGGAATCTTTATTATTAAAATGGCCGAGTAAAGTAATGGAAAGTAATCGATTTTCTCGAGGCATTACGATCAATGCTGATCGAAGTCAGTCACATAAAGAAAAGAAAACTACATACTTAAAATTTCTTTTCATTAGTGAAGACATTTCATGGTCGTTCTTTTTTTCTAACATATCGATTCATTTATAAGAAAAATATTCTCGTATAAGCATCATGGCGTTTCGTATGAATGATTTTAATCCTCGACTGATTCACAACAGCTGTGATCGACCTGATCTAGCTCTACTACCAATTAGTGGATATGAAAAGTTAGAACCGGTTCCACTGGAAACTGCTGTGGAACCTATTCAATCGCTGTTTCGTGATTTATCTCGTGATGTTTCAATTGCAAAAGCTGCTACGAAAAGACCCGCTGATGGTCTTACACCAGATGAATCAGCCGCTATTTATCTTTATACATTAGATGTTAAACCACGTAGTTTCTATTTGGTTCTCAACGAAATCTTATGTCATCGTGATCGTCAAAAATTGAAACCTTGGCAACCCTATCTTAGATTATTTTTTAATGGTGTTTTTAAAATTCCGGCCTATGCTATGAAAATTATCTGGCATGGTGTCAAAGCCGATTTACAAGCAAAATATGAAACCGGTAAAAGTTATACATGGTGGACAATTACATCTTGTGCTCAATCGGTCGATATACTTAAAAATCCGGCTTATCTAGGAGAAACTGGCGCGAGAACTCTTTTCTCCATTGAATGTCTCAATGGACGATCCATTAAAGCACATTCATGTCCTCAACGTGATGAAGAAATCTTACTTTTACCAGGAACATATTTTGAAGTTATTAGTAATGTCAATACAGGTCATGGTTTACAGGTTATTCGTTCACGAGAACGTCCACCACCGTACGTTCTACTAGAGCCACCATTTTCGACTGGTGGCACTGAGGCAGAAGTATCTGGTATTGATGAAATTCTCGAAAAAGTCTATCTGATGAATAAGGATAACTTAGATATGTCGAAATTGTTAGTGGTTCTACCTGATCCCATTTGTCAATGGGAAGCAGAAGATATATGGAAAAATAGTTTTCTAATTTATTTAGTTTGCGAATGCTCAACCAATCGTATCCATTTTGCTATGCATCCCGGTTATGCAGTGCCTAATGCTCAAGTATTTTTTCAAATCTATGGACTATATTTTAAACAGTACATGATTCCGTTGGCTCAATATCTTTTGAAACTGAAATCGGTTAACACAGTACAAGATACTAATTTCTGGTCAACTTTTGAAAGTCGCTTGAATAAGATGACATCGGTTCTCAATCTAATTGAACAGAATCTAATTACTGCATTAGACACTTCGAACTTGAAAGATCTTGTCGTGCCCGAATGGTCGACAATGGGCAATTTGTATCGAGCGATCACTAGTGACATGAGTGTTCGATGGGTATGTAAACGTCATTATCCATCCGATCAAGCAATATTGATTCGTCGTCTGCGAGATTTTGAAGGCATCTCATTTGATGATCAAGAAAGCGAAATGACCATTCATGGAGCATTAGATTCAGTTCAAATGCGACGTCTAACAGCAACTCTACTGCAAGGCTTGCGTATTTATTCACTCAACTATGCTTATTATACGCCAGCGCTCGATCAATTGAATAAGACATTCTGTCGAGCGTCGATCATAACAGTGTGTCATCGTGGTATTCTCTCTGATAATAACGATAAGTCAAATATGGAGCGAATCCAAAAATTGTGCAGCCAAGTGATTGCTTCGAATCCGTTTGTACGACAAGCAGATCTTAGTGATGCAGGTGGTTTATCAAGAAAGCTAGCTAGCGTCCGTGATGCCGTAAAAACCAACCATAAACTTCGTTCGTTTACTTTCTGTGGTGCTGTGACGAATCAAGGTATTACAGAGATCATAACAGCATTTCAATTGAACATGGTCTTGACGACGTTACGATTCAAAGATCGACCGTTGCCACCGCGAGGTGCCGAAGTCTTGGCCGAATTGGTACGATCAAGTGGTATACTGATTCATTTGACTCTGTCAAACACAATGCTCAAAGATGATGGTCTCCGAATGATTACCGATGCAGTTTGTGCTAATCCCATTATGCAAACATTAGAATTATCATTTAATCGTATTCATGATAAAAGCGGTCCATATATTGGTTATATGTTAAAAGTGTGTACTAGCTTACAAAGTCTCGACATCAGCTACAACGAAATGAGTGCTATTGGTGCAAAGAGAATATTCGACAGACTTAAAGTCAATCGAACACTCTTACATTTCAATATCGGTCTGAATAATTTGGCTGTAAGAAGTGTAACACAAACAATGAGCTTAAAAAATCCACCTGTTAATGGTGGTCAATTGGTCGGCAACATGTTAGCAGAAAATAATACGCTGATTACGTTGGATATTACGCATATAAACATGTCAGAATTCGGTGTACAAGGACTTGCAGAGAGTCTATTGAAAAATCGAACATTGACGCATCTAAATTTGGCATCAAACAAAATTTTCGATATTCAACGACGAGCGATTTTGGACGCAATGCACATCAACGATACACTGTTGAGTCTCGACCTCTCACATAATGAAATGAGCGACGCGAGTGTCATACGTTTGGGTGAAATGCTTCGAACCAATCGAAAATTACGCTTCTTCAGCGCAAAATCATGTGTCATTGAGGATAGTCGTATGTATAGTCTTGCTCGTACGTTAGATGATAAACTGTCATTGACACATCTCGATCTTTCAAAGAACAAAATTGGCGATGATGGAGCGGCCATGATTGGTGATATTCTTGCAAAGAATAACACATTAATCTATCTGAATATTTCGGAGAATCGTATTACCGATCAAGGTGTTCAAGCGATTGCCAATTCTTTAGAAACGAATTTTACTTTAATTCATCTAGAAATGCTAGCACAACAAGCCAATATTACGGTCTTTGCTATGGTTACCTTTCGATCGATTCGACCAGACTTGACTCTTAGATAGAAGGAACTTTACCGTCAACAATAATCGTCGCTTAAAATTTGATTAATACACTTATTAGGGTGTGGGTGTGAATATAGTTTTAGAAAAAATAGACACTCATGCCCACGTTTACACTTCAACTCCATCATACATCCACGCACTCAGCAGGCGATTCTCTAGGTATTATACTGGCGATACTTTTCCTTTATTAAATACAAACAAATATTTGAACTTGAATAAGAATCGGTGACATTGATGATGCTAACGTCTTCTATTAGATTGTGGACCGATACAATTTATAAAAGAAGCTTCTTTACTAAATCTACTCGTGTTAGTTGAACAAAAAATGTAAAACAAAGTATTTAGACTATTCGACACGCTTGAAAATTTATTCGTTTAGAAAAATTGCTTGTGCTTTCGTTCCAACCATAATGCGACATGATTTTCTTTTACAAACCGATGAATATTAATGGTATACGGTAGATCAATGATTGCAATTGTTTCATCACCGGTATGCAAATCCGTTATTTCCTGTTCTTTTTCAATAAAATCGAACCGTACGCATGCGAGTTGATGTTCGCTAATGCGATTAAGAATAAAATCAATCCAATGTTCAATGTTGTTCCATGCTGATGAAATGTTCTTGCAATTCATGAAACGCAAGCATCGCAATTGAGGAAAACGATGCTTATCAATAAGAAACAAAAGAAG